CCCATGTACTTTATAATTCTTATGCACTGACAATGTTTGGCAAATGTACAATAAAATGCAGCAATACATGTATATAAATGTTAAAATATTCTCTAGTGACAAAATCTATAATTGAACAACAATTGAATTTTGAATATTCATTATATCGTTTTACAAAATCACAACCAATGATAATTATGTTAATGCAGTGATTATGCATTTCCATGTTGAGCTTAAATCATTTGTCATGTTCAATTTGGTTGGCAAAACTTCTTTATTCGCAAATCAAATGAAATAATCGGGTTAATCAATTTAAAAACTAATCTCTCTGCTTGTTGAATGATTTAAAGCTCGGTACAAGTTTATTTGAATTAATTAAAAGGTTCATCCAAATAATATTTAAATGGTATATATATAAATGAGTTGAAAATTTACTTGCCCATTTTGACCAACTCAAATGTAATGAACAAAAACATGTAAAATATATTTAGTTGGGATCATTATGATAAGATGAGTTTTCAAATAGAGGGTAATAAATGCACGGTCGATAAATAAGCAACAAAAGGATTAGAAAACATCAATAAAAAACTGTATCCAAGCATAACTGGTGGTTCAGTTTTCATTAAAAGTCCCACGAGCATACATGCGACAAGGCACGCACACGTGTCACGCAGCCATGCACATAAAGTCTCATTTCGAACAGTTCAAAGATAAGAACCATTGAGAGAGAGAGAGAGAGAGAGAGAGAGAGAGAGTTAAAAAAATATGGAAAAAGGACATCATTTCTCTTTCAACTATATAATTTCCATTTTATTTTTCTTTTGCACTCTATCTCTACTTTGACAAAAATGTTGTTGCTTGTTACCACAGGGCACAGCCAGTGAGTGAGTTACAGCCCGTTCTTTCTTTTACAATGTACAAATCACGTAGTCACATTTTTTCTCGTCGTCGCTGGCTTTAATCGTTCGCAACAGTTCCATGAACTAAATTTATATTAACTGTCACTTTTGGAACGAGCTTTATTTCATCATGGTTGCGGTGGTCATTAGTTAGATTTTCTGTTTTAATTTATGAGATATATGAAACATACTTTAGTTTTTTTTTTCAAAACTATTTGTTAATTTAGTTCTAAAATGTGCCTTTTCCTCCCATTTAGCGCAGTTTCAAATTTACAATATATCGAATGCATTAGCATGTATGCGAGCTTAGAAAATAGATGCGAATGCTTTATGATTGAAATGGCTTGCAGGCATCGCACCACTGTATGCATCGGCTTGAATATTGCAAAACATTTTTTAGCATGCATCGATCACGTAGCATGATTTCAACCAAAAGTTGTCATTGCAAAAGAAAATTTATGTGTGGTATAGATCCATGTGAAAATATTTTATTCATGGCATTTGAAGTGATGACATTCAAAATGGTGAAATATTCGCTTGACATATTTTTCGGTTACGTTGATATAATGGAGCATAATGCGTATGTAGCAAAAGCATAAGCATTAAGCACTGTTCTCTGCATACCATTTGCCATTTAAAAGCAACAGTTATTTGGTCGATTTGTGCATTCAATTCGATTTATCATCTATTGTTGGGTGCGTTTCGCTTGATTCTTCAACGTCGTGCCATTGTTGTTGTATAGAACAATGATGAATTTTAATTTGGATACAAAACAAACATACAAATTGATATAAAACAAATAGATTTTATTAATAAACCAAACTTAATATGTCATTCACTTGTGTATATTGCTGGGTCACACACCCATTATTTCGAAGCGATGCGAAGTTCAAGCACAAACACTAAACGAATAATACTTAAACGCAAAGAGAACAAAATAATCCAACGGATATGTCTCTCTGTTTCTCTCTGTGTATATTATGGCAATGCAAATAGCATACCAAAATGCTGATGGCATGTATACGTGCGGTGGTTTAGTATTTATGATATCTCTGATGTTCTGCTTAATCCACTGGAAAATTTATCTCAAATATTCTATAAGACGATGAATTCTTTAAATATTTCATAAATGAATTTAATTTTCCATTTCATAATATAAAGTGAGTTTTGCTAGCTGTTTGACAAGTGGTTGATAAATTTTCTCCTGCATTGCGAATACTTTTCGACACGAATTCTGAATGTTACGATGAATTGTTCAAATGCCAGCAATGAAATAAAATGCATTTGTGTGACAGTTGTGCGTTGATGGCGTTCAATGCAAACAACAGCAACAATAAAAACTGCTTGAATAGTGTTGGTAGCATCGGCATCGTCATCACCATGATCGGCAATAGTGGCGGAAAGAATTAATTTTTATTTATTTGCTGGCCTATAACAGCGACTTGTTCATTTCCATAAAAGTGGTGTGTAGCTGTGCTGACAACTGCAAAGTTTTACTTGATTCCGGAAACCATTGTATGTTTCTACAACGACAGCTTTCTACATTTATTTACTTGAAACGTATATAGCCTGTATATGCGATTAATTTTGTGTTGTCATCTCATGGTTCTCCGTATACATTGTCATGGAAACAATTTGCGCCACACAAACTAAGCGATATCTGGACAAAAGAGACATGCGATTGAAATTTAGGATTAAAAGGGGGCGACTGGCTATAGCAAATCCACTTCTAATAATGGTAAAAATCGGCTAACACAGTAACCTCACAAAAAAAAAATATATATATGAAAGAAAGTGGGGTGAGCAGATTGGTACTTAAACCTAAACCATGCATATTCTCAACAAACAAATAAACAAAGAATACGCTCCATATATAACAAAAGATTTAATCTGTTTGGGACTATGTAATCTATTTAATTGTTGAATCGTAAATCCGTTACAACCGAAAGTAATTAAGCATCCATATGAATGATTAGTTTGAGCGGTTGGAAAATCAAAATATTCACATTTTGGCCTTAACAAAAACACGAAACACGCAGGCACAAGTACAAACATGAATTTAGCACCGAATTATCTGTCTACAACGAAGGCAACATATGTGCATGTATTTATGTCAGGTTTTTTCCATTCTGAATCCACCCCTAATGCTCTCGATCCATCGCTTTCACCCTATCCATGGCCATGCCAATCTTGAGTTCAAATGGTCACATCAACTATGAACGAATCGTACCAGTGGTCATATCCAACGTAATGATGGTGGTTACTTATCTAAGCGCGCTCAATGTTATACATTGAGTATTGAATTATTTCCAACATATAAATACATTTGATGACACTTCTTTTAATTATTTCAACACATATAATAGTTGACAACATTCAACGAATTAAAGAAGTTTGGCTAAGGAGTTTCAATCATTTTATGAGACTTGAAGCTGAATTATATTTTTCACATCAAGTATTCGTAACCATGTTATGATCTGGTTGCTGTGTTTCAGTGCATACATCTCTACTTAATGATGTTCGGACAATGATGTGAAGATTTGAAGCAGACGTGCGCAACAATAAAAAAAAGACAAAACAATACCCGATGCAATGATAATATCAATTTGGCAATGGGTCAATTCATTTATTTGACCATTATTAAGTGCCTCAGGCAATAAAACAAACCCAGTTTTTTTTATCATCGTAGCATCGACTTCATTGTTTCACAATTTGCGCATTAAGACTCTAATTATGTTGAATTCATTTTCATATCGATGCATTAACCAAATCTATCGAATAATCTAAGCTCGAATTATTGATTTATGATGTTTCGTTCTTCGTCAGAAAAATGTTTGCATATGAATTACATTTTAATGCCATTCATTGCAGCACATTTATAGCAAAGATGAACATTTGTTTCGCACAATTGAGAAAATGAGATCGCAACGGTAATGATGATAACGTTCAAGTGCATATCAAGACCTATAGGCATATTTAGGGCATGCTCGCATTTCAATGAAATGGCGATAATGAATCGTGTGTAAATGCTGCAAATTTTATGCTCTTATGGTTTTCAGTGTATTTGATACACATATCACCGCAAGCATTAAAAAAATAGATGGTAGTAGGTAAGTTTAAACACGGCAGATATCGAAACGTATCGAATTATTTGATGTTGTTGCTTTGCACTAAATAATGAAACTGAACATTTCCGAAATACCAATAATGGTTTGTGATTTCAACAAAAAAGAGATAATTCGAATGAAAAAAGGAAACTGAAAGCATGCCAAAATATGAGTATACAAAATATTTCCCAATTTCCAATCTAACATCGAATATGCATGTAAGTTGATTTTATGTTTGTGTTTGCGGTGTAAAATGCGTACTGTTGACGGAAAATGTATAGACAAACAACAACAACACATCACAATACGCATATCTGCCATTTTTGTGCCGTATAATTTGAGAAATGGTAGTAATTGCATATGTATGACGGAGATTGGAACATATTTACCATTATACATATGCAGTAAGCTTTTTGTAATGAAAATATGGAGTAAAAATTGTTTAATTTACATAGTAATTGGTGTGGTTTCGGTCAAATTTTGGCTCAAAATGCCATCGGCTAATAAATGACAAGAATTGAATATTTGTTGTCACAATTTGTATCTTACAAAGCATTGTAAATTGATCCGCATTGATTGTATGGCACTTGCATCAAGTTAAGATCACCTTTCAATTCTTGTAACACAAGTTTTGTCATTACTTGTGTCTTGAATTCATCAATACCATAAACCAATATGTCAATAGTATGTAATCGAAATAGGGTCAAATTATCATCAAAACAGGTGATTTGGTATTTGTTAATTATGTGTGTTCGTGCTCTTTCGACAATGAACATAAATCCATCTTTGTTTATTTAGATAGATAAATTCTATTTATATCATCAATTCGAGGGGTGCTTTCACATGCCAGTGAAGAACCCAGTGAAGAAGTCAATCGAGACAAATACACTGTGAGATGTAATAAGACTTTAATGAATGCGATGAAGATGGTTGAATGGCATTTACAAATGTGAGCATCCACATTAATTTGTATTAAATTAGTGATATGGTAAATCTGTCTACATTTAAAACTTACAATACTACATACTATGTAGTTCATCCAGTGGATTAAGCATGATGTGTATCTGTGTCTGTGCCAAAATGACAAATTGAATTTTGTAAAAATGAATTGCATATGTTGAAAAACCCGATGGTTTAACCCATTTAATCAATACCTTACATTCAAATTAATTACAAACATTTAATGAAAATGCCATTCATTGGTTTTCTACCTATTTCACATTGCCATCGATCCATCATGAATAAATTGGTAGCAAAAGTTCAAAATTCTGTATATGAACTCATTTCATCATACCTGCACAAATGTTTTAAGTCCATTACACCGAATACTTGTTGTTGTTTAATGCAACCTCTTTCAAATAAAATCTCGTACTTTTCAATAAAGATCCCCTTTCGATGCTCAAATGTGAATGGCTAAATACAGAACAAGAAAATTGTGATTTAGTTAGTATTAGAGTAAATTGGAAACAGTGAATATGAAGATAAAAATAATATTCCATTTTTGATATATTACCTTGTATGGCATTTCAATTGCGGGCACAGTTTTCAGTAGAATTTTCAAACATGTTTCGACATGTATTTGTGTAGATGGCGCTTCAACCAACTTATCCAATATCGCAATGATTGGCATCATTCCGCCGTCCTTCGGATTTGAATTGGCACCATATCTATAAGAAAATGATGTAAATATCATTTAGTAACATTATAACATGGCATAAAATGAAAATTCAATGTGAAATGTAAAATGGATGGAATTTGTTTGGATTATTGCATTGATTATTGTAAGTATCAATGCTATTCGGCAAAGAGCTTCAAATTCGAAGTTCAAAATAATGACGCTACAAATTAATTGCTGCCGAAAAAATAAATATTGAAATCACTATAAATATAAATATACGTTCAGAGAATGGTGATACGAACTTGAAATTCGATTGAGCGATGAATAGGCTCATTTTATATGGAAATTCAATTTTCTTTCATTTATTAAATTTATGGCAATATTCGATGCGCTTCCCTTTTTATATATGCTCATTTTGTTGTCATCCTCATTCTCATCGATGCCATTCCAATCTAAATTGATCTTATTTTCGAGTGTCATCGAAATGCTAGCATTTATTTGATTTCAAATAAGAGCGGTCAAGATTTATAGTCGAACATTCAACACATTCAATTGTTGCATTCTTAGCTAGCATTTGTAATCATTGAACGAATAAAAAAACGCTGACTAAAATTACAATTATATTGTTATGTAGAGAGAAAAAAAAAGTCCAGAAAAAGATACATGTAAACGGTTTTATGTCGACCTTTCGCTGGTCAAACTGCTATGGCAATATCGATTCCAATTGCTACCATACTGACTCATTTATGGAATCATGATACGATGACACACTTGAAATTGGAGGGTAAAGCGAAATGGGTACTTTATTGTAATATTTGTGATTGTGATACACATCAATATGAGGGCGTAAAAATGCTACTGTGTGGTAAATCGTCATCCCCGCAACGCTGAGATATCAGAAGATTACTTTCTTGTGGATAATTTGAGCGCAAACTCGACTCACACAAATCTGAAATGATTTTTGACATGCTGACACCATTTAGGTTTATTCGATGCGCCCAAAACATCTAAAATTGTGTGTTCTCTTTATTGGTACACAACTGTGACCATGAATACCAAATCATTTGGCACAAATTTCACAAACTTTACACTATTGTTTGCAATTAGTCATTTTATTGGCTAACATGAATTCTATATGCACCAATGTGGAAATTTTACAACATTTTCTATCTCATCTTTCTTTCATTTTTAATGGGCTGAAAATCAAACAACAAAATGGTGTTGCGATGCATCGCAACGGAAGAAAGATCATAAAAACTCAATAACCTAGATAAAAGACTGGCTGAAATTATCTAAGGGAATGTAAAGAGTGAAATTACTTTATGTAAAGATTGTATTTATATGGGAAGATGGAGGAAAAAAATGCACAATTCAGCTACGATTTAAATGATGATATACGTGGTTTTTGTTTTCTGACTGCGTTCGACCATAAACAAAAAGGAATGATTGGCACAAAAGGCTTCGGCACAAAAAAAACGATAGCAACAAAAGGTTATCAGTAAGAGACAAAAACAAACAAACAGCCGATGCTTAAAGGAAAATTGAACGAGAAAAACGCCGCGCAAATGTAGAGCAATGAAATAATACAATGCGCCATAAAAAGCACTGAGAGCACGAAAAACAAAAAACAAAAAGCACACATAAAATTGTCCATCAAAAGTATTTGGAATGTTTTAGCTTTTGTGTTGGGTCGCTCTATTGAGATTCTAACTGAAATTGAACATGCACACTCGTTTATGTGAATTCGATCGAAATCATTGTTTCATTTACTCGAACTTCAACAACAACTGGCATTATTAATGCCCCTGTTTGTATAAAAAAAAAACAATAAATAATACCGAACGATGAAAAAACAGCATTTTTATGATCAATATTATTATTATTTTGTGGGCATTTGTCATAAACACGCACATTTCAATTCATGTACACAAAAAACAACTTGAAATTTTTGCATTTTTACTACTCGTCAATCACCTTTTTCGGAATTAAGAACATTCAATTGGATGGGAGGATAATAAAACACGCAAAAACAAGACGATATTATCATTTGTGATGATTTTTTTTTATATCGACTTCAAATTTTTGTCGCTTCGACACAGAATACCCATGAGATTTCGGTTTTTTTTTGTTCGTTCCCTTGAGACAAGTGACCCAAGTAAATGATACATGCAATAGAAGTTGCATGATGACACAATTTTAATAAATTTTTATTGTGTGTTTTCTGAATATCAGTGTATAGTGGGACGGTATATAGGGAGACTTATGAAATATGAACACAACAGTTAGAGTTATTGTACGGAAATGCTTACTTATCATGCGCCCATCGCGCTACAATTGAAGCGATACACAATCCTATTAAAATACAAGAGAAAATTTCTGCAACAGAGAGCGCGCATGACGGATTAAAATATCTTGCATATTTGAACTTTCTTTCAATTCACTTTACATTATTAATTTATCATTAGAGAGTTGCAGCACAACACAATAGAAAATGTTCAGAATTTGTTGGGTGATTATAAGCTATCGTCAAAGTGCAGCCAAACTAAAACTATTTTGAATGTGTTCATTATGATAGTTTGTTCGTATGTTTAAATGGTATATGTGAAGTACAGTAATAAGTGAAAATCCATTTAAAGCGAAAACCAAATATGACAATCACAACAAATCTTTGTAATTGAAGTACAATTTAATTGATGATTAAAGATAGAATAGCATATACGTTGTCAATATTGCTTTCGATCGGCTGTTGCAATGAAAACCGAACCGTTTCAAGTTATAATTGATAGAAAACTTAACTTAAAACTTTTCATTGGCGGCCTAAGCTGATTCGATTCAACTGGCTGAAAATAGATAAATTCAGCATGACTCTGAGAAGACATTCAATTTTCTTATTTACATCACTATATCAAGTAATCGGTTCAAGAACAAAACTTGAATCTGAAGTCTTGGAATAGATATTAATTTTGTATCAAATTAAACAGGTTTTTTCAGGAATTTTACACAACACGTCGTTTTATAACTGGAACAAATTGAAGTTATGCCAATTATTTTATAATTAAAAATTGTTTTATTACTAAATATCAGCATATTACATCGTACATTGTATAGAAGTGTATGTGAAATTTTTCATCCACATTTATTTTTGTTTAAATTTTAATGAGTACGATAATTTTTAAACATTCTAAAGTACTTCTGAATGTTCAAGAAACTTCACATATTAAAAACCGTCATTGTATTTTCTTAAGCCATTTAGTACGATATTCATAATTGATAGTTTTGTATGAAGCCAAGACAAAGGGTTGAATATGGCCACGTTTTATATTGTTAATCAAAAATTTCAATGAAAAATGAAGATCTGTTTTTTTAAGTCTTAATTTGAAAAAGGTGCGGTGTACGAGATTTTGAAGGATGAAAAATGCATTCATAAGACATTGAAAAGCATTGTTTCCATTTCAACATTTATTATTATTTTGCATGAACTTAATCTTGTTTTCAAACATTCATGATTAAATACCAAGTGCAGATTTCATATCAATTACAAAACCTTCAGTATCAGGGCACTGCGTCCTACAATAAAAATTTGATAAACGATTGGCAAATCTAGTGGCTCCTACACGTATCGGTCTCCATTCACTTCTAATTGTTTCGGGATTATTTCTACATGTGTTCCTCACGTAAAAGTAGGCTAAAGGGGCTATCAATAGAGATAAGGCGTTGATGTTTTTTTGCTACTTCTTCCAAATTTGAATCAATTGCGTATTGATTCCGAATAGTCTGTTCCCATTCTTGGATTACATTTTGAAATACGGTTTTTTTCTTTTTGTCATATTAAGTAGTGCATGAATGAGAAGAGAGTGTTCGGAATCATTATGCAGTTGATGCAAATTTGAAGCAAGTATATGATAAACTTGTCAGTATTACAATGAACAATTTTGCCAAGTTTTGTGATATCTTAAATATAAAACAAAAGCGTTGTACCCATTACCCAAATACTTGCCCAAATATAGTACTATTTTCTTTAAATATAGTAATCGATAGTAGTGAACAAAAGTGCATCAAATTTCAAACAGAAGAAATAATAAAATGCAAAAATCACTCGTTGTTTTGTGAATTATTCCTCAAAAGACTAGCTCAAGAAAAAATATGAAAATCGAATTATAAACTGTGCATGAGTTAAATTATTCCAGTATTATAACGATATTATGTGCTGTCGAAAGAGATTTCTGTGTACTGTTTTTTTGCGTATTAAGTTTATGTATGAGGATGAAGTTTCCTAAAGGATGTTGTTAAGATGACCAATTTACAAATTAATTTATTCACTCAATGTTTCAAATTTGCGTGAAAAAGTTTTTTATAATTTTTGCAAAAATATCAAAAGTTTGGTGTGGTATCATATATGCGCAATGGAGGGATTCCAGGACTTCAACACGTCAGGATTTTTTCACTAAAAGTTTGAGACTTTACTCCCACACTTGGGCGCGTCCGAATTTATCACCCTCCCCCCCATTACAAATTTGACATCAAATCTTCACTCACGTGCTCGAACATTTTTTAATTTTCTACAATGAATTCTTCAAACAAACGAAGGTTCTTCGAAAAGATCCCCATCATTACTTTTCGGGAAAAAGATGATTAACCCCCTTAGTATCTCTCATCGCGTTTCCCCCTCCGAAAATCAAAATGTTCACATTTGACCGCCCTTAGAATTTCAAACCGTGCGCATGCATGTATGTCATGAATTGATGATGTAGCGCAGCATATGCGAATGCATATAAAGCTGAAACTGTTCCAAAAAATTGTTTGTAGCATATGGTGAAATGCGTTAAGCCTGGGCCGCTATTCTAATGCCACTTTTCGATCAATTTGTTCGGAATTATTCCGAAAAACATATTTCTATGAATGAATATTGTTTTGAATAATATTGTAGCACATAACGAGAATAATAGTCGTTATTCATAAGACAAAAAAAAATAAACAATATTCCACTTATTTTGTTCGGAATTATTCCGACACCTCTTTCAACAGTGGAATTATTCCGACAATATAATGAGCGGACTATTCATTTGAAACTAATATTTTATTATCTTTTCAACGTTTGGCGTCAAATATGGACACCAAAAGTACCAAAATATAACTTTAATAGAGCTCTACATTTGTCGCCAAACATTGAAAATATAAAAAAAATTGTTACACACTCAAAATATTAGCTACGGTCAGGTGCTGAATCGGACTGAAAACAATAGAAGTGGTTGTTATAGTGATTGTAGTAATGTGAGTGTTAATATAATTATAACAATAACTTTTATTGTTTTCACTGAGCTGAGTTGTTTATATAAACAAATGATTCCGAACGATTTTTGTGGATTGTTCTAGAATACCGGCCCTGTTAAACGTGTCTAAGTTTTCATCTTTACAACGCCACTTTAGTCGAATCTATTGCACACGGCAATGGCATAAGTTGATTCTAAGCATTCCATTAATTTCATTTATTTACTCCCAACAATTTTATGAGATTTTACGAAACGATGACGAACGAGTGGCATTGCAGTATGCACGCCATATCAACACCGGGCCACCATCACACACAACACTTCACGCACAAAAAGCACATTATGTGTTCCGTGCAATTTTATCATTTTCATTAAAACTGATGTACGCGGCACTATGGTAATTCGGCGAATTGTGGCATATTAAAGTTAACACGTTCACTTGCCGATGTAAATATTATGCAAAAAGGAGTCAAATGTATGTGCCATTCAAAATAGTTATACGATAACTAGGCAATGAGAACATATTCGTGTTGATCACACTATGTGATATGTGTGCGTGTGTGCATGTTTGCCGTTGCAAGCATTTCCATTTTCGAAATACACTTAGTGCGTGAAATTGCTTTCAATGTTATCACAGCATACACACTCAGTCAGTCAACATTCGTGTCGAATCAAAAATGATGGTAGCATGCGATATAATGTATATATTGTCAAACAAGACTGTCATCTCTTTATTTCATCCTGCCACTGCCACTGCCTATCTTTTCTTTAACTCTTTCTTCACATCGTTCGCTTGGTTCGTTGCTTATGCGTTTTGCACAACTCAGAACTCATTCGAAACTGAACATTATGTTTTATTTTATTTCCGTCAATGTGAAATCGCTTACTTTCGACACTGTCTACGTCTTATTGAAACTAATCACTATTCAACACTATAAAATGTATTCACCTCTATAAAGATTTAACAGATATATGCCAACCATCATGTCACCTTAATAAAACATTTATACAAAATAATACGGGTAACATTTTTCATTTATTTAAAATGCTTCATTGGCTCAATGAACGCGCTCCACTTTTGTGTTTGTGCGTTTGCGAACAAGGCATCGAATGAACAAACGCTTTTACTCCAATTAATTTTTAAATAAGCCATACATTGCATTGAAATACGGTAAATGGCAATTTATATTTGTTAACTGAACAATACACTTATAATATATACGCACATCCACATAATTCAGTGCACATTGAGTTAATGTTTTCGATGGCTTTGCCAATAGATGGTTGTGATAAAAAGAGAGGGAGAAAAATAGAAGGTGACAGAATACGGCAACGACATCGATGGTATGGTGTATCGATAACACTATTTGCGACATTAAATTGTTTGCACATGCAAAGCACAACAGCAAACAATTTAAATCAATTCTTAACGTCAAGTTTGTTTTACTTCAAGTTTAGAGCAACATTTATGGGATAGAAAACAAAATGGGCGGTTGCATTGCAAAATTGTTTACATAATACCGCATCCATTGAGTAAGAGTAATGGCAAGTGTAAGAGGCCATGTATGAACATTATAGTATGTTTAGTCAATAAATTTTATAATAACATTAATGAATTGAATGGCTAAAAGCTTTTTACTTGAATTGTATGCCTGATTGCAATGCAATGTATTCAATTTGAAAGATAAACGAAAACTAGTGTAGTTTATATACAGCACTTTATGTTCGTTTTCATCGGGAATAAAATGAAGCTTTAAATAAAACATCGTGTTAATGTAGAGCGGACCATTCCGATTTCACACAAACGTACACACAAATGTGCTGGTTCTCGATAATCGAACAACAAATTCGACATTTGCCCATCGGAGGTTGAAGCCAAAAGTTTTGTGTTCAAACATATTGGCTACCAATGGTTGCGTCGTTTTAAATATTTACTAGTTTATTTCGTTGTTTTAACTTTGATTCCGATTAACATCATAGTTTTGATATCTGCTAGTTGAGTGCACACAATTGGATGTGTGTCGCTGACTTTATTGGTAAAAATGCAATCATGTGGAAAAATAAAACATCACAAACACTTACCGAAGTAAAGTTAATAGCAAATCAGGTGAGGATGCTTGAAGTGCAACACGCATCGGGCTTGCTTTGCCGCAACTTTCTATTGGCACATCGATGAACCTATTGGAGAAAGAAAAAAAAAACACCAACAAAAATAAAACAAATGAAATGCACAAGGCTTAAAAAAAGTTTTGACTTGTGTTCGGAGAGAAAATTTCAAATATGGATCGAAGCAAGAGAGCGAGCGTGGATGAACGAGAAAAATGCCTCAAGTTTCAAAAATTGATGAGCACAGCCATTAAAGCTCAAATATTTCCGGTTTTTTTTTTTTTTTTTTTTTTGAAAAAAGATTGCTTCGATTTGTTCAAAAGATGAGAATCGAATAAAACTTCCAAATTACAAGCGCAAAAACTAAATTTACGAGGCAAAAAAATGCCATGATTCATTCCAAAAGTTTATTTGTTCTTTTTTATTCATTCGTTGTCGTTTTGCTCTCCGTCGAACGTCATAAATGTATTGTAAAGCATGGGACAATTTTTGTTCAATAGCTTCTTGCGGACACTGACATGAACAACTTATTTTCCTAGCTCTTGGCACATTCGTGCACCGAAATAAACTTGTAAGAATACACATTTTATTTAACTAAACTATTAAAGTTTCAAACACATTTCTCGTTCCTTTCATCGACTTCTATTTGTTCTTATTGTTGTCTATTGTGCGTCTACTCTATCAAGAACTTTGGTGATGGACACCGATTCATGTGATGCAATTTTATATAATTTTTTTTTCTTCGTTTTATTTGCTTACGAATTGCTCGATAACATAACTAAACAAAAGTGATGCTTGAATGTGACGACGAAAAAAAAAAATGTTACAAGAATCGTATGACGATCGGAAAACATTTTGGAACATTGAATACGAATTTTTATGTGCTCGCTCTTTTCACATTCAACATTGATTATGTTCGTGAAGTAAAAAGCATATTGAAGCTGTTGATCGAATACTGAACGATGATTATGTGATTTCTCTTAATTTTTTTTCTTCACTTGACTATCCTGTGAATGAACACAAAAGCTGGTTTATTCATTCTTTTTTGTATAGAAAAAAAAAGAAACTCCGTTCGACATTGTTTGTCGTCTACAATGTTAAAACTTAGTTTAAAACTTAGTCACTGCACAAAACCAGCTCAAACTTTATTTCATATTATTGGAACACATATAAAAAAAGAAAAAAACGCATCTGAACACATATAATGTGCAAAGTGCGTGAGTGAGTGCTGTTCAATGCAATTGCCATCGACTGTGCCCTCAAGGTAAATAACAAAAAATAAATGTAGAGCGACTGCTCAAAAGAATCTTGCATATTCATTGCTCAAGTGACACGGATATTTGAGCCATTTTTTAACTTTACGGTTGCTATCATCATTCAACTTGGAAATAATAAAATTATACAATTTGGTTGGTTCGTTCATTGACACAGTCAAAAGAACGATACCATACCAAAAAAATAATAATAATAAAATGAAGCAAGCTTATATCGTATAATCGATTTTCCTCCATTGTGAACAGAATAGTTGCATCTGACTGAAAGTGTCACATCGAATAACTCTGAAATATTAAAATGAAGTTCATTTTTGAAAAAAAAAAAAAAAATATATAATAATGTGTCATACCCAACTACATCGTTAAGCTCATTCCTAGGGGTCTTTGCAATGTATTTCTTTTTATTCGAAACAAAATCGGTTCGTAGAGGTTTCCATTGAAAAAAAAAAATTTCGTCAACATTTAAAATTTTCACTGCCAACAAAATGTGCGCTTTTTGTTTCGAATATATTGATATCAAAAACTTGTTGGCGAATGAAAAATGTCAATTTCAAATGAAGATTTCTTTTAAAATGTCACCCCTAAGTTGATACGATTTTATGTATGATAATTATGTGCGCACTACAGTGTGCAATGTGCATGCATACATTCAGTTGAAAATGTAAGAGAGTAAAAGGTGGCGAAACATAACGTATCGCATGAATGGCAATTTTGATCAAAACCATAAAATGCACATTCCTGTAATTTTATGTGGAACATGATATTACTTGTGGATGTATGGTTATTGAAAATATCCGCTAACCAAAAAAGAATCCACTTGTTCAAGACAATATATAAAGTGGAATGTTATTCATTCTCGTTTAATTTATGAACCAGATTCGTGCAATAAACTTTCTTTTTTATATATCACATTGAGTCAAAGAGATTCGGTTGGTTTGTCGAAACTATTTTGTAATACTTCCCTCAAGATGTGACCACTTTTAAAGTTTTAAATTCAACTCGATTTCTTTCTTTTTTATATGCAAGTCGTAAATGAAAAAAAAAATCAATTTCATTCAAAGTGCATTCGAATGCGATTTTCTTTCGACGTCGGGATTTTTAAGTGGTATTCTCTCGAATTAGTGAAACTTTTTGGAACAAAATTTACTGTTTTTCGCCCTATGTGACGGCTGAATACGAAAAAAAAAACATGTCACATTCGCCAGTTCAGTTTGGAGCACACTTCTCTCATATCCATATTCATGCAGTATATAAATGCAAAAATGAAAAGTGTCCAAAATACAACTGAAAAAGTTTGGTGCTATATTCATGGGAATCAATATGAAAAAAAGTACACACATGTATACATATAATCGAAAATGCTATTGTATCATTGATGTGCTTTCAATCATTTCGAAACACTGTTCCTGATCGCTGTCACCCACTTTCGTTTGCTGTTGCATCGTTTGTATGTGTTTATTTAAACAAAAGCCTTATCAATAATGCAAATGGTGTGTGTTTTTCTCTCCTTTTTTTCAATACATCTTTTGTTATTGTTGAATAGCTTGTAGAATGGCAAACAAAATGAAGTGGAAAACGCGATGCTACTTGTATCAAACATGGGCACAGGGGGTTGTAAGCCCGGATAACCCCTCCTTGAATCGTCCGAGGTACCCCCTCCCGACGACAGCCGAAAATTCTTTCGATTTGCTAGAGTTTTTTGCGAAAAAATTGAAGACCTTTTTTTTTGCTTTTCAAGTTTGTGAGGAATAGAAAAATCTTTAAAATTGCTAGGGTTTTTCGCGACAAAAAATGTCTTGATTTGCTAGGGTTTTTTGAGTGGCCGGTGGACCCCCCTCCTTAATTTTTTTGCATGCCCATGTATGACATGTATAGAAATACAAGCGATGTTGATTTGTCGTTGTGTAGTTATGTAGTTTTTTCCCTATTGTTTACATTCAGTGTTTTTCCCTGAATGCAGATTCAATCACCAAAAGGAAGGAAGAAGAATGAAAGTAAGACAGAATAGAAGAGATGTTGAAACGATGAAAAAGGACGAAACGAATAAGAGTAAAATTATTCCTTTTCACAACTTCTGATGAACATTTTCGTCGCATTATTGTCGTGTTTGTGTGTGCATTTTCTGCTTACATATGCGAAAAGAAAAAACGCACAAACAAACAGATATTCGTAAATATAACTTGTTGGTTGAATGGCAAACGAAAAATGACAATCATGAACACAAAAACGAACTGATGAGAGAATGCAACGAAGGGAAAAAGTATTTATTTTTGTTAATAATCTAATAATACTAACGCTTTATCGTATATATCGTTGGCTTTAACAATATTTCTTATTTTTCTGCTCGCTCATGAAGAAGCCATTGGGAATGAAGTGTCTTAAGCCAAACCATATTCGCATTATAAAATAATAAAAGTGACAGAGGTAGCGCATAAGTCATAGTCAGGCAATCAACAATTGAAAAATCCGAAAATGGATGATATCTTTTTCTTTCGCCAATACGTTGAAAAAAGAGAATAGGTAATACCACAGACTGAAAAAACCGAAAGAGAAACCAAAGCACTCTGACTCAATGTAGCGGTGAATGTCATAAAAAAGTTTTTAAAGTATTACATTATAAAATGTGCGAAAAAAGCGAATGTATGATAAAAGAAAGTTCACAAATGAAAATATAGACAGCACTCTGTATACACTCTGAGGCAAAATGATATGCGAAGCACTTGCACATGAAAACACCAATATACGTTTTTTTTATTCTCGCACATTTTTTTTGCTAAGTATCACATTCAACGTAACACCAATGTTATTGATAAAAGCTACACAAAAACATTCTAATTAAGAAAACCGACGTAAAATTTTATGCAGAAGCTTTTTTATGCACCGCATACTGTTTCCGTGCTCTTATTTCGTCACACGCACACAGATCGGCAAAAGAAAGACACAGCGAAAAAAAAAAGATTTATAAATTTGGCCTCATTTTAAAATACAATTTTATGCTATGAAAATTCATTCCCGTTTAATTTTGTTTTTTTTTTTTGTACCGTGCCACCACGTATTCAACACTGTTTATTCAGCGTATTTTACAATATTAGAGGGAAAATCACAGGCATCAAATGCGCATTTTTCATTAGAGATTATGAATCACGTTCTCCACACAATTTGGAAAAGTGGCAAGGAAAAAAATTACGAAAAAGCCAGTAAAAAACGACACGGACATTTCTATCGTTGCTACTACATACGATATGAAAGTGACGGGAGATTTTTATGTTTCTTTAAGAATTGTTGAAAAAAAAAAAATGCAAAAAAAGATAGAGAGAATAAAAGAATATTTCGCTTGAAAAGTATTAATCCTTTTTGTGAAGCGAAATGCAAACACTTGATGATCATATCTCGCATATTTTTTTACTCCATTCGCAAGAGCAAAAAATATGATTTTATTAAGCTTCTTTCCGAATAAAAGTTCTTCGCCCCTTCTTTTTTAATAAAGACTTACAGAGTAAATATTGACGCATTATGAAATTATGGATTGCTGTTTGTCATGAACACCAAAATGCGATGAAAAAATTATTAGCTTTTTTTTTTTTACTGTGTGCCAGAAACATCATATAAAAAAGCCGACGAGATAAGCGCGTTTAATGCAAACGAAAAGTTTAAAAAGCAAATGTATATCAATGCTTGTTTTAGCATCACGTTGATTTTATTATCGCTTGACTTGTTTATATAAGAGGTTCGGCCTTTTTTTCTACCATCCTACATTGGTTCTTGTCTTAAAATTAATACGTTTTTATAGTAGGTTCGCCTGGACCTAGAAAATATCTCGCATCGCGGTGAATCAAGAACCAACGGAAAATCAAAAGAGAGAACGCTTTTATTGCACAAACAGAGAGGAAACTTTCATCGACCATGATCTGACTCATAGAAAATTTATTTCACTAAACGATTCATGTCTGCAGGCAGTATATAAACGGTCGAGAACAACGGCTATCTTGGGATGCACTAAGAGAAACCAAAAATTGGCAAAAATAAAACTTTTAATTGATTTAATATGTTGATGTAATGGTTTATGCTTTTTCAATGTGCATTCCAGTATTTCGGTCACTTTTTTGAAATTGTTGATAATTCAAAGCACACATATTCACACACACACACATACACAAACCCTCTCGCTATTAATCATTTCAGTTTGACATGTGACAGCATACTCCTTTTAATCATAGTGAAACTGAAATAACCAACTGAACAAACCAACAACGAAAAAAAAAATAGTAATCATAAAACCAAGATAACGAAACAACCAATTTACCGCACAATCTTTCTCTGTTTACTTTTGTTATGTATTCGGGTTTTCATTTCATTTTTTAAAATTCACCTGAGAACTTTGGTTCCCTCGTATTTATTTAGATAGACCGGAAACTCCAGCCGAGCATTTTTTGCATGTTCCAAATAAAAAACCAGCGCTCGAATATTTTCATCCTAGTTTTGAATAATAAAATGTTAAAGTGAATAACAATAAAAAAACATACAGAGTAGAGTAAATACAATCCAAATGAATATATATGAACAGATATAATTACCAACTAGAATATTCTTACACTGGCGCTAGACATTTAATGCGGAAATCTAAAAATGGTAAATGCATTGGATCAAAGAAAGGAGAAGCGACCAATTAAAAACAAACAATTTGAACAACATTTTTCGCTTTCATTGTTTGAAATGTCACTCACTCTCATTCTCTTTAAACTAAGCATCAGTTAAAAAGCTGCACATCTATAGAATGCAAAATGCGTAAAAACCTAAAATATGTTCACCTGGGTGCTCATTCGATGCTCAGCAGATTGCGTTTAACCAAGTTATGGTGCAAAACAATAGCATAAATATGAAAGCGAATTTATATTAGATATATGCACAATAATGCCGGCGATATCTATGGCAATACAAAATTAAAATTTATATTTAAAATTTAACATTCATATTTAAAAGTCGACTGGATTCAATGAATGATAGATTACACCTCTAGCTTTCGTTGAATAAGCTACGGTTTAAGCTTGTGCATTTGACCTGATCTAAAAAATCGCTCCTCCATCCGGCTATGAAGTATGGCGCATTTGAACCGAATATAGCACCAAGAAATAAACGCTCAAAATTCTGTTCGCATTGAAAAATTTCATCTGAAAATGGTACAGAAATAAAACAAAAACGAGAAAAAGAGAGAGAAAAAAAACCATCGAAATGATTATGAGATTTTGTTTAATAGAAATGTCATTATTACGTCACACTCTGGTGTTTTGAGAACGCATAATTTATTCAAATTATGTATTTCATACATAAAAGTGTTTTCACCACATCTGAATCGGTGACACCCCAGTCCCAGGCTATTTTTAAACCAATGTACAGCACATTATGAAACTTTCCCATTAAACATACCTACAAAAAAAAAATAGTGGCTTAAATGTGAATACAAATCACATACATTTTCACTGTATAATATATAGAATATCCGGAAAGAAACTTTTTGTAGACTAATGTTTTCTTTTTCCTTCTTTCTTTCTTTATCGTCTCATTCTCAACGTATTTTGACTTAAAGTACGATTTCGGTTTTTTGGTTTTTTTGTATATTATGGCAAGCGACATCATTTAATATAGTGTAACAGCCTTGAGGAAGTTACAAAGGAGAACATTTGGGTATTTGAGTGAAAGCACAAGAGTCTTTTTTTTTTTGAAATGGTTCACGTACACAAAAGAACTGATTTCAAGGCGGGTGTCAAATGCAACGAACCTTTTCACTCATGAGCCACAATGTTATTCTTTGTTACCCCTTTTCTTTTTGCAACTAATGCTTTATAATCTCACATTATTGTTCTCGCACTTTTTCCTCTGATGATAATTAATGGCCGAAATGACAGCCAATGTACATGTCTCAGTTGCAGTTACATTTTGACCTATACAAAGATAAACACGAGTAATCACATTGTTAGTTTTAACATTTGAATTTGTTGATAGCAGTTGACATTAAGCATATTTGGATTAGGTTACGATGAATTTGTTGGCTTGAAATTAGGATAATTCCATTTTATTCTCGGTGCCATTTGAAAAATTCACCATTATTATATTATACGGTCGCTCATTGAGCACATGCACCTTTTTCTATATCTCAAGATTTTATTTGAATACAAAAAAAAAATCTATGTGCAAATCATTCAACCAGTGGTCAAACCTTTTGATGTGCCCAAAATAATCGCTGTCAAATGATCGATGACATCTTTACGTTTTTGTTTGGTTTTCAATCCACTGCGTTCTAGTCGTAAGAAAGTCTCTTCGAAAAAACAATCAAAAATCACTTCCATATTGACACTTAGTTATCTAATTAGTTTCATTCGAATCTACAACGAAAATAAAAACTCAATTAAAACTCAATATATTTCAATTAAATAGTTGCTTTGTAAATTCTAATCAAATTGTTTTTCTATTAAACAAAGAAAAAAACAACACACACACATGGTAATATCTTTAAAATGCAATTACCAATGGAACGTGGGTTAGAGGAAGACGATTTGATTACACTTCGAATCTATTTCGCAATACACACAATACTAGTTGTAAATTTAGTAGATGAAGAATTGCAAGTGACTCAAAAACCACGAATGTTGCTTCGAACGATGTTTGTTAGCGCACAACAGCACAGCTGAACTGACACCCTTCAATTCAAACAACAAAAATAAATACGATTGAAACCATACTGTTTATTGTTTTCTACGTTGCTTTTCCTTTTTTATTGCTTCCTTCTTTTTCATTAGATCTATTCAGTCGGTTTTTTTCTGGCATATAGATTTTATGGCCTTCTTTTCATTCGGATATCGAATATCGTACGTTCCCAACCGGACCATGTGAGAGCTAAACGGTTTTGTTTAAATGAAATGGCACATAATCTGAAGTAAACATGTAAGGCTTCACGAATACAATTTTCCACAATGTAATGAGAAACAAACAAATATTTCATTTCGTCGACGTCAATTAGTGTGGAACGTTCAATATTGGTTTACTCAGACAATATATTTAGCACACTGATCAGCTGACACGAACCAGCCGGTTAATTGGTACACTTCGATTTTGTGACATTTATTGATTGTAATTGCGCTAATTCGTGTCAGCTACGCTGATTAGTTAGCCCGATATATTGTCTGTTTTGTTCTACGATGTACCATGAAACAACCAACTCATTTGTTGTGCCATTTTAAATGAAAATCTCATATATGACAGTTTATAGTTTGAAAGCTCACCGTATGTTCTCCGCTTTGAGTTCTCTTGTTTTTATCATGTAATATTTAACGTCAATGTGTGTTTTTGCTCTGAGATTGTTTTTTTCATTTTCTCAATTAAGCGGCATTTACGCAAAAGAGAATAAAAGAAGTTATGTACTATGTTGTTACATCATCAGGGTTTCGTTTATAAAAACACATGTAAAACCATGATTTCCCTTTTCAAAATTATATCATGTCAAATGGTGAATTTTAATTTACGTTTCATTTTTTTTATATATATATCACTCCAACTAAGATTTGGGTATTATTTTTTTGCACCTATGAAAAAAGAGATTTTCTATGTGGATCGAGCGCAGTACAGTTTTTTAATGACCCATCAACAGGCAAGCATGAAATAAGATGAAGAGAGTAAATTGGTGCCGTTGGAATGTTTCTAATTTATTTTCTTGTGCATATTTTGCTTCCTCATTTTTACTGAGAATCGTTTTAACTATGTGAAGAAGATATATTTAAGAAATGTATGGGAGAAAGAGAGAGAGAGCTACATCCGACTACCTTACATTAATTTATTTATTACAATGCGTTTTTTCCTACTTTTTCTTCTGGTTGCGTCCATTTTTTTTTCGTCTTCTCTGTTCTGTGTTCGCCGCAACTCTTTGCAATTAAAATGTACGTAAAAGTTGTTGAAAGAATGAAACAGGAGCAAATATGTGTAATTACTCGAGGGAAAAAAACAAAGAATTAAAATTTGTATGTATTTTTTCTTGTTCGTTGAGAGTAGCATGATGATAAATAATTGAGATTCATCGTAATGGGTTACTTGTGCGACGATAAATTATTACATTTTGAGCGCAAACTAAAACATTCGCACAATTTTCACCGTGTATGTGTACTAAGATCGAATTAAGTGTGTGTGCGTGTATGTCTGAGTGTATACGCGTATACAGGCCCATTTGGGCTTCCACAAAGATTAATATAAATAAAACAAAGTGAAAGTAAAATAAATTTAAAAGATAATTAAAGTGGACTTTTTATTTTGTTCGGTTGATGGTTTTTTCTCACTCTCTCTATTTATCCGCCCTCTTTTTACAATTTGCGAAACATTTTTTTCTTCTTCTAATTATTCGTTGTCATTTTATACGGCCTGTTATTTTTAAAATGAAACATAGAGAATGTATATGTTCCGATTATAGTCGATTTGTGTGGCGCACAGAATGCGTATACGCTCATATAAAGCCAGTTTTTTAACTTTTATTATATTTTTCTTCTCTTTTTTTCATCATCTCTGCTTTAGATTATTGTGCAATAGTGACAAATTTGATGAGCCGTTTGACTTTGAATATCGCGGTTTGGTGACGATGAAAGGTAAAGCGGAGCCCATGAAATGCTGGTTCTTGAATCGTTCGAAAAGCGACTACGCCAATATACCACATCCTGAGGATCTTTTAAGATAATCAAAATGAAGCAGTGCTTTACGGTGCCGTAATTTGCAACGCGTGTACTCTATTGTGTAAAGTTAGAGCGAGTAGATTGAATGTACGAATAGAGGAGAATGACAACAATTTAGCGATTGAACAAACAAACGAACGAAGACATACATTGTTTGTTATATACTATAGTAATAACTATATGGCAGCATACAACACAGATACATTTTCATCATCTCCACGTTTTTATTCACATTCTATTCACCGCATTGCCGTACGCAACATGTGTGTTTGTGTTTGTGTGTGTGTGTGTGTTCGTGTGTGTAGACATTATTGTTACTTTAAGCATATTTCATTCTGTTGTTTTTTTTTATCTTTCGCGTCTCCAAATCAACTCTTCCGCCCACAAAAGCCTAAAACGCGGATGGAGAAACTTTTTTGAATGTATATGTGTGTGTATACCAATCTACTACTACATAAAATATATGTTATGAAGATATAGTCAATTTTCTTTCGTAAATGTGCGTGCCCATTTAAATTACTTCCAAACATAAATTGAAAGCTTTAAACAAAATAAATTATTTCTTCACACTATACGTGAGCGGAAAATATATATATAAAAATAATCATAAAAATGAAATGAGACGTTGTAAATAATTGAGATAAATCAAAAAAAAATCTCTCTGAAAGTAAATGGCGCAAAAGAAACATGCAAATCAGAGATGTGAACAGCAAATGCGATTTATCTCGCGAATGAGACAACCGTTGCGTGTTTGCGTTTCCACCAATCTGAATGGATACCAAAAAAAAAGAAATGAAAATGGTAAAAATGCTTGGTACACCTTTCAAACATGTCACATGCGTTCTGAGAAAATGTGCGCGCTCTTCTCTCATAACATTTCGTTTTCATAATATTCACATTCCTTTCGCTTCTATTATGTGTGCGTGTGTCTCTCTGTGTGTGTTTTGGTTTTCATTTAAAAATGATTTTTTTTGGTTTCATTACATCATTAATCGCCTCATTTTCACCATAAATTTGGCATTTTGCTGGTTCACATAATAAGTCGAACACAATTATCACCGTCAACAAACCATACACATAATCCTTACACATTCAATCCATACATATATATCACAATGAATAGAAACAAACAAAAAAAAAGGGTGTGTATGCACACGAAAACTTTACGACAAGTGCAACACAGACAACAAACATGCTTTATAACCTATTCTATCAACGAACATGGTGAAAAGTGCCAACTTTTTATAATAATAAAAACTATGCGATCAGTCTTCTACCATTTAACGTGCATACACACATCAACAGCAGCAATATTTTACACGTAAGCAAATAATCCTAAAAATAAAATTAATTATGATAGCATAGTAATTAAATGAAAAATAAACAATGCAAATTACACTATTATTGCAATATAAATATACATAAAATGTAAGTGGGTGAAAATGAAGCAGGCAGAAAGAAACATGATGCCGATTATCGAATATGAAACAACCAAGTTAAACATTAGCTCAGTAGCAAATGGCCACAAAAAAAATATCTCCCCAGCCACATTTTTCGTTAATTGAAAGAGGATACTTTTGAGGAAATTATCATTTTTGGGAAGCGACAGATGATTCTAGTTCCATATCTGTTTGCCATACTTCAATGTATGCGTAGGTGAATTCATGATCTCAATCTCTCGCTTTCGTCAAGATTCCAACTGAGCATTCTGTCGTGGAATGTTTGCATTAAATAATTTGCATACATATGAAGTGTTATCTTTTTTTTTGTTGAGGAACAAAAGAGAGAATCTCCATAGGGAGGTTGTAAGCCCGGATGGCTCCCCCATTAAAAAAAAAGAATTCGCGGTTTACTTAACCCAAAGAAACAATAAAAATGAAATTAATCACCTTTTTGTTTGTCATTTTTTTTTGTAATTTTTGGACTCCCCTTCATGATTTCTGATTGTGCCCATGTATGCTTGACACTTACACACACAAATGGAATTGCAAGAATGCACTTGAAATTATGTGAATGGAAAATGTGAGAGAGTGAAAAATGCAATGCAAATGTTCCATTTCGTTCCCTTTTCACAGTACAAACATGTGCGCGTCGACAAAATTTTATATTATAAAAGTTGTGTCTGTGCACTTCTATCAAACGCCTCTTATTGTTATTCGTTCTATTTCTACTCACGGAAATGGAAAGTTCGTTTCGTCTCTGTTCGACAAGAGGAGAAAAAAAACAGATCCCATATTATCTTCGTATAAACATCACTTTTAAGTAAAATATATGAACATAAATGCAAAATATAAGCTATGATGCAAACATTTAGCCCTCTAATATGAAATAATGGCATCATTTTCATTGTGTATTTTATTCAGCATATGGCAGTGGCCAAAGAATGTGAACGAAAAAGTGACACAGCTAGTGAGCAACAACAATAAAATTCATTGTGCCCAAAATGATTTTCGGCTTTTCACTGAAACTCTTAGATGTGCATCTAGTACTTTCAGCTTTAGCTCAGTGCTTAGTTGGTATTTGCGTACATAAGCCAGTATGTAGGAGCTATAATCATATTTAAACTATGCAAGGAAGCTCATTGGTATTGGTCCAACATGAGCCAATATATTAAATATTCAATTTCAAAGGAAAATTCCTCAATTTAAGTGGATTTAATAAATACACAAATTACAACGATCGCATTCTTGGCAAAAAGAATGAAGAACTAAGTGCTTTGAATACGATATAGTTGATTCGATTCAATCGTGACGCAAAGTCACTTTCCCATATTCTACATGGTTCGTTTTTTTGTTAGTTTTCGTTTGGCAGTGAACGAACACATCATATATGTATGAAGAGATGATAATATCTCATACGCATCATCATTTACTGTTCTCACATTGCTATAATAGATGGGAACAATAATAATAATCAACGAGCGAAAACGTGAACACTTCATTTGTCAGTCGTACGTCCGCCACACAATGCTTGTTGCATGAAAAAATGTACACAATTCACATATTGCACATTATTTGCTTTTTTTGTGTGTTTGAATTAGATTACAAAAGGTCAAACTACTGAACATTTTGCACTATTCACAATTCATATTTCACAAATGGAAAAAAAGTGAAAATATTTATGTTTGCCGAGAGCAAGTGTGGGACAACACTGAAATACCAATAATATCTCACAGCAATTGTCAGCATATTCGAATTTAATTTGATCACAAACTAGCCATTTCATTTATTAAATGATATAAAGTGATTGGAATGACTAACGCCTGTGGGCCAGTGTAATTGCGTAATAGAAAATCTGATGGGAAAATATTATGCGTTTTTTTTTCTTCTCGTCCATACGTGCTTTTTCCCATTTCTCCCACATGGTATCGATAATAGTAATTATTTTTCATTTGCAATTGAGCACGCAACATATTTGAACTGTAAATGAACCAGTTATAAAAGCTTGCACTCATCAATCTCCAATTAAATAACAATAGTTTGCGTATTATTCGGGGTTGTTGGTAATAAGTTAAGGGATAAATATTTAAATATAACAAATGAGCATGCAGAGAAATAAAAAAAAATGCACGAAAGCGAAATGGATGCATCATGGTTATTAAAGCACAGTGCGAATGGGTGATTGCAAGTTTTTTGGTGTTCACGCTTATTTACACATTAAAATTAATTTGAAATTAATTAATCCAATGAGCGTTTATGGGAGAGATAGATAAAGAGAGAGAGAGAGAGAGAAAGAGAGAGAAAAAGAGGGAGGGGAGGAAGAAGGCATAAAAACACAGCTATAGAAATGATGCAATAAGTTGCATAGGTATTTCTCAACCGAATGCTAAAATTCAGACCGATTTAAATAATTCAGAGACACGTGACTTAACCGAACAAAACTTAGCAAATGGAATAGAATAAATGTGCTTGCAAAACTTTTTGTGCATACAAAATCAGTTGGAGATACTATAAATATGAGCGAGAAATAGAGAGAGAAATGGCAAAAAAAAGGATGAGGATGCATGAGAGTGTTGATTTAAATTCTCGAGTTGAGACGAAATAAATTTGTCTCCCGGCTCAATTAATTTATTCGGTTTATAAATTATTAATTTCAAATGATAATTTATGAAGAGTTTTTTTTTTAGATGAAAATCCGCCAAAACAGAGACATACAAACAAAAAGTTTATAGAAAATAAGAGAAGAAGTGAGAGAGAACAATGAAAATAAAATTACGATAGAAACAGAGTATCGCATTGTGTAACAAGTTAAATAATAATAACAATTAATAATTCATTCATACAACGATGCTAAAATTTGGTGAGATTTATGGCAATATTTTTTTTGCGTCTCAATATTACACCCTTGTGTGTATAGGGGAGTTGGGGGGTGGAATCGGGTTGGCTCGCTTTCCAGGCATATATCTCAAATGTCAAGATCGAATGGGTGGACGGTACGGTATCATTTGGGGTTACATCTTTCTGAGATACACCCAAATTTTTTGATTTTATATTTTGGATTTTTAGTTGGCCAACATGCTTCTTCATGCCTTTGGCATATTTTTAATGTATTTAAATGGAAATTATTCATATTCACAAGAAAGCACTCGACTTTAGCTACAAAAAAATTGCATACCCAACAAAATATTTGATGTGAAAAAGTTTGAATTCTGTAAATGCAAAAAAAAAACCAATTTCAAAGAGCGGAATACACAATTGTCGTTCAGCGATGGTTTGAAAACGCCATGGAGTATAAAAAGACCCAACTAATAAGATATGACACTTGAATATAAGTTTTGCTGTTCATGAAAAATCGCAATGGCTCCGATTCGCTCTCACTTCCCCTATTCACAGCTGAATTAGAGAGAGTGAGAGTCAGAGAGAAAAAGAAACAGAAATGGAAGGTAGAATAAAGTTTTGGTTCAAATTTTCAGTTTAATGCTGTCGGCAAATTGCTAGTAACGTGTTCATATCACAGTATATATAAATAAAAAAATCATTCACTTACAATAGATACACAGTTATGTGCAGAATGGAAGAGTTTTTTGCTTACACAAATAGAGAGTGCATATATTACTCCATAGAAACCATTGCAAATGGAGAAGTATACCACATAAAAACGAAGAGAGAACAAGAAAGGCACATTATTATCATTAAAAGTCATAAATGTTTTATTCGAAAATTTCCCGGAATGCGCACATTGATTGGAGTATAAAGTAAAAGTACATGAAAACAAGCGAAAAAACCAAAAAAAAAAAGAGAATAAGATAACAAAAAAACGCGTACCGTTATATTTGCGCATAAGATAGGGCTTAATATTTACTATAAATTTAAAGATAAAGATTATTCGCATAAGTAAGTAGCTTTAAATTGTTTGAATTTAAATGTAAACGCTTGTTCCAGCAAAGAGTAGTGTAATCAACCAAATGCTATATCCATCGATTGTGTAATCGACAATCGTTTCTCGTACGTATTTACAGAAAAGAAAAGAAAAAAGCACTAAACAAACAAATAGAATACGCATGTCATGTATGCGGTAACAATGTAACTAGAGCACAGCCACAAACTGAAGTGTAAATACTTTAGATAAAAAAAAGATCATTAAGAAATTTTTTGATGAAAGTGAAGTTTAAATTTCATTCACATTGATCTCACAAAGTTGAACTGCTCACAACCAGTTATCTGAATATCCGCTGATAGTTTCATACGCTGGATGCAACATCAGTCCAAAAGTCATCAGTGAGCTCGGCTGCTGAGCATCAGCATCTAAGAATATCAGTGGCTATTCAGATAGCTGATATACTGCTCTGGCATACACTTTGTTTTCATTAAAATTTATATCCAGTAGGCAGTGTTGAATAAATGATAAAAATGTGTTAATTATTAATTTTACAAAAAAAGAGTTAGACCGTTTGTTGCTATTCTGACGAAGTCAATATAACGGCAATACTCTTCGACACACTTTCAAAAATTAAATATGCATCGTTTGTTCATGTAACAGATAGATAAAAATATTCATTCTTTCAAGAGAAAGAGGGAAGAAATGTTTCTTTTTCACCAAAATTTGATGAATTATGATGTTAGTGTTGTTTCTATCTGGTCACTATCCTTCCATAGCATGGAAGCCATATCGAAACTGTTATAAGCTGATTCGATAAGTTCAACATAAACCGAATTTGTAATTTTTAAAAGATTTAACTTATTGAATTTGAATCCATGCGTTCACAACCATTTATATTCAATGATGAAATAAAATAGGGATGTCTGTTAAATGACCAAGCCCACATCATTCAACCCCAGAAATGTAGCGTGAAATAAAATTAAATTTTAAACTAAATAAAAGGAAAACAAAAAAAAATGCATAATCCGAATAAGTAATAAAACACGACTATTTACTATAATAATATGATTAAAAGAAGAAATAATAATTATTTATAACTAAAAAGAAAAAAAAATTAGAAAGAAAGAAAAAACTTTTCGGTTTTAGCACAAACACAATGTCTTCGATTCAATGCCTATTTATAAATTAAAAAGAAATGTTCTTGTTTGAGAGTTTATGTAAGCGACAGAAAAAGAAGAAGAATACGAAGGGATTTTCATTTCTGTTTTGATTAAACGTTGTTATGAAGTTCAAAATTCTTTTAAATGTGAATTGTATTTTATGTTATGTTTAGTCAATAGTTTATGAGTGTGATTTGCTTCACGAAATACTGGAATGTTCATTTTCAATCCAATTGAATACACAAAACACCGAACGTAATGCTGAAATGTAAACGAGAGCAAGAGCGACAAACGTTATATGATTTTAAGTTTAGATAAATTGCACAAAAGTAGTGTGCAATACACCTGTAAATGCAATCGGATGTAGTTTTGCTTGATATTTTCTCTATTTATTTTTGAAACAAAACAAACAACCAAAATACATATACACACATCACTGATTACTGAATAATTTAACGGACGAACGCTGCGCTGAAAACAAACCATTACACATTAAAACATTTAATGAAAATGAAAACAACAACACAAAAAATAACAAACACATTGCAAACCACTAACCTGTATTATATATATATATTTATTTAAATCAAATAAAAATCTTCTAAATACTTGTAGAAACTAGAAAACAACAATAAAACTGAACTAATTCTTATCTTTATGCAACCGCCATGAGCCATTTGTTTCATTCATACAATTTAGCTAGTAGCTATAATGGAAATGTACTGATTTCCGTCGTGGATGCCATTTTGAATATTGTTGAGTATGCAGTTTGAGCTCCTTTCAAGGTATGTGTGATAATTTATTGATGAAAATATCTTCAATTTTATAAAATCATCACGAATATGTAATCAAGTCAATTTTTGATTGTTCGAGTTTTCTTTTCTTCACTTTTGGATTGCCGGTAAACGAAGGTAGAGAAATGAGAGCGAACGAAAATTGAGAGATAAAGTTTTTTTTTTCTTTACCTCTCTCCTTCACTCTTAGGTCTAATTTTCTCTCATTCAAGCGTGTCTGAAATGAAAATTTATCAAGAATGATACCAAAAAAGGTCGAACGTGAGAAATTTACTACTTTGCACTTTTCATTTACTACCTTCATTCACTTTTATTGCTGTAATTTGTTTATTTTAAATTCCATATTTTTTCCGGACGATAGTTCCAAACAGGCTTTTGCTATTACCATTATTATCATCATCATCGTCACCGTTGCCGTCGCCATCGTCGTCGTCGTCTTCGTCCTAGTTAGCTTTATCGTTATTGTTGTTGCTGTCATAAATTTAAACTTGAACTTTGCATTTGTAAAAGCCATCCAAATTGGAAACGATCATGAATAACAAAATTTACTGTAATATTAAAGCATATTTTGTGGTAGTGAGTTTTTGCTGTTTGGAAATTTATTACATCCTCTCAATTATATCATCAATATGCATGTGTCAAAAATACTCCTATATATCGACCATACCATAAACAAATGACGATGATATCTTTTTTTCATCTGTGAATGTGTTGCTTTTTCTCATTCATATTCAAAGTTGTTCAATGTCTTCGGCACTTCAACATATAATGTCATTCTTAATTTTTATTTTTCGCCATTTCTCAATGGCAAATGAACATCAAAATATGAACTGTGTGCCATTTTCATCTCTTTATTTGTGTTTGTGTTTGTATATGTGTGTACGCTGGCGCCTCTCTTGCCATCTTTCATTCTACGAATCGACAGTAATAAAGCAAAAATCCAGAAAAAAAATCGTCTTCTGTTCTTGGTTTTTATTTAACTTATCTACCCTGTGATAAATGACACATAATACTCATCATTTTATGCAAAACAGAAAAGAGAGAAGAGAGAAAGCGAGGTTGTATGTCACAAAATTCATATTGTTAAGTGGAATAAGTATGCTAAACTATCGTTTTCGTAGTATAATAGCAAAAAATCATCATACATGAGACTTTTATCTTTGTAAGTTAACTTTTATAGCAATATATTATATCTATGGAGTGTATGCGTTGGATCGTACTTAAAGTGATTAAAGTGTTTAATGTGCACAAGCATTATGTGATGCTTTTGGGCGAATATTTATCCCATAAAAATTTAGATATCACTTTTTACATATTCTATTATTTTATTCTCTTACCTTAGTTAGCACTGTTTAGTGTTATCGTGCTATAGAGATATTCATTTTTTTTTGTTTTGACAATTTCTCGTCGGCAATATATTGAACAAATAAAAAGTTTTCAAACAATTAAACGATTTGAGTGTTTTTTTCCTCTTATCTCATTAAATACAAAAACAAATTATATGATTTATTTTGATATTTTCTTGAACATTCATTGTAAATTTATTATTACGGCTAATGGTATAATTCATTGGATTTTAAGTCTGTTGTCGCTTCGAATTGACATGAAAATAGATTTTATCAATGTGCTTTAAAGAGTAATGTAGACATCGGGTCATGGAACTGTGTCGTTGATTTCGTCGGAACTGAAAATGGTTTTGCAAATGTTGCTATTCAAAATGTACAATAGAGTGTTTCCCGTATCAGCAAATAAAAAAATGGTATTTCTTAATTCAAAGAAGGCAAAATTCTATGTTAGTAAATGGCATTCATATAACGAAGCGATTGATTTTAGCACTTCCCGAAACGAAAACATATCTGAAAATATAGTTGATTAGAATTTGAAGTACAATTCTCTTTGCTGTTTGCACGTATATCGACACTGTTCGCTTTGATAGAATATTGTTGCGATTCTTTAGAATTCGATAAATAAACAAAAGAAAGTATTTATATTCAACGCATTTTCAGAATCGTGTTGTTCGCTGTGTCAGCCGTTTTTTTGGCCTGTAAAATCATTTTATGAATTGAACCAAGCAGTCCATACAACACATACACATTTATATCGATCGCGATAGGCTAATAATAATAATCATTCCGTTTCTTTTGCTCTTAAGTGTTTACATACAAACTGTGATTCCGTTTATTGGTTCCGTACCATACATTCTTATTCAAACGCTTTATAAACAAAAAATGTGTGCAGTATAAGAATGCTTTCGACACAGAACCATCGGAATGTGGAGAAGTGTGTTGGTTCAAATGAAACGATCGTGTTGAAACTTGTCAGAATCAATGTTTTTTTTATTTGAATTTGCATCGTCATAATTTCATTGGATTCGATTGATAAAAGTGCTAAAACATATTTTTGGATTGTGTCAGTGTATGTTATATTTGTTTCTTGCTTTCAAAGAAGTTTATTTTTCGCTGTAGGCGGTTTTCTATTGGAATCATTGTCAACCGATTGTTTTCAAACGAGATATTTGCGGTGAATTTTGTGTTTGATTTTGTTTAGTTTTGATAATAACAAAACATTCACAAGCTGAAACTGCAAATATTTCGATTCAACTTTGGACCGTGTTGGTGTGGTTTGCATTTATATGTTGCATTCAAAAGAGTTAATATCACTCAATTTGTCGATTTTGAATCACTTCACGCTTAACATTCAATCAGGTAACATCAAGTGTCAGTTTTGTCCCCATATATTCAGTGCTTCCTATTGATTCAATTCATTTAAAAATTACACAGTGCAGAAAATATATTTGTCATTTTATTTGTGTTCTAAATTGCGCGTGTGTTTTTTTTTTATTTCGTTTTAGTTCAACATGTCAACGACTGGTGAAACTACGGCTGCTACAGCGCCAAGAAAAAAGCGATACAAATTTCAAACGAATGCGCAAAAAGAAAAGGATGCTGATGATGATGTAAACGATAATGGATTGTTCGCGATTAAAATGCGCCTCAACACAATTTTACGACCAGAGTTCAATCACATTGTCAAACCGTGGATCGAACAGAAAAGCATAATGTCAACGAAAATCACCGTTTTGGCATCATTACTTTTCTTGGATAAAGTGAAATCGGCACAAATGAATCGACAGTGGGAGTTTTTTAAAAACCGAACGTATCCGGCCAAAAAAGGAAAGAAGAAAGGACAGCTCGTTGAAAAGAATCGTGGCGAAGAAGTGATTGAGCAATGTTTCTATGCCGTCTTGCAAAAAAACAAAGAGGGTGAGAATATGGAGCCACATTTCCGTCAGTTTGTCGAAGAGCTTAGTCCAGAAAATAATTTCGCCTGGCCCAAGAACGATTATTTTGGTAATCATTTTAAAACGCTTTGCCAAAATCACACGCGATGCTTGAAAACCGGTCAAAAGACACACTGCAAGAAGAAGTTGAAAAATTATCTGCGAATGCGAGCGTGGCAATTCAACGCAGTGTCTACCGGTTGGAAATTCGACAAGAAGGACATTGACAATGCAGTCGATTTGATGATTCGAGGCTACAATGCGATCCGTGACACTCATCAAAATGCAGATTTCAAACGACACAAGCGAACATTACTTACTGGCATGGTTACTGCAATTGTGCGAGAAGTTGGTGGCCCAACCAATGATCACAACATCAAGGATTTTTCAAAAGGCGATTATTGGTTCAAAGCAACTGCAATGTGGCTCGTTATGCAGACAGAAATCGATGAGTGGCACAATTGGGCGCAAGATAACAATGTGAAGATACCAAATATCAAAAATCTCTCGGTTGTTCCATTGCCTGATTATCAACGAAAGGCAGTGTTCATGTGCAATGATGTCTTCTATCGAATGCTGGCCGAATCGAAACAACTTCCACAAGTTGATGGTAGACAAGCAACCGAAAGTTACATTCGCCAGAACAAAGAATTCTATTGGAATCAAGTATTCGATTTAACGACCATCAATCGAAAACTGAAGAAAAACAAAGAATTCCATTATACCATCGTCAGCAACGGTGAATCTGTGTCGATTATGTATCGCATGTCAAAGCAATACGAGCAACAGATGCAGAATGATGATATTCTTCGAAAGCAATTCATCGGCGGAAAATTTGCTTACGAACTGGGAATCGATCCAGGCATGAAAACATGGAATGCCACAGTTCGTCGAAATATCGAAACGAAGAAAGAAGTGAGTGTTTAAATTTTTGGCATTATTGAGAAATAGAAAGTGATACAGTTACGTGAATAATTTTTTTCTTCACTTTTCCATTTCAGGTCAACTTGAAAACGTCCAGTAAGAAGTACCATTGGCTGGCAAAGCAGAAGACGCGCGATGTAAAGGCAAAACGATGGACGAAGCAGTTCACCCAAGAGGAGCAGGACGATCGAAATAATCGACAATTGTATCAGCGAATGCCATCACCACTGGGCATACTCTGGATTGATTACGTTCATCATCGTATCAAAATGCTCAAGAAAGGAATGGCCGTGTATACAACACCGAAATACACGCTGTTGCAGTTTGACAAGTACGTCGAATCGAATCGAACCGTTGATAAACTCACTGGGAATTTGGTCAATCATAAAGCCGCAATTATTCACATGGGAAATGCAGAAATATCACCAGACTCGTGCATTCGAATCAAAAAGCATGTGAGAGCTCCAGGTACGCGCAAACTACTCAAAGGCTTTCGAAAACGTCGCAATTGTCGTGTGCGCAAAACAGATGAGTGGGGTACATCGCAGCATTGTGCAAAGTGTGGGCGACGATTTAATCCAGCCACAAGGAGCCATCGATTCAAAGTGTGTGAAAATTGTAGAGCGGAGCCCGATTCAATTTTCGCCGAATATTTACCATCAAAAATCGTAGCACAGCGCAGCAAACGGCAATTGAGGTACAACAAAGATGAAGTTGAACTTTATTTGATGCGATTTTGGGCAGAAGGACTCATGACTGAGCAAGAATTCGATATTGCTGCTGAACGTTTACTGTCTAAGGTGGCCGTGTATCCAAAAAATTGGCAAGTAAACACAGTGAGTGGTAAATTGGAATATGCTCAAGTCAATGCTGATGCACCGTATGCAACTGTTCAACAGCCATATGCAGTCGATGATGAAAATGAATTGGAAATCGAAGACAAGCAACTACTAATGGCTGTACACAAGACATCTTGGGATCGTGATATCGTCGCCGCCAAATGCATTCTCATCAAAGGTATGTGTATTAGAAATTTGCATTTGCATATATTCTACATATTAAATGAAATGCACACTATTTGAATGATCTATTTTAGCGCTCGATGATAAATATGTATGCAATATTTAATGACATTGAGAAAATATTTTTTTAATAAAAAAATAAATTTCTGTTGAGATATCTAAACATTTGTATAGATTTAAGAAAAAAAATCATTTCTGCCAATAATCTATACATTATTTCCGTGTGTGTGTTTACTTTTGAATAGGACATTGTGAGCTGTTTGGATGGGATATTCCGGCAGGATTAGACAGACGATCACCGCGACAGCCAGCAGTTCAACCGAATCAGCAGCCTTAAGCGTCACCAATCACCATTCGTACTCGAAAATTAATCAAAAATTAATATTGTAATTTGTTACATTAACTGAGACTGACTGTTGTGTCTCAGCATTTCGAGGAAGTACTTCTAGGTGTTTTTTTCTGTAAGTATTCTTCACTATGAGATTGTATTCATATAATGGAGTGATTGATATTCATATTCAGAGGCAACAATCGTTTTTCGCTTCGGGAAGTGTTGATATAAATCGCTTTGTTGTATCGATGCTACTAACCAGCATAGAATTTTGTCTACTTTCAATTAAAAAATACCATTTTTCTATTTACAGATATGGGAAACACCCTAAATTGTACAAACTGATGTATGCGCATGTATTTCAAATTTTTTTTTTTGTATATTATATACGATAATTAAAAACTAATGACGGTATCTATTTATATTTTTGTTCATCTTATTTGACTTTTGTTATTTGCTTATATTTAAACTTCTGTTGAACGATTGTTCAATGGTGGCGATGGAAGGCCTACATTTTGTGTTAAAACTGGCGATCCACTTGACACTGGTGATCCAGTACTGTCGGAGAAAAATCGATTTGATGATGGCAAAACACGAACACCACCACTTGGTGTACGACTTTGTGCTATGGCAGTGGTAGCCCCACTATAGCCACTATATACGGGACTAAAGCCTGGCGATATGTCGGTCGGTCGTGTTAGGTAACTTTCTTCTTGTATTGTGTCCGGATGTTGTAATTCATGTCGTTGTTGACTTCGTCGACCGGTTTGCCGTTCGGGTTGCTGTTGTTGTGGCGTATCATCTCCATAGTTGACATCCTTTGCTACTTGCCTTTGTGGAAATTCGCTACCGCCTTCCGATGATGTGAAATCTTCTTCGTCTAGGTCCCATTTTTTAGCTGGAAATTCAATATTCGGTTTTCCTTCTAATGGTTCATGTGTTCTGTATACTTTTTCATATGACCTACTTTTTTTCAATGTATCACTATCACCTTCATCGCTTGCCAAATGACGCAATGTCGTTCGCGATCCGCCCCGTGATCGTGGCAATGAGAGCTTCCAACCAGGATCTACTTTACGAGCCTTTTTCCGATAACAATAAACACCACATACAATGCACAAGATAATTGGCAATATTGCGGCAAATACAACACCAGTGGCCAGCCAGGCAGAGCGTTGTGTATAATAAACTTCGCCTATAAAATGTGAACCGGTAAAACATTTTTTTAGCACTTTATCGCTCATTTTTTGTATATTAATTTTATTATTAGCTTACGTAAACATTGAGTGTATCCGTAAATGGGTGGATCCCATCGACCGTTGTTCAAACAACTTCGTTTTGAATCACCAATTAAAACAAAACCTTCATTACACTCAAATTTAACAGTTGTACCAGGTGTAAAATCGAATGTTGATTTTCGTCCGAAACGTGGCGGTTCCAATGCACCGCACGATATAACTTTGTGCTCGTTGCTGGCCTTGATATTTACAAGTTCATCATAATAGAATTTCGTATAATGAGCCATATCACGATTCAATGACATTCCATAATCGTATCGACACTGATAACTTTCACCACACAATCCATATGCACGTTCGATATCTTCCGTACGATTCGGTGGCAAAAAGTCTCTTGGATCACGGAAAAAGTTTGGAAGGAAGGTAGCGTTCGCATAGTAACTTGCCGTTCGACCAAATTCACGTGTGAACAATGCAGCACCAACGCCAGGCTTCTCTCTGTCGGCCAACATCCCTAGAAAATAAGGGAAATAATTAACAATTTATTTAAATAATTCATTACGGACAATTCTTTAAGAATCCGGACCAAATTCGAAAAAATATTCCGTTTCAACTTACAATGCATTGCAAAATCACGATGAGTACTTTCGAAATTATTCAAATTTGCACCAACAATTCTGCCATCTGGCAATGTGAAATCATCGGCCATATCCCAAGTCCATGTGCCAAGCAATCCACGTGTTTTATTCTAAAATTACATTGAATTTTAATTCAATTTCATCATAGTCTGATAATCATAAATCAACTCACAATGAAATTCCATGGTAAATACACACGGGCTGTTAAGAAGCCAGCATTTTCAACCACTTCAACTCCGGCACCAGACGAAAACATAATAACAACTTCAGATTGATTCAAAACGTAAGTTGGTGTATACACAGTTACGCCATGAAAGGCTTGGAATTTTAAACTGGGACGATCAAAGTAAATCCGTCGTCCATTGGCAAAAACGTCGAGTCGATAACGCCATTGAGCGTGCGGTGGTCGAAGTCGAACTTCAATTGGTGTTGTTGAGAAATTTCCCCGTGCGACAATCGATGTGAGCTGTGTTGCCATGACAGAACCGTGAATATTTCGTTGAACTTGTTCGAATCTTCCTTGAACATCCAATGGCATTGCGCTATCGTTTACACGGACCAACACAAATTCACCCATACCATTGAAAGTGTATTGTAAATCATCGAAAGTAACAACATGAGGATCGCCAAAAACTCCAGCTACTGCCGGTGATTGGTATGCAATACAATCTTGGGTCGGACGACGTTCGAAACGGAATGTTTCGCAACCAATTGCCTGTTCTTCTTGCCAAGCACAACACGAATAGTATGGACGCATATCATTGTACCTACAAATACACGATTTTACATATATTTACACAAAATGGCTGGTTAAATATCGGCAATTGAAAACACTGCATACCATGTAGATAATGTTGGTACTTTGTTGGCTTCACGCCATGGCATGACGCCAAGATTATGATTTCGACGTGGCCTTGATCCGTATTTTTGATCATAAGACATGAACAGGAAACCATCACGATCATAGCAACACTGTTGCTCTGAACCCTGTATATTTGGTTGGCCAGTTCGTACACAATGAATTGCACCTTTGTGATTTAAACAAGATGGATTCGAATCACGATCACAATCAATATCTGGCATAAAACGTCCTTTGTCATGAATTGCATGCTCCAATGTGCATGGACACAATGGAATTTCAGCAGCAAAATTACGCAAAAAACGATCACTTCGAATCCAATTATCACACAATGCTCTTGGCCAATTACGGCCGTGAATTCGTTCCCATTGCGGACCAAAATACCAACCTAATGGAATTGGTTTTGACCATAGAACACTTAAAAAAATGCGGAAAATTAATTAAGTGCACTTGAATTGAGATAATAATAACTAAAAGGCCATCACTAAATGATAACATTAATAAATATACTTACGGACTAATTGGAAGACCCGAATATTGTTCAGGGTTTGTTAAATTAATTTGAATGAACCCAAATTGCATATCAACTTGTTTGCGATTATCACGACTATGGTAATTTCCCGTACCAATAATATAAACGCCCGTATTTGTTGTTCCACCTTCTAAAATATCAATATATTCCAGTTGTGGTCTATATTGATAGGAGAGAATACATAAAAACATGTTATTGAATTGTTTTCATTTTGATTTTTCTTTCTTTTTAAATAAAAATTTCAAAACGTAAAAAAAATTCGTACTCAATCGTCCTTTCACGATATCCATAAAGTGAGATTGTAATGCCAGCATTTAGATTTGTTGTTAAATTAAAGCGATTCCATTCGATACGAATTTCGTTCGGTGATTTTTCGTATACATCGTTTCCTTTGAAGAAAATTCGATCGGTTGCTGTGGCCGGTGTTTCTAAAGCATGAACAAATTATCGATTTTCATTATCGTTTGCCATCTTATTCATTCAACTATTATCAAATAATTGAACGAAAATTTGTTAAATGAAAAAGCTTTTAACCCAACATACCAACAAAATATAATCCTCTCCACTTGAATCGTTCGGTTCCGATGGAAATTTGAAATCGAATGTATCCTTGTGCCATGAGAAATGGTTGCACACAAATTGCACGATTTCGATCAATCACATGACCTACAACACTTTCCGTATCGAATGTGCAGAGAATGCGTTCGTTTGGATTGAAGCATGGACCAGTGATATTAACAACCGTGCCACCCAACATATTACCCGACTCGGGTGCAAACACTAACGGTAGATATGCAGCATCTAAAGATCCAATAAAAATGCATAACATCATTATAAAATCTTTCTTCGTTACTTTGGTAATACCGGTGCCGTGTTGTGTTCATACACTACCATCACCCGACATTGTATAATAGCTTATTGATGTAAGAAACATTTTACGCTTTTAACAAATCCTAACTTCGATTAGCATTTGAGTCGATTGAAGTAAGAAGCAGAAGTTGAACGAAGCGAGATAGAGACCGAAATAGAGAAGGTAGAAAACGAATGAAGAAATTGGAAAAAAAAGAAAGAAAAAACGACAACAGCAAAATGAGAACGAACATGTCGCTTGGATTTGGATCGCTTGCGAACAGCAACGTGAACTCACTATATAGCAAATGATATTGATATATGGTTGTGTAAGTATCTCATTTCATTAAATTGTGCAATCACTTAGTAAATCAATTAATTTTAAATTGATTTCTTGTTAGACAGAGGAAAATGTGCCATTTCATGCGACACAGAGAATGTAAAACAGCGGGCGTTATATGTTATCGATTGTGTCAACGGGTTTCGTTATTTTCCTTGTTTGTTTTTTTTTTTTTTTTTAAATGTAACCGTTTTATGTGATGTCACAACAAATGATGTATCAAAAGTTTGTGTGAGCCGATGTGATTAACTTCAATTGATTTGCTCTTTGTTTAAAATATTGCAAATTTCTAATTAAATTTTCCATTCAATTCCGATGCATATGCACCACTGCTTCTGTTTCGTTGTTATCGTTCAATCTGTTTGACAATCCGTTGAGAAAATTTGGTAATATTACCAAAATGCTATTTATTCATTCAAAATCTCGATCAGCGACCAAGTGTCAAGCACGTACAAAACCTTTGTTAACTTCAAAACTTAATTGGGAACTGGATTTGCGCAATGAAAATCTGTTGTTCATTTTCAATGAAAGTAAACTGATGAAATTGGTGAGACAAAAAGAACATCAACACGACAATATACAAGTCGAATTAAAAATAAATTGAAACAGACACACAGATAGAGAGAGAGAGAGCTAAAGGAGAAAGGGTTCAAGAAAATTATTATACCGATGTCTTTGTTGCATGTTCCCAGCATAATTTTTTCATCTATACGGAATATGTGTCGGCCTGGAAAACCATTCGCCCATCCACGTCCAGTCAGATCTCGTAGTACAGATGCTTGACTGTATGGTTTGTACTCGTAAGCTTGAGTTCCGTTACCAGCATTGAAACCAATCTGTAACATTGAATGTGTATTAGTTTTAACATGTGAAAATATAGCTTTACATGCATAATTGCATATACAATGCAATTACACAAAATTTATGTTTTTCAAATGAAGTTTCAACGGTGTGAAAATCCTAAGGCAAATTCCTGAAAGGAACTTTCAATATATTGTCACACATGCTTTTGAATGCAAGCGTTTGCTAAATAATGTCCATACGTTCTTTTTTAAACGAAGATCGCCAGCATACGATATAGCCAACATTTGTCAATGTCAACACCTAACACTTCTGGCACAACTACTATTGTTTCAGTCTAATGCATTTTTAATTTTAAAATACTTTCAACACACATTTACTCGACAAAAACAATTTCGACCAAACTCAGCAACCCATTTACTTGTCACGATTTTTGCTTTTGTTGAGTGTTTGTCATTATTATTTATGTTAAGCCCAGAAATTATATACAAAACAAAAATTAAATAAATGCACTTAAAAAATAAATTTGTCTCATGATGTGCCAAATAAATTTCGTTACGATCAATATACAGCCAAAAACTGTCTGTCTTTATTTAGTTCAGTTTATAATTTGAAATGGAAATGGGTATGAGTCTTTGAATTGATACTTACAAAAGCTGGAACACCACCTTCTCCACCAGTTGTGTCACCTACAGACATATATAATATACATTTAGTACATAAGTATTCGCATCGACTGTACAATTAATTGATATGAAAACAATGCAAAAGAAAAAAGAAATTCAACGAGATCATTGCATCATAGCAAATGAAAAATGCTCATCGGTTGCATTTCAACATTGATGTGGCATGACTCTTTATTGGCCTGACCGTATCAAGTGGCGGTTGTCAATCAACACAAACAAATTGACATTTTACACAAGCGCAAAAAACACAGTATATTCTTACCTCCGGCTTCAGTGTGCGATGACCAAACCAGATTGATATAATTGAAGATTGCATACGTATACACTTCATCGGTTGCCAATACCATTTGGAATGAGTTTGTCTGCAATTGAATAATAAAAAAAGCAATTAATATCGATTTATTTTCACGTTCATGCTAAATCGAAGAGAATTAAGCTAATGTGTACAATAAATGCATTGAAATGGCAACAAAAAAAAAACGAGACATTTTTGATCTTCTTTTAATGAAGCGTATCTTGTGGTTGATGTTTATTCTTTTGAATACACAGCCATTCGAGCCAATTATTGAGAGGAAAATGCAATTAGTAATCATTAGTAGTTCTACATTTGGATGAGGCTGCAATTATGTTTGCTACTCGTAATTGCTAGTTCATTTTTTCAAGGTAGTGGTGTTATTATTAATTGATTTTACTTGGTATTTTAATATCGTGTCATTTGTCAGTGACTGCTCACAGAAGGTGTCAATTGTAATATTTGCGAACTCTGGTGGTGATTTACTAAATTACCACCATTACAATGTGCGGCATGGTGATTTTTGTATGTATTGTATTTGCTTTGCTGTGACAGCGCTGTACAGTATTACCACCAACACTGCGTTCTGCGATAGTAATATTGCTCAGCAAAGCAAATACAATACATACAAAAATCACCATGCCACACATTGTAATGGTGGTAATTTAGTAAATCACCACCAGAGTTCGCAAACATTACAATTGACGTCTTCTGTGAGTGCATGTTTTTTTCACAAAATGAGCATTTGATCTAGATTTCATTTATGATTCTCTCCATGCGAAATTAAACACGAAATTAAATAAACGATATTTTCTACTCGAAATAAGCGCATTCAATTTATATCGCAAATATATATGGATGTCAACTTGTATAATGGCGAAACGAAGGTTTTTCATCACATTTATGTGAATGTCGTTTTCGTTAAATATATGTTCTACATTCGCTTAATGCTCCCTCTCTGTCTTTGTGTGAATAGAAGCAGAAGAAGCATAAACCGGAAACTTCTTTTACGTTAATCATATTAGCTTGATATGTATTTACAAATGATGAATCCCTTGATCTAAGCATGAATAATTGAATTCAAATTAAGAAGAAAAGGATGTTGAAAAAACTGAGGCATATCCTGTGAGGCATATATGAACAATTCCAAACAAAAATGTATCGCACAAAAATAACCGTATCACAGATAGCAAATTAACGATTCATCAAGAAATACCGTTCAATTTGTTTTAATCTTTCTCATTTTTCTTCTTTACGACGAATTTACGGTTTGAAAGGAAAATTTGAGAGAGAGAGTTCTTTTTTCGCTTTTTCTTTATGCATATTCATTCATCTTGCTACATATGGCAGCAAATAAAATGCGCAACGAATCAAATGATTTTCGAATCGATGCACGCGCGTTTCGCGACGCTAAACTGAAAAAAAAGAAGATTGTGTACGCCATGATATTATGTTAGAGCTTATTTGGATCTCACCTTGTATAAAGCAATGTCGATACCGCCAGCAAATGACATATTTTTCCATGTCATAATAACTACATGTTTTGGTATAAATGTGTCGGCTCCAACAACACCTTCTCGAATATCCCACATAATGCGTTCACGCACCTCAACACCAAATCGATCAGTACGCGTTTGCAAATCACGTTCTTGCCTTCAAGTTTGTTTTTTTTTTTGTTCATTTGGCGCGCGAGAGCAGTTGTTGCGTTGTTGGGGTTGGCGATGTGTATATTGATGAGACAAATCCAGAACAGGAACGTACCATCACCGTCGTCGTGAGTTTGCACAAGGGAGGTGAAATATAGCGAGAATAAGAGAGATAGAGATAAAAATTAACAATTTGAAAACGTTGATGTAGATTAATGATGATGAGTGGCAATATGATGTAAATGTGTATCCAGTGTTGATCCAACAGCATGTCGGTTGTCATGTGTATATGAGCGTAAGCGAAGAAGAAAAAAACCGAAGAATTCCATGGACAAAAAAAAACGAGGAACAACAAAATAAATTTATGATTTAATCGTTTTTGATCGATAAGTGTTGAGCAAACTTATCGAAAGGAAACGACGCATTTTTCAAAATAATTAATTCTTACTTCAGTGGAGAGCCAAATTCTGGGTGGTAGCCGACAAATTGTTAAACGTATTGTGAAATTGTGCGCATTTGTGTAATAAAGTGCTCGAATTTTCACGATTCGGTGCAGCCATATAGTTTGTAATCATTTTTTTTCTTCTTCTAATCTTGCTTCTGTTGTTATTTTTCGGATGGAAAATAAATGAGAAGGTCAACAATGACGACATTATGGCAAGAAGAAAATGTTCAATTTGGACGAGCTAGCGTGCATATCCATTTGCAGATCTTGCGTTTGGCTTGAATCGTTTTTTTTTGTATCATCATTTTTCATTTTGTCGACTTGATGAGTATTTAATACTTTTAGTATTTAATCACTTGCCATTCTTTTGACGAACTAATGTAAAAGAGAAATATTATTAAAGCACAAGTCATTCTTCTTGTTTTGGGCCAATTTCTTTGACGATGCTTTTGATTTGTGGATTCTTTAGGTCGTTTCTTTGTTTACTTGATTCTCGATTTTGCTTTGATTTTATTTTTTATTGAAAAGAGTGAGATATTTCGTTGCCATCAGTCACATTTTACTGTTGAAAAAGTGAATTTTTTTTTGTGTGTGTGTAAAAAAAGACAAGCATCAATCTATTTCGAATTCAAGTTTCATTGCAGTTGTATCAACGATCGGATGAGACAAAAAAAAGTGGAAAACTGCCGATCTAATATGCAAGAAAACACACACACACTTATCTTCAGTTGCTGAGGTAATATATTCAAATCGGAAGATTTGTCAAACACAGGCAACCCAATTTGACAGAAGTTGAGTGTTGTGAAATCAAACAAATCAAAAGCATACATTCTAAGTTTCGTTTCATTCAATCTTCAATGTTTATATACATTCGCGCACACCCGGTATTGTGGGCACCACGTTTTTTTTCCTTTTGCATTTTAATCAAAAATTGTCATTTACTTCGATGTGCCCCAAGATATTTTGTACAACGTACTGTGCATGATGCAAAACAACAACAACAGCAACAAAAAAAAATTGCATATCAAACAAAGTGGAACAGTAAATTGTGAAAAGATGTTACTTTCATCTGCATTGGAGCTGTCGCTGAGGAAAGATGTAGTGACGCACTCAAGCAATATATAGGGAACAAACAACAAAAACACAATAAATGCTAGATAATACCGACAGTTTTGTTATGCATCTATTTCATAGAATCAATGCTGCACATTTCTGCTGGCGATGCTGCAACAGTGACAATGGGTTGGATGTATTTTGATAGAGAATACATAGTTTTCAAACGAATTAGAAATTCTCTAGCATAATTTATTCATAATTCCATTTTGAGCTTTGACTTTCAATTTAACTGGATATTTCAACAAAGTTATATCATCAAATGCAAAACTATCCAAGATAACATCATAGACAAAGTACAAAGTCAGCTGCTTTACGTTATTGATGAGCACAGTAAAAAAAAGAACATATGCCATTATATGTAGTGGAACATTTTGTATTCACTCCCGTTGGAAACCTATTTATCTCGGTAGTAGTTAAACATATCGACTGCAATGGTGTATAACATTTCAATCAAAATTGCTACCATTGTTTTCAAGAAACAACTTCACAACTACAACTAGCGAAAAAAACAGTCTATGATCGATAGCACAAAGCAGGAAATTGTTGGCACAAAATTCCATTTTTCAATGGCAATGGCTGACAAGACAAAAGAATTCAAACAAAATCGGTTCCAAGAAAAACAGACAACAATAATTTTCATTTATGATTACGCCAGCAAATGCCAATTATGGTTTTTCAATTAAGGCCAACACGCTTAATGGATGGAATGCAGACAAAACTATTTTTAATCGGTAGCGATAAATTTACAGTAAATGATAATAACGACGACGAAGACGACGACGACGAAGTAAAAACTGTATCAGCGAATTGACTTTATGTTACGTGAATGTTATTTTCGATTTGATTTCAAACAATAATAATTGGAAGCGGAAAACAGGATAAAAAGCAATCTTTTTTTCTATCAATTCCGAAGAGAAGAAGATTGCAAATGAATGTTTGAAGTTACTTCGTCGCTGCTCGCAAAGAATTCAACGAATTTTTCGGATGAATGAATTTGTTTCGGGCTATTATTTTCCATTTCTTTCATTTCAATTTATTTTAGTCAACAAAAAGCAATCTTCATTAAAACGTTTAGTAAGGAAAAAATTCCAAAATAAACTAATGTTCATTGAATTGCAAAAAAATGCTGTTTTCATCAAAGGGTGAAGCTTTTTAACTGAATGCGCACAGCATGATACGTTTTTTTGTCGACCTATGTTTTCTGCTCTAGTTCTAAGAATTTTAGCAAGAGTTGAAACGAGCAAGTAATTTCGTTCTGTTAGTTTCATAACATTTCTTAAAACCAGGAGGGTTTCTTTTTTTCGGTTTTCAAATAAGTAAATTATTCAAAATGGGAAAATTGATTTTTACCTGAAATAAACACCTGGCGTACGTTGATCGTGGTCCGTTTGATAAATTTGTCCAATGCGGCATTTCGAAAAGAAAATCCCAATGAACGATGGATCATTACGTTTTGGCCAATCTTTGATTGGAAACGATAATGGATATGTATAGTGTTCTGGTGGATCAGAAAATTCCAAGTATCCATGCATCGATACCTATTAATTTAAAAATGTTTTTTTTATGAAATCCTATCGTCGAGAGGGGTGTCCTAAACTTACTCGTGTATAATTAAAACGAAAACCATAGAATGGTAATTGGAAATTGAAGTTTTTATGTAGTTGTGGATTTGAGGTATGAATGTCCTTTTGTAAATCTCCAATGTCATTGCTACCACCTTTATCGAAAAACCAATACAGGAAATGACTTCGTAGTTCTGCCAATCGTGCTGGTGTTATTGTATAACCTCTGGCATCGTTGTGGTGTGTTGGCGGCTCAGTTGGAGCTGTACGACTGTTTGGATCTGAAAAATTCAGCATAATTTCATTTATTATTAATATAGCCTGTTATTGATTTCAATATATTATTTGAACCAAAAGCTACAATATAACCGCATTTCATTCGGTCTGTTTCGAATATACAATGTATGACAAATCAAAACCACCTTCTCCATAGTGTGATCGTTGAAAATTTGTAAAGAATAAATTCTTTGAGCAGTAAATGAATAATTGCCATTTTCACAGCAAAGTGAACAGCATGTGATAATAAAGACATAAAAAATATTGTACACAATCCCTCTTTGAGCACGCCACCGGATTTGCTCGTACTTATAAGCATTTATAAATATGTCGTGCAGTTTCTGTTCTTCCCTCACGCAGTTTGAATTAGGGAACGGAAAGCATGTTTAAAAGAAAGTCCACATCCCATGAACGTTGATGTATTTTTGGACCGTCATATGCTAAATTGTGAACAGTTATATTTTTCGAAATCATGTTCTTCTTACAATGTTAGAGGACTCGTTGACCGTGTGACTGAACGTAAAAAGAACTTAAGCAACACAGAGATTTCTTTTCAATTTATGCTAACTGCATGAATTCATGAAAAGCATGTGGAATTGAATGATTAAACTTAAGTGCCATTTTAAGAGCACTACTTTTGCTAAAATTCATTTTTAACATATAGATTTTGATTACTTAAAGTATTATCCATCAAAAGTGCACAATATTTTCAACATTCAACCAGTCAAAAGCATAGCTCGAAATGTGGTGCAAAGACACAGTGAAAATATTACTTTCTCCCTTCAACTCTTCAATACTTTCAAAACTTTTATTTATTCTGAATTTCGCAACATTCGTTGTAATTTACCGTTTTTTTTTTAGAATTATTGATGTCTTGCAATGAGATTGTGTGTTTCTCGTTTTTATTTTGGCTGAAACTAATAAATTATTATGCTGAAAAATTCCACTAGAAGCTAGACAATAATAATTTTGTGTATGTTTGTTATCATTTTAATGGATTAGATGCGGTCCCATTGCAATGAGTGACCATAAACCATATTCACTCATCCGAATGCAGCCATGCACAATACCATTATCTATATTTAGTTCAAAACTGATGGAACGTCTCGCATCCGCATCGAGCAGATAAAGTGAAATATTATTATTAAGTACATAGCAAATAAAATTGTGCAATGTTTATTTTTCATTGAAAATGATTTCAAATGCGCTCATCAAAATGCTGTTCCCAACGGGCTAAACTATATCAGAGTCAATTTTATATATTGTGGAATTTTTATTAAAAACATACTGACAACAGAAGAGAATGGTCTGCATCTGCAATGCACATATCAAGAACAACGGTCATTCTCTCACTTGCGCGATGTCAAAAGCTAATAACACTGAAATGATGGCAAAAATGAGAGAAAATAACCATATGCACATTTTTTATCCTAAAAAAAGGATTTATTCTATTATATGGCTTTTATAAATACAAATAGATGCGATGTATTATTGCACTTTGCTACAGGGAATTGAATTTGCGGAATGTTGTGGTAGTAAAAGAGTTACACCCAAAGAAATGAGAAAAAATGAAGAAAACGCGCGCAAAAGAGAGAGAAAATACTGATAAATAGTAGTACTCTACTATGCTGATAAATAAACTTGATTGACCTGTGTGCTGCATTATTTATCTCAGTGCGTCGGATAATTTAGACGATAGTGCCATTTCTATGAAGCTTTTAGATGCTTCTATACACACACCCATACACTTTCAACGAATTGGAAACGAAGTGGTTGCATATTCAAGGCAAAAACTGAAGCATTTCAAATTGCTCGTAACCTAAAGCTCTTTATTTCTTTCTCCTTTCGTCGAATTGAGTGAAAATAGAATTAATTACGTTTGGGATAAAAATTATTCATTTGTTAGCCAAAGCGTAAACAGCAAACAACACAAAATATATAAATATTACAAATGAATAATAATATATTCTTATATCGTTGTAACCATGAAGCGTGTTTATTTTCATTCTGTGTTTGGAATCAAGTGAATTTAAAATGCATACACACTCAAGTGGTTAACTATATAAAAACATTTACGTTTTCAATTAAGATTCCCAACAGATTAAAATAAATGCCTATTTTTGCTTCATGAACGCACTTTTGCGCTCCAAACAATCATTGGTAAGAATAAAAAAAAATGCGAACCCCAAAAAGAGGGGGTGGGGGAGATGGGAAATAAAATACATCCGAAATTTAGGAAAGACAAAGGCTTCGATGGATCTAAAACCTTTTTTTCTATGTCTATCTTTCGCTCTCCATATTGTGTTTCGTTGAATTTGATGTTGATTCTGATGAGTGGGCCTGTTGTTACGTGCTATTGTTTTCATAATCACATCCAACATGAACATTGTGTTAATCGCTTGACGATTATAGACTCGCTTACAAAATGTTACTTTCGCAAAATTGTACGCTTCAACTAAACGTAATCATTATTTTGGGCTGTGCACATCTGTGGCGGCGGTCATTCGCAATGAAATTAGAAAGCGACCGAATCACCATTACGATTTAACGCATTCAGGTAGAAAAACATTTTTAAATTGATATTAATTGAAGTGGATTAGCTGCTTTTTGTTTTCATCAACATCCATTCATATCGCGATGCATTCCACTTCCATCTACACACTCTTTCACTCTTTTTTCGGTTTTATTTCGGTCTCACATTCTATCTGTCTGTCTCTGGCCATGTCTTAACACATCGACTGTTTTATTCATAGCAATTTGCTGCCTACTTGGTCTTGGAACACAACAAAAGCAAAAAAGGCCCAAGAAGCTTTTGGATTTTGCCGAATTTTGAAACTGAACGTCACCGTGGTTGTACATATAGCAAAAACCGCCAACCAAAATCTATCGTTAAAGTATTACAATTTACGACGAAAGTTATACCTTATTTATGGAAATTTATTCGGTGAAAGCGTATTCACAGCGAATGCTTTGCACAAAATCTCCATACTCTGCCAAATAAATAAACAACATGATTTTCCATTCGAAATTATTTTGATTGTATAACTTCATCTTTATTTGTCAAGTGCAATTAAATTTATGGTCACATTATATTTGCCGAACGAAAAAAAAAATCCATATCCGCAATGTTTGCCATTCATTATCACTTTTAAGCTGAATGCACACAATCGTAATACAAATTGTTTCAATCGATTTGTACGTATAAATGTCACAAGCTTACTCACTTGTCAAACCAAGGCAATACACAAAATGAAAAACCGAAAAAAAAGACACAACAAAATCATTTTTCATTGTGGTTAACTTTTTGAGGGTTCTCTTTTTCTCAACCATTGAAAACACATTGTTTTTGCTATAGCGTTTTAATTCATGAAGAATGATGGCAACAGAGTAGAAGCAATAACGGAAATGAGAGCGAGGGAAAAGGAACAAGTGAAATGAATGCTGTTAGTTTTGTTTGAATTATATTCGGTTTCAAATGAAACTGAACATTAAAAAAAATCAAAGTAATGTTGCAAAAATCATAATGAGTGTGATGATGCGAAGATGAATCATCAGATTTATATTCATTAAACACCAACCCCTCACAAAATATTTGTTAGGAAATCTCGTCCAAAGATTATTCACGAAATGTGATAAAAGTAGAGAATAACGCAATGTCATTAACTAATTACTTATCTTAAATGTGTCATCCGCTATCATTCATTTTACTCTACGCATACGCGCAGCTCTTGTGCCCAATGGCAAAAAGTATCGACATTCTTTTTCATTCTGCTTTTTTTTTTTACCTGTATGAATAATTCTTATTTCTCATGGCAATGACACAAGTGAGGCAGAATATCAACAACAAAGCCGATGATGATGAGTCAGTTGTTTGGGTGTTCGTTAGCTGGTAGTGATTTCGCTATGAATAATCGTTTTTGTTGTCATTTTTAGTGGCGGAAGTTTCAATTTATCATGATATCATTTGAAAAAAAGGGTCGAAAAATGTGGAAAACTTTCGTTTTTTCCGTCGTAAACACATTAAATATTTTTATAGTTCATTGAGTGAAGTGTAAAAATGCAATTTCAAGGAAAGTGCTATATATTGTTGTTTTTTTTTAAATATAGAGATTTATTGAGATCGTTGTTCGTCGAGAGGAAGTGGTAGCCAGTTACCATACTACAGTCGTTGGTGTAAAGCAGACAGTGAACAAAGGGGTGTTTCAATAAAGTGCATTACAAAAATATGATTCGGTTATAAAATATGTAAAATATGCTAACGAACTCGTTTAAATTTCCGTAATTGAGAATGACACGGGAAAATGAACAAGATAGAGCGAGAGAGATTGATCTTGCATTTTTTTGTTTCTACGTTCATTGTTGTAATTCAAAACTCGAATGCCAAACATTTGAACATTTTTATGGTTAGGCTACGTGATGTGCAGCACAACCAGCTATGCAGTCTGTCTATGTTCGTTTACCAAATGCCATTTTATGTGCACAATTTTTATGGCTTTCGTGTTTGTGCTCAGAATATGGACTGTAAGCCCATCAAAGTTAGCAAATGTTTTCATTGCTTTTCATTCACTCACTTACTATTACCATCATTCAATCTTTCGACTTGTCGTGAAAATTTACATAAAAACGCAATGATAATGTTAATGCACAAAATACTGCAAAACGATTCCTGCGAGACATTAAAAGTCGATCTTTACGATGAACAGAACAAGAAAAAAAAAACACGAGCACATAATACAGGAAAAAGTCTTTCAGTAGCACATTTATAAATGTAGAGCGAATGAGAGAATTATAGCGACAAAAAGAAATGCTCAGAAAAAAATATATAACAAAATTTGAATTGGCTTGAGTTGAGCTCTATGCATTTCTTCAATAATCCAGTGCATACATTTTCCACTTATATATCGCTTGTAGATTCATAATATAATTGTGGATAGTGACATAGAAATGAATGCCCGAAAATAGACCACGAAAATAGATAACGAAGAAGAAATGGTGATGCATCCGTTTCACAAATAAATTGAATGAATATCCCACACAAGACATGCACTTTATTGTGATTTCGATATTCATCCCTTACATACGTCCTCAAGGGAAAAATTTAAGGGGGGGGGGGGGGGGGGTTAATTGAAAAAAATCGTGAGGGGTAAGCAAAAAAGTGAAGTGTATTTTGCGAAAAGTGTACTTTTTTCGTTTTTTTTTGCTCTTCACTTTTTTGGCGAAAATCCCTAGCAAATCGGAAGAATTCTTTGAAAATTTTCAAGGGGTAACACTTCGTCAGGGGGTCGATTACCCCTCGGACCCCTGCTGAGGACGTATGATCCCTTAGATATATGACATGGAAATGACTATGTTTTTAATGTAAAACTTTCAATAATACGTCTCGATAAAATGGCAATAAGTTACGAATGTCGAATGAATACTTTTGTGTGTCGAAAGTGTTTGTGTAACGAAAATAGTCCCATATAGTTTTTTTTTGCACATTGATGAACCGTTAAGTCATTTTATTTTCAATTGATTTTCCAGTAGGCAATCTCGTATGTAATAGCTGAGTTTGCACTGACTTTACATAAAGAATCAAAACACTTCCATCACCAAAGCAACCAACCAAGTTCACGAAAGTTCGTTTACTCGATTTAAAAAAAGCCACTCAAGCATAAGTCTTCACATGTACGCAACAACCACATGTGCGATGAATATTGAGAAGCAATGAACCAGATCTAATAGGGAATCGAACCGAGATTCCTCGATAATTGTTTATTCAATAAGTATTTATTTGCCGGATTTTATTTTGTGTGCCGATTATTTTACCGTCATCGCCAATAGCATATTTGAATAAGGATATGTATTCAAATTATGAGGAGAGAGAGAGAGAACTCAAATTGCCTATTTTGCCATTTGCATATATGTGGTTGTTGCATAAAGGCGACAAAAGTTTACATAAAAGAAATGTAAGCTATGTATTCAAGCCATGCTACGATTTCCCATTAATTTCATGTTTATCCAGCATGGAACAGGATTAAGAGTTGAAAATTGTTCAATGCCTTTTGGTTCGAATAGAATGGTACACACAAACAAAAAATAGAAAGTAAAAAAAGGGCGAAGAGATCACAAGATGAAAACTTGTTTACTCTTTCGTTTAAAGATTGGTAATTTTTTTCCACTTTGATTATTAATGCTCCTTCGCTTTTGTTGTTGGATAGCTTCTTTTTGGAATTGCGCACATATTGGAAACAAGAATGTGGGAAAACTTTCTAATGTCGTTGTTTACTTTCCGGCAAGAAATCACATCATACCGACTAGCGAATAGAGAGAGAGAGAGAGAGAGAGAGAGAGAGAGAGAGAAAGGAGAACGAGAGAAGGGCAGAAAACAAACATGGATGAAGAATGATGAAACTAACCAAAAGTAAGAGAAAGAAGAGGGCGACGGATAGTGAAAAAGAATTTGGGTAACGCAACTGAAATTGTCTCGTCCTTATAATTGAGTGGTTTTCATCGATTTGTTTGTAATTTCGGCTCGTTTCTCATCACATTGATTTTGTGGGAGATACTATTTGCGTGTTGTCTGCATTTATTTCCATTAATCGAATTGGCAAGCTATTGCTATCACACCCAAACACGATATTCGACGACAAACACAATTGAGGCGTGCCAAAAACATGCACCACAATTCTTGTAGATAGATTTGATTTATGAGGTGATTCGGGAATTGTGTGATTTGTTGTTATTAGTCTTGTTTTTGGATTCACACAGACAATCAATAATGTATTTGGCAGATTAATATACAATAAGACTTTAGTTAAGTTATGACACTTTTTCATTTGCCAATGCGTCGATGTTGTTTTTAGTTAATTCATATTCACCATTAAATAATCACCCACATGGCAGAAAAATCCATCATGCCAATAATTCAATATCGCATATCCGCAGTACATAGTGCATTGGCATTGCGAAAAATAAGAGCAAAGCTAAATAAACTTTAATGCCGAGAACGATGATATGATAGTTTGGTGCGGCGGTCGCGCACTTTGTAAGTGTGTGTGTGTGTGTGTGTGTCTGTTAAATCTACCATCGTTGATTCTATTAACCGACAAAGGAAAATCAAATAATAGCACATTATCTAAATAAATTTAGACTAGTTTTACTTCTTTTCAGTTTCGTTCGCAGCAAGCTAATGTGCTCATTGAACTAAAACTATTTGTCAAAGCAGCTTTGCAAGCACGATCAATTTTCTCTTCTATACGCGATGAGACAGTGAATGAACGAGAGTGAGAGAGTGAGCGTAACATGAAAATAAAATTCAACAGCACTTTGAAAGCAGCATTTTGAGTACAAAATGAATACGAAGCACACATAAAAAAGCACAATAATGAAAATATTCGCATAAGAGAATTGAAAACTGATGCTACTGTTTTTCTTTCAATAGTCTTGAACTGGAAATGCATGTTGCACTGGGAGATGAACTAAACGAAGTGTATAGCATGGAAAAGATGCGAACGGGAGAAAAAGTGCCGAGTGATAAAAGTAAAAAAAAGATTTTTTTGTAGTTGTTGTTGAAAGTTTAATAGAGAGAAATGCGAAATGAAAAACACACACACAAATCGGCAACGAACTATAAAACATGAACACACATGAAAATTCAAACGGTTCGAAAGTAGATTTGGAATATGTGCTGAATTCCAATGAGAGTGAAAGATGGCGAAATAAAGAGAAAAGAGAGGAAGAATGAGAGACACCACTTATATGAGACCAAATAACGATTTACAATTGTCAACAAAACAGCTCGTATATTGCTTGAGTTTTATTTACATTGGTGTGTTTATGCTAGCTGAAAGCTTTGAATGTATTTCGAGATGCAGATAACGGGTCGGCGAGAAAACTTACCGAAAAGCGCGCGCACATACACACAAAATATGGCATATTATTCGGTGTTGATGAAAGACAGTGAAAGCGATACATAGAGAGAGAGAGAGAGAGAGAGAGAGAGAGAGAGAGAGAGAGAGAGATAAGGAATCACTGCAATGTGCTCATTTAATGTGTTTTTTTTCCTTCCTCCACAAAATAGGCGCATAAGATTGTTTTATATGCATAAACATGGTTCGATGTAGACACTTTGCTGTAAAGAGTCTTTATAATTCAATAACACTTTCACGCCTAATATGAACAGATCATTTATCAGAGTAATACGTAATGTGTGTTATTGTATCGATGGGAGTACATATGTGTCACATTTTCAAAAGCATTACCCATCGATGCGTCATGATGATGGTCTTGTATAGTTATCGAATCACAGAGAGGCGTGCGCAAACACATACAAACTCTGTTTTTTTTCCTCTTCCTTTTGTATTCATCGTGTTTGTGAATCTTGTTTATTATAACTATTATTATTATTACTTTGCGTTATGTTTGTAATATACACGTTAAGCACTCGATAAAAACATTTTCAAATTGGAATTAATGGCTGGATTTTTGTTTGTATTCCCCTAGCATGTATGACAATGTTCCGCCCTCGAATGAGATTCAAGTTTGCGAAAATTGAAATCGAGTAGTACATGAACAATGTTTTCGCTCAGTTTTTTCTCATTAACTACATGAAATAGCGGTGAAGGAATTCGATGCACTATAATACGGTAGCTAAGAAATGCCACACACAATGCTTTTCAATAATAATTCAAAATAATTGGCCATTTGTGGTGCAACTTTTGGATGAAAACGTTATGCTACACCGCAGTGTAAGCTAGGTTATAAATGCTATCTTATCTCCGAATGAATTTTGTAAGAGAAACCTGTAAAACCAGGTTAATCATATCTATTTTTATTCGATTAATGAGCATACAATGAATTCGAACCGAAGAATTTCTGAAATAAATGCCGAATATTGTCGTGATTCAATTTTATTTCGATTTTTGTTTCGCTGCAAAAATACAACGTTTATTTGTTTACTTACCATAGTCATAGGTATTTTGATCATATGAATTTGGATAATATTGATCTAATGATGACAAATAATCATCATAGCCATATAATTTTCCCGATTGTCCTGCTGATACGTTGGAAAATGTTTCCACATCGCTTTGATCACCATCCCAAATGTTTCCGTTGTCCGTAAGTGATGCGTCATGAACATGAGCACTTTTACCATTTATTCCCATCAGTTCCACATCCACTTCTTCTGCATACACCATCGATGCTTGTTTCGAAATTATTGTAAAAAATGCAATAAAACAAATTAGCAAGTGCATATTATGCACTGCACTTTTTCCTGGACCCATGTTTACGACACCAGTTTATTATTACAACTTGTTTTTTTTCTTCAACACCCTTTTTCGAACCGTTTTTTTTTTCATATACCCACTACAATAAAGTACTTTATTCTTTTTACACTGTTTTAGTAATTTCTGATTGAGTGTTTGATTTTTTTCGCTTTTACACTTTTTCCACTTTTAAAACGAAAAAAAATGCGAAAACTTGTTTTTTAAAATGATTGTCTTTTCGTTGTTTAAATGTCGCTGCATTGTGTCATTTCTTAAAATGAATGCAATTAGCAAAACGTTTAGGAACTTTAATTATTTTCTTCTATGCTCAATCGCAGCCGTGATCGTGGGGCGTTGTCATCAGTCTTAAACGAAGAATGATGATTGTTTTATTCTTTGCGTTTTTTCAAACCATACACGTTCAACACATTTTTTTCTTGCCTATGTCGAAATTCACCTGCCAAAGATAACGGATATTTGTAGTGTGATAACGTTTTTTTTATCGATGCGCGATAGCGTCCAAAAGTTTTTCGTTTCTCAATCAACGTTTTTTTTCTCTCACTCAGCCAGAATTGTGGTTTTTTTTTCTCGCGCACTCACTCTTTCGTATCTTATATTATTTGGTTTGACTAACCTTATTTTCGCATTGAATCGCGCTTATCACTTTTTATTGTTTATCTTCTTTTTGTTTCAATAGTGATAAGCATTCGGGCACTTGTTTTAAATGTATTCGCGCTGGTAGAAAACATTGTCACATAGCTATGAGCAAGAAGATACATGAACAAATCGGTGAATGGATTGTAGATATACCGTTATTCTATGTTGATTACAAACATTTCATTGGAAAAAATAATGTTTCATCGCATTTATTCTCAGAGAATAAAACACACGTATATACACAATGGAATTAGGCCAATGAGTCATAATCTTTGACGAGCAAAAGTTGATTATTTTTTCAACAAGATTGTGAACGATTTTGAAATGCATACACCTCTTTCTATTCATAAAATGGACCCTTCTGGCTGAATGAACAAATCGAATTTGGTTTTTTTTTTCAGAATGCAATTCAATCGAAATGTGTTTCTTGTTTTTTTCGTTTTCATCCAATTTCGGATATGAGATCCAATTTTTTTGTCGCGAACGATATGCGATGACATTTGAATGGGATTTTTTTTTTTTCAGAATAAATGTAGTTTGGTTGATAAAAGACATGTATGTGTAGAAATCAATGTGAGTAGCACAGCACTTTTCCCTTTTTATAAGCGGACGTTTGATGTTTCCAATTAATGCAATTCCCTTCTTTTTTTCCATTTTGTGAAATATTCAGAGCATAAAATATGCCGTCTTAGTTTAAATCTCCATGGATGTATTTAAACTCAATTCTATTGGCCGTTCCTAATATGCTTAAATATATTGAATGTGCATGCACCGAGTTCAAATAATGTACATCTCAAGAGCACAAATTATCAGCGAACATTATTGGATTTTTTTTTCGTAGATTTTCTTTGCAATGATGCCCGAAATGAAATATGCGTTCATGGTTTGAATTTTTTTCTAAGAATTGGAATTACTTATTTATTATTCAAATTCCATAAATCATATTGAAATGGGCAAATTTTGGAAATTGCCTTTGTTTTGATTCATTTTGAAAATGATTTCGCAAAGGAATTTTATTGTGATGAGTATGTTAAAAGTTCAATAGATAAAACGCATGGTGTAGAATGTGTGATTCAGTCTTTGTTTACCTAACGATAGTCACTATAGACATAATCTGAAATGACTAATGTTTGCTATGTATGACTGTCGGAACGTTCCACAAAAATAGTTTTCTCAAACGAACGTTTTCACGAAAATGCAAGAATTCTTTTTTTTAAAGTTAATGAATATATGATTTTCCTTTTTACATAATTTCCGGATAAACTTGCTTTTAGAATTTCTAGAGCAGGATTTTAAATAAAATAAAAACGAAACGTATTGCTTATAAGTTCGTAGCCTTTTGTTAACCTTTGAAATTTATATGTTCCACTTTTAGGTCTCCGTCGACCATATTTTTTGATGAAATTCACGAAAGAAGTAACACGGTAAGTCTTGAAATGGGAAACATTCATTACTACATATTGAATCATTTTGAGAAAAAGGTAACATCTGCTTATTCCAAGGCACCAAGGAATTGAAAAAATATATATTAATAGGATTATTACTACTGACTTTGGGGATCCTGAGTACAAATGCGCATAGAACCATTCAGTTGTTATTGTATTAAAATTGGAATACGAACCTTATATAAACCATTTTTTTAAGGGTTTCAGCTTTTATGATTTTTATTCCAGCCGACGTTTTTCAGATGTTCTGATAAATGATGTTTTCAATTTTAAAAAAAAAGCAATTGTGTATTGAGAATCTTTTTAGTAAATAAATAAATAGAAAAAAGAAACTTTCATTGGTTTCAGCTATTATTCTTTGTTTTTGCATTTCCATAAAATGTGGAATTTTTTCATTCAAATACTGTTGCATATTTTTCCTGCATTTTTCACATAAATTTGCGTCATTAAGTTATCGATTTCTTAAAATAATTTTTCTGAACCTTTGAGAACCGTAAGTTTGTATGAAAATCATTCAAATATCATATTGCATCAGCTTCAAACTATAGCCAAACATTTTCGAATGCTCTCAGAAAATGTAATTCATTGTAATGGCATCAAAATTGATTATAGTGATCTACATTCTTTGCCTTGAAACGACGTCTGTATGAAATTTTCTACCTGTGAATGAATTCTATACTTTGAAGCTCTTCACTATGAAAGTCAAATTGAATAGATAACAGGCATGTTACAAGCTTTGCAAAGTCTATAAAGATGTCACTCTATTATCATTGCATGTAAGTGTAAATATTAACGAAAAAGAGGTTTGAAATGCATGTCACAGCATTTTGCATTTACAATTGAGTTTGATGTTTCATGCTTAGAATGTGATGCCGCGTTTATATATCTGACACGAAAAAGTGTTGTTTAAAGCATTACAGAGAGCTAACGAATAATAAATTTACATATCCATTCATGAAATAGAGCGACAGAGAGTTTGGCACGATCTTGTATTTGTAATTCATGTTGTTTCTTTTCCGTCATTTGTGAATACACTTGGTGACATAATAACGGAATGAATGTTTGTAAATGTGTATACTGTAGAAGAAGATATCATAAAAATAAATAATAAATAAGAAAAAAGGGAAACAATTCAGATAGTGTTGGTAAGTGGCAGAATATACATATAATCTAGAATATGTAAAGTGTTGTTGTTGAAACGAATGAGTGCGTGCATCACACAGAAAGACAAACACACACTCTCACTTTTTTATCGAAAACTATGAGTGTTTCAAATGCACACTGAAATAAAATTCAAATGTAATGTAATAGAGATTGGTAAACATGTTATTTTCCGATTATGAGGTATAAATAATTTTTATATGAGATTAAAATTAAATGTCTTCCATCTTCGGAGGTCGTCTCTACCAGCAAAAATCTACCCGTTATTTCTGTGTGTGAAAGGCACAGCTGGTGATGCGATAAAGAGTGAGAATACAACAATCGAAAGGGAGTGAAACATGCGATGACATGTCAATGGAACGACCATATGATCACGCATTTATGCGTTGAATATCCGTCTCGCTTGTCAATAAATCACAAATCTAGTGGTTCGGTTGGCAAAATTTCAAGATAATATGAATTCATTTCCATTCACATCTTTCAATTTTGAAACTTGTTTGTTTTGTTTTTCGTTTCGATGCAACTATAAATGATCACCTGATTTGGGTTTGTTTTTGTTTGAGTTTTTTTTTTTTTGAAAATTCCATTCATATTTTTGAAGCAACATATTTAGCACGTACACAACAGCCGGTTAGTTGTTGTTGTGATGAATGGCAGTGACACGAAGAAAAGAGAAAGATAACGAAGCGGAGAGCGAGCGAGCGAGAGAGAGATAGAAAAAGAGTGAGCGTGTGTGTTATTCAATGCGTTATCAAAATGAATGAAATTTACTTTTAAGAGGAAAATAAACAGAATTATCACTTTCGTATTGTTATATTCGTCTAAGCAGTATTCGTGATTTTGACGATTCATTTTGTTTTCAACTTGTATAGCAAATAGATCAATGGGTTTCGCATCAATAAAGTTAAAAGTTAATTGAAAGAAACAAAGTTACTACGAACGATATAAAAATAAAATAAATTTATTTTACTATTATTGTAGATTAGTGCCGAACAATTAATTTATATTTTTAATTTATTGAAGAGTTTTTGAAAGTGACGTGCGCCATCGCGTCATCGTTAAATATTCCGTTGCTGTTTTTTTTTTATTCGTTTCATTAATAGAAACCGATATATTGAAATGTATCGATTTATGGTGGGGCGCACATTATTCAAACGATTGCAGTGTCAGGCAATTGGCGTAAATAAACGCTACTATCAGTGCAGCGGAGCTGGAGTTTATGGTTTTCGTCCGAAAAAAGATGAGCCATTCGAGCGTAAGTCATTTTGGGCCAAACAGCCAATCAATAATTTTCGATGACAATGACGGCGACGCTAATACATTGTGTTTCACTAGAACCAACCATTTCGCTCGTTAAATCATTCTAATGTTTCTTTTGTATTATTATTGGATCTGTTTTTTTTTGTTTTCATCAAGAAAATGGAACACTCGTTACCATACGAATCGTATACAAATACTCACACGCTCAAATGGTCGCACATCAAAGATACTAAATTTTTTTTAATCACATCATACTGATAAGTATGCTACTTGGTTGAAGAGCGAACGAATGAAATATGAAAGATGATTGTGAGCCGAGGACATAGTTTAGTGCGGCCATTCCATTGGATTTTTACGATGTGTTTGCTATCTCTCGAAAATATTTTTCGACACATCAAACAATCAAGATAGAGTTGAATTGTGGCCAAAAATACCAATAAATGACATAAACATTCTGAAATAATTTCATTAACATTTGAGCGTGCAGAATACAATAAATACATGCACATACAAAATAAGCATGTACCGAAGTTCAGTAATCGAACATAAATTCATTGAAATCGAAATTTATCAACATCAAACATTCATGAATGAATGTCAATTGGCTCATGAATATGAAACAATCAATACAAATGATACATTTCCACTTGATATCTATTTTTTGTCTCATTTTATTTATTTCAACCGAATTGAAATTTTTGCAGTTGACGATAATGTACTTAAGACTCGACAGCAGCAAAGTAATTTTTATCGATGGATTGAGGCATTTCGCTCACATTCACACCACATCGCGCACACAAATCCTATTGAGCTAAAAACGAACTCAAGGTATTTGTTCATACATACATAACACAATCACACAACTAAAATGTGGCTTCCAATGCATTATGTAACCCCCAGTGAACGCAAACAATGGTTTTGATTTCGTACCGAAACTAAATTCACCTTCGATCCGTTTCTTCTTTCTTTTTTTTTTCTTCTTTTTTTAATTCAAAATGGCATTTCGCCTTGGCTCTTTATTTATAGCAATATTCTACCTGAACTACAGTTGCAACGCTATGGACTCGACGAAGATCAGACACTTAATTTTCGTGGCATTTTAAATAATGACACTGCCAACGGCACAGTACGACAAGCTCGAGATTTCCTCAAACGTACGTATTGCGGCAATGTGAGCATCGAATATTCGTACATTGAATCGGAACATGAACGCGAATGGTTGGTGGAAAATTATGAAAAGCTCATTTCAAATGCCAATGTATCGAGCGATGCGAAAAAAGAAATACTCGAATTGATGTTGAAATCACAAGCATGGGACAATTTTCTAGCAATAAAGTTTCCAACGTATAAACGATACGGAGGCGAAGGAGCCGAATCGATCATGTCATTTTTTCGCCAATTAATGTTATTGGCAACGGAAAATGAGGTTAATAACATTGTCTTGGCAATGCCGCATCGCGGAAAATTGAATTTATTGACGACCATTTTCAATACACCAGCGGCAAAAATTTTTCATAAATTGAAAGGATTTTCCGAATTTCCGCCCGATGTTAAAGTGATGGGTGATATTGCTTCTCATTTCCGTAAGTAGATTTTTTTTTTTGTATTTTATGATGCGTTTGTGTGTGATGAGAGATGAGAAATGAAACGAAAATATTTAACCGAAAGATAACAACTGACATGATATTTCAAACCATTTACACCTAAAAAAATGGTACATTACTTATAGATGTGAGCGAAGATTTTGAAATAAATGGAAAAAAAGTACATTTGTCGATGTTACATAATCCATCCCATTTGGAGGCCGTTAATCCAGTATCAATGGGTAAAACGCGCTCAAAACAGCAAACACTGCATGATGGTGCGTTCAGCGATGATGCTGAAAAGCAATTTGGATCCAATGTAATTAATGTTCAGGTAAATTTTTTGCGGTTGCTATATTTTTTGTTGTTTTTATCGTAATTCCATCGTTCATTGCGTGCCCTTTGATTCTGATGTGACGACGTAAGTGAAACTTTGATTATCATTATTAATTTGTCTTGTAAATCACAGTTGCATGGTGATGCTGCATTTAGTGGACAAGGAATAAACCAAGAAATGCTTATGATGTCACGCGTACCACATTTTGAGGTTGGCGGAACGATTCACATGATAATCAACAATCAAGTGGGATTCACCACACCCGGCGACAGGGGCCGATCAACAAAATATTGTACCGATTTAGCAAAATGCATAATGGCCCCGGTATTTCATGTAAATGGTGACGATCCCGAAGCAATGGCTATTGTAACATGTTTAGCATTTGCATATCAGCAAAAATTCCGCAAGGATGTTTTTATTGATTTTGTGTGCTTTCGCCGATGGGGCCATAACGAAATGGATGATCCAACATTTACAAATCCAGCCATTTATAAATTAATTCATACGCGAAAATCTGTTCCTGATTCATACGCGGACCGATTGATTCAAGAGAATGTGGTTACCGATGGTGATGTGAAAAGATGCATCGACAATTATCGTGGTTATCTAAACGATGAATTAGATAAAGCGATATCCTACAAACCTAAATCATATTATTATCAAAAACAATGGGAGGATATGAAACCGGCTTCGTCATCAATCACAACATGGGATACGGGAATGGATTACAGTATTTTACATTATGTTGGCATACAGAGTGTTTCATATCCAAAACAGTTTGTAAATTGATTATCTATCACTTTTTTTTATCCATTGATAAATTTTTCTATGATGAAATCACATCTTAATTCTTTGTTCTTCATTTACTTTTTTATTCCATTCGATAGACTATTCATCCGCACCTTTTGAAGACTCACGTAAATAATCGGTTGAAACGACTAGAAAATGGTCAACGAATTGATTGGGCAACAGCCGAAGCAATGGCAATTGGAAGTCTTATGTATCAAGGGCATAATGTTCGGATTAGTGGTGAGGATGTGGGACGCGGTACATTCTCACAACGGCACGCAATGCTAGTTGATCAGCAAACAAATGAAATATACATTCCATTAAATGACATGTCTCACGGCAATGGTGGCAAAATTGAAATTGCTAATAGTATTTTATCGGAAGAGGCTGTTCTCGGATTTGAGTATGGCAAGTATTAAATGATATTTTGTTGGTTTTTTGTTTCATCGTATCATTTTTGTTATTCATTTGCTCGTTGCCATTTATTAGGCATGGCACTTGATAATCCAAACAATTTGATTATTTGGGAAGCGCAATTTGGTGATTTCTACAATGGAGCACAGATAATCATCGATACGTTCATCGTTTCTGGCGAAAGTATGTCAAGCATAATAATCGAATGCCATTGATTTTATTCACCAAATTTCATTTATAATTTGTTTGATTTTTCATGTCCAAATAAATATGTGTTACGATTTTCGGTTTTGGGTTCACCATTGGGATTGATATGGTATTTGCAATGCATTTTAATAACGAATTGAATTGTTGCACCGCTACCAAAAACACCATCGACAACAACAACAACAGCAAAATGGATGTATGCCAATGGTTTAGTTATGTTGCTACCACACGGATTCGACGGTTTGTTTATTTATTTATTCATAAATTTTTTTTCGTTGTCATTTATTTTGTATGCCATTTATTAGGTATGGCATCAGAGCATAGCTCTTGTCGTATTGAACGCTTTTTACAGCTCACCGATTCAAAGGAATGTTCGCCCGAGGGGGACGATGTCAACTTGCAAATTGTTAATCCAACAACGCCAGCACAATATTTCCATGTGTTGAGACGGCAGATGGTACGCAATTTCAGAAAACCGTTAATTGTTGTCGGACCAAAAACCCTACTCCGTTTGGCTGATGCAACATCAGATTATACAGATTTTGTGCATGGCACCACATTTAAACCAGTTATCGAAGATGTGATTGCCATGGAAACGGAAAAGGTAAAACGAGTAATATTGTGCAGCGGAAAACATTATTATAATTTGAATGCATTCCGAAATGAGAATAAAATTCGCGATGTTGCTATTGTGCGCGTTGAATCATTGTGTCCATTCCCCGTAAAGGAAATTAATGATGAATTGAACAAGTATAAAAACGCAAAAGGTACAATTTCCTACCACATTGTTTGCTGCTCTGCAATAGCATATGTAACACTTAATAATTTCTTTTGCTGTGTATTCTTTACAATTTGTAGAATTTGTTTGGTCTCAAGAAGAACACCGTAATATGGGCGCATGGTCCTTTATTCGGCCACGTTTCGAAAATATGTGCGGCCGAAAAATCGGTTACGTTGGACGTTCGGAAGGCGCTACAATTGCTGTTGGTGTATCATCCATTCACAAAATTGAAGCCGAACAAGTTATTGTTGATGCATTTAAAGGACTTTAATATTACTTATATAAATGTTCAAATTGTAAATAATAAAACGCTTGTTTTTTTGTTTTTGTTAAGTTGGAAATTTAATTTTTATTTTATAAAACGATCGATTTGTCTAATGCAAAATTGGCACAAGTAATTCACAGAAGAATAAAATAAAATTGATACAATTACAAATGAAAGAGAGACAGAGAAAAATACACGGTAATGTATATACGAACACAACATCTACGCTATAGTAATTATTTATATTTATTTTCATTTTTTTTAACGAAATATGTTTTTCTTCGAGTATTGCTTTCATTTTAACAAATTGCTTTATTTTGATAAAAAAAAAAAACAAACGATGCGATATGATTACATGGATAAGCGGGAAAACGTCAATTCAATTGATGTGGTTATGGAACGGTTCAAGCGATTTTTATGAAATTAAATGCTACTTGTATATTGCTATTCCATCTTCGAAGCTATATTAATATTATTTTTATTATTGTTATTATGATTCTGATTTGATTAGTTTTCAGTTTGTTCAAATGTATCCAATTCGATGCATTCAGCTTCCTCACAAATTTCTGATTCTGGTGATGCGTTGCGGTCATTGTTATTGCAATTGTTTTGATTATCTTCGTTGTGTACACCAGAATAGATTTGTTCCAAAAGTATATAAAACTCATTGTACATGCGAAACAAGTAAAAAAGGAGTCAGATCCAAACGCCAACTATTGCACAGCATATAGCACACATTATAATCTCGAACATACTGGCGTTGATTGTAAACGAAGATGCACCATTCCATCCGCACTCGAGGTCTGATTTAAGTACCTGTTCGAAGAAACGTACAAGGATGCGAGAAAAAAAATAGAGCGAGGGAGAGAGAGAGATAAATGAATGCATTTTCCATGCAGGTGAAATGAAAATGAAAATCCGTTTGAAGTGGAAATGGTATATTTTCGTTTACATTTACCTCAATCAATTGTTGAGATTGTTTATTTGAACATGTCACTTCACGCAATTCGTTTTCAAAACGATTCTCGTCGGTGTTACATGATGTTGCGCTTCGTTTATTGGTTGAAGAGTGAACGGGCGAATGAATTGGTGAACCAAAAACATCTTCAGTCCATGTTTGAGCACGGCAAACATATTGACGTTGTTTTCGATACCAATACTCAAGCCACCTAAAAAGCAACAACAAAAAAAAAACAAGCAGAAAATATCATAAACTTTTGCCGTATTCTTTTGAAACCAACAAACACACATAGAGACATAATCGTCTTTTTTTCACTCTTTCTTCAGTTCTTTTCTATTTTTCTTTTTCTTGTACAAGAATTTTATAATGTAAACGTTACCCAACATCGCAGTCACAACTTAATGTATTTCCAGCAATTTTCAAATCGGTCAAATAGACAAGTTCCGCTTCGAGTGGCCGCTGTGCCGTATTTGGATTGAATTGTTTAGTTAGCGCTTTGTTATTGTTGCTCACATCTATGGAGATATTTTGCACTCGACCTAATTGACGGTAAGCATTTTCCGGTATGCTTGTAATCGATGTATTGAATAATTGCAAATGAAGTGATTTTGATTGAACGCCCTACAAAATTTAATGCAATCAAATTAGAAGTGTATGCATGCGAAAATTATTGGTGTACATTATAAGATAGATATTATTATAATGATCCTCATCCGAGTGTATTTACATTTAAAATGGTATCCGATATCGATGTGAATCCTTCGCCGCTTATCATAATTTCACGTAATTTTAATGGCAATCGACCGGTCATTTCTTTACGCAAATCCGTTGCGGTGACACTTTTATAGGTGACCTTTGGTCCTGTTGTAATTTTTTGTGGTTCCGGCGCACTTATGCATAGTTTTTGCAAATTTAACAATTGTGACACAATTGTCGGTATATTAAAATCGGCTATGTTCAAATACGGTGAAATTTGTAATGAACGCAGCGATGATGATTTACCTAATGCACCATTCTAAGTAAAAACATAGAAAAACAAATATGCAGAGAAAATATCCATCATGTATGTTGTAAAACCTACTTCAAATAAATTTAAATGCAAACTAGAAATGTCAAGATGCTCGATTTTATCCAAAAGTCCACGAAATGTATTGTTTTTTAACGCTTGTATGGGGTTTGATCCCAGTGACAAAGACCTTAATTCAATAAAATATATTATCGTTTTACAACATTTTCAGTTTAAACATATTCTGGTCGATAATTCTCGATTTACCTCAATTTTGGCAATGAATGAATTACACTGGGAACAGCTGTTAAATCGTTGCCCGACACATCCAACGATCGTAATGACGATAAATTGTATGCCAATTCTTGTGGAATGAATGGCAATGAGTTTCGCGACAAATGCAATGCTCTCAAACTGGGTAATGCCAATTCTGGCACCGATGTAAGCGACACATTGTTCAGGGTCAATGTAAATAAGCAATCCTCCAGACCTAATTTAGAAAAAAAAAACCAAATGTAAATGTAAAAAATAGCTAATACTCTTATGTGACAGACCCAAAAATGCTTTATCCATAATTATTAATTCATTGTTATTCGATAAATCTAAATAGGCTAGATGCGGTAGCGTTGTGAATGCCGCATCATCAAGTTGAAATATACGATTATTCGATAGATCCAATGTCGTCAATGCCTGAACGTCATGAAACCACAATTAAAATCAAATTATCCGCAAATTGATTGGAATTTTTTTTTGTTTAGAGCAAAAGAGAGAAATTATCAAACCGAAATACTCACACGAAATTTATTTGACAAATCAATGCTGTGTATTGCAACGATTCCATTGTGCGATAGATCAAGATTACATAGTGCTAACACAGCCACATTTGTCAGCGACATGCTCGGAATTTTTGTCAGCAAATTGTGTGATAAATCCAAACTATTTGCATTAAATATGTTCAATTGATTAGATAAAATGTAGAATTTCAGCAGCATTTTGAATGAGAAAATATACATACGATTCCACACCGCCGCCAGAGAATAGATTATCGGACAATGTTCTTAGATTATTATGTGACAAATTGACAATCCTTAGGTCATTATTTGTTTTGAAAATGGTTTGCGGTAATTCGCTTATGCTATTATGTGACAGATCAAGAACCTTTGCATACATAAAGTGATTAATATATAATTGGTATTCATTTGGGATAATACTATTGAATTGGTACATACCTGCAATTTTTTCGAACCAAAAAAACTGTCAAAATCCAATTCGATAATGCGATTGTGTGACAAATCGAGCCAATGCAATAGAGGCATGTATCCGAATACATCGCGTGTTGTATTCTACATAGAGATACAATCGAATAAAATATGATTGATCGCATGGAAAAACATTCAAACATTGCAAATCGTTAAAGAAACGAAAGCAATTTAGTTTTTTTTTTTTGTTTTTATTCGTTCTGCTTACCGTCAACTGATTATGAGCCAAATTTAAGTGAGTCAACGATTTTTCAGCTGGTCGAAAAAAGTGAACACTTATGCCCGTTATAACATTGTGCGATAAATCCAATACTTTAATATTCGAATGATAAGGGTTTCCTATGTGACGACACAAATTTATTGCTATTCATCAGCCACATTCATTTGTTTTTCAGATTATATTTTTGTTTGGTTTTGGTATTATTCAGTGGTTTAATGTCATTTGATTCAATGTTTGTTTTAATGTTTTGTTTTGTTTCAGTTCATTTCGATATTTGGGTTTGTTTTTCGATTTTTGAATTTATGTTGGAGTGGATGGAGTTGTGTGGTAGTGATGGTAGTGGTGGTAGTCGTGGTAGTGCATTTGGCAATGTTAACAAGACGATTATTGAGCAGTGCAGATGTCATCAAAAGACGGAAAATATGGATATAATATGTTTGTTTAGTCATACAGATAATTTAATTAGTTTTTTTTTTTTTTTTTTTTCAGAAAATCATCTGTTTATAATTTGTTTCTATTTTTTTATTGGGATCACTTTATTAGGCTTATTGCTTGTGAATACACAACAAAACCGTTGAAAGAGAAATTGAGTGATATAATTTCGAATGACCAATTATAAAATATTGTTATGCAAATATCTTACCGGCTTCGGGTCTTCCACTTGCACTACTGTTTAAATGATTCAATGACAATTCTGAAATCCGATTATGGCTGGCATTCACACGCAAAGATGATAATGTTCCAACCTAAAAATCAAAGAAAAATATATATATTATCGATTTCATAAAATGTTCGTATCTTTTCTTGAAATGGTGTTCAATTATTCGTGCACACCTGATCACATATATTGAAATCAAATATGCCCATGGAGTTGTATGCCAGGTCTAAATGCTGTAATTCCGGTAAATTCTAGAAAATGGAAGAAAAAAAGATTGCAAACATACATTAATCATCAATTTATCAAAGTTTTGTTGATATTTTTTTTGTGTTTCGAAAATGAACGAAAACATCGCTCAATTTAATCAAGCTCAAATAACGATCAATAAAACAACATTTGATGACAACTAATTAAATTGACGATCCAATCTAAATGATATTATATATACATATATATTTTATGTTGGTATTTGCTTCATAAGCGAACGGCTCAACATTTACTCATAGCAAACAATCGAAATGTTCCAAATCATATGTGTACCGAAATAGGCGAAGAGCAGCCTCATACAAAAAAAAACAGAACAAAAAATAAGTGTATTTGTGAATGCATACAGGTAGCGACATCTGTATGAAAGAAACGAATCGATAGTGTATAAGCATACGAAGTTGACACCACTAATCGGTTTAAACGAAGCCATTGAAATGAAAGCACACACTCGTACATCTGACAATAAGTTTGGTGACATATTATTCTGACATATTCGTCTATTGTATTCCTAATCGTTGTGCCTCTTATAAACACGTGCAAACCGTACACACATACGCTACGGTGTACATTCGCTCTTTTCGTATTCTATTTCTTGAAATTAGTTTTTTTTTATTTTTTCATTTTAAATAACTAGTTTGCACACAAAAAATGACAGAGTTTGAAGTGGAAAGCATGTCGGAGGGCTCGGAACCAGAAGATGATTCCGATTTGGAGGTAAATTCATTTGTATTTTGTGTGATATAAAAGAAAATGTCGAATTCATTGCAAATGTGCCATGCGTTGCTCATGATATTATTATTTACATTGTATTCTAGTTGCAAGAGGCATTTGCTCGCGGTGATTTAAAACCCGGTCTAAACGTTGAAATCGTCGACGGTCCAAAGAAAGCAGTCAATAATATTGTAAGTCATTTATTTTCATTATCATATTATTTCAAGTAATTTTTACATGCGTTCACAAAATGTGTGGCAAATCTAACGAATATGTTGTGTGTAATGATTTTGCAGTTGGGTATAAGAAAGAAATTGGATAGTATCAAATTGAATTTGCCATGGATTGAACGATTGGATATATGCAATGATTTAGCACCATTGGCACCTGAACAAATAATTCAAATGGAAAAATATGAACAGAAGCGTGCCAATTTATTTGCTGGAAATGCAAAAATCAAATCGTTCACACCAGATGAGGATCCAGTTTTAAATGATTTTCGACGTGAAATGACATTCCATCGTCAAGCACAAGCGGCTGTCGTTGAAGGCATTAAACGTTTACATGATTTGAAAATCGTAACCAAACGACCTGACGATTATTTTGCTGAAATGGCCAAAACTGATGTGCATATGCAAAAGGTGCGAGAAAACCTGGCCGCCAAACAACAGGGTCAAGCTAAATCGGAGCGACTGAAACAGATTCGTGATCAACGTAAAATGGGAAAAATGATTCAACGACAGGCTCGTGTTCAAAAAGAAACCGAAAAACGTGAAATGCTTGACAAATTGAAGAAATTCCGCAAAGGAAAATTGAAGAATTTGGACTTTTTGGAAGACAATCGTAAAACAAATGCGGCCAAAAGTGCTGGCAAACGGAAGGCACGCGATCAGAAATTCGGTTTTGGTGGAAAGAAACGCGGTCAAAAACGAAATACAAAGGACTCATCGATGGATACCGGCGGTTCGAAACCATTCAGTAAATCGCATGGTGGCAACAAAAACAAAAAACCACCAAAGCGTTTGGGCAAAAATAAACGGGTAAAATCAAAGGCCAAGGGTGGAAGATAAATTGTATTTTATTCATTTTTAGAGCTCTAACAAAATGTAAGTTAACGGTTTCAAACATAAAACAAAATAAAAAAGAAAAAAAAGGATTTCTGAAAACATCCAATAAATTCAATTGTTTTTTTTTTTTATTCATCATGCTGTTATTAATATCAATTGTGAAGTTTGTAGATTGGTTGCTTTTTTACTTTTATCAATCTTCTTCAATATCACTCGTCCGCAAACGATTCGAAATCATTTTGTATGGAGTCATCAATAATGGTAATCTTGAACGGCATGCGATGAATTTGATGGTAGTAAAAATACTGGATTTATAAGTTGTGTACTTTGCACTTGTGGTGCTGGTGAAATATGCATTTCGTAGAGATTTGATGTGCACATTCCATGGCCCGGTAAATTCATGCTTGAATTCATATTATTCACACACGAATACTCGACGTATGTTTGTGGTGGTGGCTGGGGCTGGTAACTTTGAACATTTTGAATCTGAAGATCGGTCATATTTGGACTGGGCATTATCAATGGCTGTGTATCCTTATAGAGAGAATTTGTATGTTGGGCTGATTGTAACGGTTGCATTTGATGAAGTGGTGGCGGTTGCTGTGGTTGCTGTTGTTGATGATAGCCCTGAGTATCAACTGGATAGCATTGTTGACGTGGATTTTGTAAGTCCGTTAGATCTTTAACTTTTAACCGCGGTGACATGTCCAAGTACGGATCAACCATATTTTGATTCCATCCCACATCAACATTATCGTATTGTGGTGACAAATGCACCCAACCATTACATGATTGAACTGAAGTATCAATGTAACTGTTTGAATACTCATCAATGGACTGATCGAGATCGAGTTCGGGTTTAATTTGTACATCATCTTCAGCACAAATAGATGATGATGCCAAAAATGTACTTGACACTGTTTGATCTTGACTCACTTCTTTATTATGATGATTTACAGCGGCTTCCAAAGAAGATGTACTTGTTTTTATGAGCGTTTCGATTGACTTTGGTTCGGTCACTTTTCTTGCCGGCTGCAACGGCGGTGGATTGGTCAATGATATTGGTGGCGGTGGACGCTTTGGTGCTTTTCGAATTATTGTTTTCATTACAGCTTCATTTGTTCGTTTTTTCAATTTTTTACCAAGTGTCTTTTGATGTTTGCCGGATTTTGTTGGTGCATTGATAAGAGCCATCGGATTGATAACAGTTTCACCAATCATTTTTTGCTTTTGTGTACCGCTTCGCTTCTTATTAATTAGATAATGCTTTCCACCATGAACCAGTGTATGATGGGCTCGATATGCTTTATGACTTTTAAAACTTTTAGAGCATTCTTTGCATTGAAATTCACCGAGTGCATTTGGATTTATTGTTAGCTTTACCGGTTTTTTTCCAGTGTGTGTGGTTGATTTTTTTGCTAGTTCCGGTTTCTTTGCCGTTTCGACTTTTTCATCAATGTCTGTCGTCGTCGTCTTAGCAGCCATTTGACGTATATTTGTTGGAAGAAACATTGATCGGTATTTGATTCCATGCTCATTCTCGAAATGTGGCTTTAAATCTTTGATATTGTCATGGAATGATTTACCACAAATTGTACAGAAGAACATGCAAGCACCATTGTTCCAATGATCAAGAATACCTTTATTGGTTGTATGCAATTGCCAGCAGTTAACGCAACGAATGTATTGCTCATCTTCGAGATTCAACATGCGTCCCTAAAATTATGAATTGCATCGATAAATCAGTTATAATGGATTGAAACAAATAAACTTGATAAATTTGACTTACGCGACGCAATTTTGGACTTAGTATTTTCACCATGTCAAGCTGATGCAATTGGATTTTTAAATGTGCCGTTTGATGTGTGGCCAATTGTTTATCATTGTTAAATATTTTCGCACAATATGGACAGGAAATCTTTCGTCGTTTGCTTGATGGCATTGCTCGCTGGCCACTTACTAAACTGGTTATATTTGAAATTTGAAGGTTTGCCGCTGTTTGTTCGTTCAATCGTGGTTTGATATGAACCGAAACCGATGACGTTATATTGAAAAGTGGTTCCGTTTTCATTGACATCGGTATTCTGGATTCGCTTCTACCTGAATCTTTTGTTGGCATGCGTGACTTTAGCGGCGTAATACTAATTTCATTTCGTTGTTCAAGCAACCGAAGGCGAGAATCTAAATTGCCTGGCGATGGTATCGATTTAGTGTAATCATTTGTTTGTTGTTGCACTTTTTTCGGGCTACTCTTCTTGAATTTCTCTTGTTGATTTTGTTTATCCAGTAAAATTTGTTCGTACATTAATGCTTCATCAACCAATTCTTCGGAATAATTGATTCGGCGTCGTTGACGTGGCCGAATATTAACCGATGCATCATCCGCAATTTTTGGAGTTTGTGATTTTATATTCAATTTCACAACTTCCAAAACGTGATTGGTTATCGGTTCTTTTTTCACCGTCAACGATTCGGGCAACGATGGTTTTTTCTTTGGAGCCATTTGTGGTTGTGCCGACAACAACTTGTAATTGAACGGCTGCGATGCACGACGATTGACTCGCGTTCGACTTTCAAGTATTTCATTCTGTGACATAATTTCCAACATTTCATTTCGGTACTTTTTATACGGAATCTCCGCTCTTGGAATGGCACAATTTTCGATCGGATGAACGCTAGCCGGATTTAAGACGGTTTCCGTATTTTTGGCGCGTTTTTGAAGTTTTCGCTTAAGTTTTCTGCTTCGAATGTAGCCAGTAAGGCCGCGTTTTCGTCGTTGACTTGATTTTCGTTCACGTTCCCTTTTCAACAGTCGCTGTTCGAATGTCATTGTATCGTTGGTTGATTGTTCGACGGTCACATTTACATCATCGTTTTGTTCATTTGGCGTGGCACACTCAACATCAGCTTCCAATGGATCTTTCACATTATTATGATTTTCCATTTCATTCAAGTACATGTTAATTTTTTCACGTATTTTTTCCATTTCATTCTGAAATTGATGAAATCATTCAAAAATTATTCTTTCAACACACACATTTCTTTTTTTATATAAACAAACTTTCAACCTAACATAAACAATAAATATTCTCTCCGTTAAACTAAGAACATTGGTTGTTGTATATTTTTTCAACTCGGAGATTTTATTGCTTGTGAAATGATTTAAAATTTAGAAAACAAAACAAAAAATTCACTTACATTGTAGTATTTTTCATAGTCCAGATATGGATCCATTGGTGAAAATGTTTGGACTTCATCACGCCATTTATTCTGTAGTGTACGGAATCTCTTGATTCTCATATAAAATACATTCACATCTTGTTCGCACTGAATGCAAATTTTATTTGGCAACGGATCATTGCCACCAATCTAAAAAATTCAACGACAAAATGTAATGAATTTTTTTTTTTTTCATCCAAAGCATTTGTTTGTATGACGTTACTCACCAACATTGAAAAGGTTTCTTGAATTTTCGATACCAATTCAATATTATTTGGATCGTTTAGTGACCGCCCGTTTTCATTTTTGCAACCACAAAGTCGACACAAATGCTGATTGATACGACATTCGGTCATTTTATTTGCTTCAAATGTTATTCACGTCCTCCAATACAAAAAAAAAAAAAATAAAACAAACAAACAAACAAACAATTCGTAGAAAAACACAAAAGTAATATTCTTTACGTTAGCATAAGATGCAATCACTGCAATTTCAAAATGTAAAACATTTTTACATTGTTTTGACTGTTGTTGCAATATCGCTTTGTATAAAATTTCTTTTGCCAAATTATATTTGACAGACACTTTTATAATAAAATGAAGGAATGTTGTTCTTAGTGCGCGGCAACGCTACTACACAAACCAAACAGAGAGACGAACATTTGACATATACCAACATCAACGAACTAACGTCAATGTGTATGCGCACATATACACTTCAAACACATACTTTTTCATACATGGAAAAAAAAGTGTCTTCATTTAAATGTCGTCGTAATTGAAATGTTCAAATTTACAAATATTTCCGTTAAAAATGCTACCAATATATTTTTTATACAAAGATTTGAAAGAGTATAAATTAAAAACCTGAAATGCTTCGTCCGATATAATTTCCAATTTATTCCCTCTGAGTGATAAATACTTCAGTTTCTTTAGGTCTATGAAGGCCCGTTTCTCTATGGTAGTTATACGATTATCATCCAATTGCAGTTTGGTTAGCTCCTGTTGAAAGATTCGATTTATTGAAATTTGTGTGTGTTTTTTATGGCAAACGAAAAAAAAAAGCAGACATTTCTCTGAAGCCATTTTTATCGCATATGAAAACTATGTCAACTCTGATGACATTTGTCTCCAAAAAAATACAACGCACTTCTAATTGAATTTAATGTACATATCTAAATCCTTTTCAGGCTATTGATTCATACTAACTTTTAGGTCGGCAAATGTACTCTCTTCAATTGCCTTTATGCTGTTAAAATGTAGAGCCAATGTCTCCAACTTAGAATGAATATCGCCCTGTGTGAATACAACAGAAGAGAAGAAACATTTTTTGTTTTCTTGTTATTACGGAAATTTGTTTTGTCAATCGATTGTTTTAAATGAGAAACCTGAAAAGTGCCTTTCGATATTCGTTCAATCACATTGTCATTGAGTTCAACCGTTCGTAAGTTTTGTAGAAAATGAAAGCTTGTATCGCTAATCGATTTCAATTGATTATTGCTCAAATCGAGCTCTTGCAATGAGGTTAATGTGCGAAACGATTGCGCTGGAAATGATGTAAACGAACCAGCAAATCCATGCGAAATTTTTAGTGAAATTAAAGAATGTCCAATCTAAATGAATAGAATAAATTTTATTTGATTAATTGACAGAGAAAATGAACATGTGTGTGTATGTGTGTTCGATCGATTACCTCAGTGAATGCATCGTTTTCGATTGTACTAATAATATTTTCACTAAGATCAAGTCGACGAATGCCTCGTGCATTTTTGAATGCATGTGATTTAATCGTATCGATTGAACTATGTGCCAATTTTAAATCTTCCAATTCTACACCAAAATCAGCGAAATCGTCCGGTGACAATTGGCTCGATGTTAATTTTCCAAGTGATAACGATCGAATGCTTTTCATTCTAAAACAGAAAAACAACAATTATGCATTTCATATAAATCGGTTTGAAATGAATCAGCGTGCTCACATGCTAAAATTCTTTAAACTAGTCGGAACATTGCCTTCTCCACTCATATCCAATTTTTCAATGGTCGATTGAATTGCGGCAAACACTTCATTTGTTTGAATGTCTTTTAATTTATTATCTTTGATATTTAGTGCTCTGTGATTGGAAGAGAGACGAAAAATGAAAACTCATTGGACACATCAAACCATAGGTAATTATTTTTGTGGTTGGAAAATGTACCTGAATTCAGTGAAGCCTTGTAAAAAATCTTTTGCTAAAGCGGTGAGATTATTTCCCGATATGTCAAGAATTTGCAGTGTTTTAAGCCCATCGAATGAAGCTGGTGAAATAAGATTTAGTCCACAATGTCTAATGTAAAGTTCACGTATGCGTGCCGATTCAAAAGCCCGTTCGCCCAACGTTGTCAATGGATTACCATCCAAATAGGTTACATTGACCACATCAATGTGTGAAAATGATGCGGTCGGTATTTCCTCAATTCGATTGAATTCCAAATGCAACATGTCCAATGTTAATTTCGATGTGATCGCATCATTTTCGGTGCGAATTGAATTAATCAAATTATGCGATAAATCGAGCACACGAAGATTTTTCAATGTGGCCAACGCATTGTATGGCAGTTCGACTAATGCATTATTTGATAAAAATAGCTGCAAAAGTTAAATATATATAAAAAAAAATACTTTATTTGAATCTACCACATCTCTGTGAATGCATGAATGAGAAGAAAAAAACAAACCTTTGCAAGCGATGGCATTCCATCGTCAAAGATATTTGGCTCGAGATATGCAATATTGTTTCCCGATAGATCGATTGTATCTAATTTGGGCAATGATGAAAATGCATTACGTGGTAAACTATCAATCGCATTATCGGCCAATATTAAACGTTCGAGCGAAGCTTCTAAGCCAAAAAATGAATCAATTTCGATGCAATCAATTTGATTGGCACTTAAATCTAAGTATTTCAATTTTTTTAAATTGCGTATGGCTCGCGTTGGCACCTCAACCAATTGATTATGATGAAGTGATAGCTCCCACAACGAACGTTCCAAACCATCAAATACACCTTCTAATACTTCGCCCAATGGATTATGCGATATTTCAATGCGATACAACCCTTGAATTTGATTCAAAAAACGACATAAGATTTATCAATTTTTCAATACTTTATTCGAAAATGATTACCAGTTCCTAGTAAAAAACTCGGCGGTATATTCTGCAAACCAGTTCGTTCCATGTGCAACATGAACACCTGTTTTTTGTGTTATTCATTTAAAAACAAAAATGTAGTGGCAACTATATAGAAATATATGAAAATTTTCGACATACTTTTGAATAATTGAGTGTTCTTGGTATCGCTGGATAGGGAACATTTTTGCATTCAATGATACCAAGATCATTTTGTGATGCTTTCGAACATGTACACAACGGGCTAAACAGACACGGTGGATGTTTATTATTTTCCAATTCACGTGCACCCGCCAATGATGCCCAAATCATAAGCAACATAGTAACAATCACCAGTGCATAGCCGAATCGTATCAAAGCATCCACTTGATTCTATTTGTTTGTTTGTTTTTTAAATCACATTTTTAAAATTGAATATTATATTTTTGCGAACCCAATTGACAATTAAGTTAACTCACCATTTTGACAATTAACTATTTTACACGCACACACAATTAATTTCTTTTTAAATAAATTTTATAATCCAAAATCAAAAATGTCTACCTTCAAACCAATTCACTGGGAAACCAATTACACATTGTTTTGGATTTCGAACATTGAATCGAGAATCAATTCACCAAACCATAATGTTTACTGATTATTTATTATTTGTCGTTCTCCTTCGCGCAATACGGAACAGGGGGAAGAGTACGGAATCCTCAAGCACTAAGTTCTTCGTTTAAATTGTAAAGTTATACACTCCGGTACGTCTTCTTTGATCGGCTTCCGTACACTTACTATGTCCACAACATGTGGATTTATTCTAACTACAAAGCAACATTTGGTCATGTTAAACTTACGCATATGGATACGTAAACTAATTGGATTTCTTTCGAAACAAAATCGCAAAACATCGATTGGGGTAGCAAAAGAGACATACAACAACGAAACGAAGAAAATAAATAGAAATAGAATCAAATTTCAACCATATACACTGTCATTTTTAACATGAAAAAATTGTTTATGCTGAAATCGTGTCGCATCACAGAGATATACTATATATGATGTGGCGGCTCATCCCATATTATTTAATAACATTTTTATGGCATTTTATCATTTCTTTCAATTCCGAATGCATTTAATTAAATTGGATTTTATTTGGATAAAGTCATTTCAGGAAGAAAATTCAATTAATTAGAAAAATGAACATTTTTTTATTCATTCGTCTATAATTTTTATGTAATATATAGGGGGAATTATACACATCACGATCACATGTAACAAATAAACGAGAAAACATCTATATGGGATATTAATTTTGATGTCTAATGAAGTGAATTGAAGAATAAAAATATATCAATTTTTATAGATTTCATTTGGTTCATTCAATTTTGGTTTGGGAACTCAATGATTTCAAAAAAAAATATCACTATGAGATTTTGGTTATATTTCGTGCATTTTTGGAAATCCGGTATCAGAAGTAAGGAATGACTCCACTTTTGTGCCATCTATTTTTTTTCTTTGCAACACATTTTCAGCATTTTTTTTTTAACAGTGTGAGAACATCCATTAAATGTACCTTTGAGCTGTGTGAGAATTTTATTGGTTTCGCATTATTGTATAAATGTTACTACATGTGTATGTGTTTGCCTATTTTAGTTTGGCATAGAGAAATAACGGTGCAAATGAAATGAAAATGAACAACCAAAAAATCTTAGCATTGACATTTATTGAAAATATTCAATTTTATACGTTTACTTAAAATTCGATTACGTTTCAAATAATAGAGAAATGAATGAGCGCGACAAATATGCATAGACAATTAGATGACAAATGCAAGCCAGTTATATGGTTCAGACTAGGGATATGCTTAAAACGGCTGTTAAAATCAATGTGACCCAAACTCAATCGCTCAGACATTTTCAATTTCCAAATATTGATGAGCGAAATAGATATCGGTTTTTGTTTCTGTAAAGAGAAGACAAACAAAATACCAAATTAAGTAAAAGTCAATTGGTCAATACCACTGTATAATGTCCTACCGTTGTTTTCGATGCATTTAAACACGTGCGGCGGGAAAATCGGATCAGCGCTAAAATAAAATGTGTTTCGAATGATCTTGAATTGATTACGTGATTTTAGGTAAACACGCTGACGATACGGTATGCTGAAAACAAATTATCAAATCAAATTAATTTAATTTATCAATAAATTTGCAATTTACGAATTTGATTCGATTTACCTGTCGATTTTTGTTAAAATTTTCGTATTTGTCACTGGAATCTCACGAAAATCGGTAATCATCTCTTTGAGCACATTAAATGGCACCATTGGCTTACGCAAATCATCGAGGAATGTTGTAAAAACTGCAGATGAAATATTTGTTAGGTCGAAAATAGTAATACATTAAATAGGTCGATCGTACCATTTTCAAGATTTAAATTCAATTTAATCATGATTAAATGCTCCAATATTAAATGAATTCGTCCGAAACGTGCCAAATCTTCTTCAATATTTCGCAAACTAAATTTACTATTCTGGAAACCGACATTCTCCTTCGAATCATTTAAATCCACATTTTCTTCATTCATTTTGTGCATCAATGTCTTTCGTGGTGGTCCACCGCCTAAAGTACCATTCGTTGAAAATTGTGTCTTTAGCGACTTTCGTACATTCAAATCACCATTTGCCAGTGTCAATCTAATTATAATATTTAAAAAAAAAGCGATATCGAGTCAAAACGATTAAAGAAAATAGCATTTATTTACTTTTTATCGACCCGCAAATCTTCCGCTGAACATAGTTTGCCTTCAACAAAAATGTACTCGTAGTCTTTGTTTAATTTTTCCATTCCAATTTCAAGTAAGAGTTCTAGCGGTTCGGTCCCATTTAATCTCGGTATTGCAATGCGATGATCAGATACATCTCGAATTAAATGAGCCAATCTGCTTTGATTTGATGGCATATTCTATGAAAAATAATTTAATTTAAATCACTTTTTTTTTTCAAATAATACGCTTCAGTCAGTAATGATTAACAATATAAAGACTACAAACCACAACATTGATTTTGGCGGCTGATGTGAAAATATACTCGATGGCTTCTTTTAAAGCATTGTACGATGAACATCCTTAAAAAAAAAAATTTTTTGACTGATTTATTTGTGCAAAAACCATAATTCTCTAATTAGGGTATGCTCACCTCTCAGTACATCCCATAGTGCATCAGTGAGTTCACCGCTTTCTCGTACGCTGGCATTTTCGACGATTTTATCGATGCTCGTATTTGGCTTATGATTATTCACATCATCCTCATCAGTGAGACCGATCGATATGGGCTGCGTGAGCATATCATAGATTTCCTGCTTAATCTCCGCAATATCACTAATTTATTGTTAATTTAAACAAAAATCTCTTGAACGGATGATTAAAATGATATTAAATTTTGAATACCAACCTATGGCCCTTGAAGGTCAAGCATTCGGGATCTTTTGTTTCTTTATACGATACAATCGTTTGTTTGATGTTATTTAAAATGTCCAATTGAATCCAAAATTTCTTTGCAATCGATTGCAGATTATTCACCTGAATCGATTGATGTAAAACCATTTTCGATGCGGTCTTTTCATCGTTTAGTATTGATTGTGTCGTTGAACCGTTTACTGGTCGAGATACTTGTAGCATGGCATCATTACCCAAGCGATAATAATTATCAACCATACCTTCAATGGGTCCGTATTGTTTTACCACATAATTTACATGCTGCTTTTGTAATTCCATTAAGTTGATCGGCTCAAAGTTAATAACACCCTAGTAAAGTGCAGCATTTATTATTAAATCCGCGAAGAAAATACAAAAATCATTTCACTTACATTGAATGTCAATATTCCGCGACACCATTTATTTTCCTTCCTTTGTGTTGACAGTAGCATTGTTTTATCGTCGTTTGAACTGCAAATTGCCCAACATTTTGGCGTACTTTCCTTTGGAGACTCGGACAAAATTTTGATAAAGTATGATCTGAAAGAAAAACATTTTTTGGATATTAATATTTCTTTTTTCTGTTTAACATCTATGTTTTCAATTTGGAAAATTCATATATTTTGTATTTATAACTTACTGTGCTTCACACATTGGAATGGGATGAAATCTCTCGTCTTCATCTTTCCATGCATTTTTCTTAACCAATTCATCGCCGAGAGAATCGTTCAGCAAGTCATATTGGCAAGAGTCTTTGAGCGGCGATCCAGTAAGGTCTAGCATGTACGATTCATCTGTATAAGTAGGAGATTTGATTTTCTTGATTTTTTGTGGTGTTGACACTTGCCCCTTTAGTGTATTAGTTAAAAATGAAAATAAAGTATTAAAATGGAATTGTATTTTTTTTTTCACCGATTAAGAAGGTGACATTTTCACTCACTCGTTTATACAGCAAAATGACCTTATCCAATGTGGCTGCATTGGTATTTTCGACAGTTGTAAAATGTTTTATATACGACAATGGTTCAATATAAGAAATATCACAATCATTTATTAATTGTCGAACTTTTGCGTAAAAATTGGCCATTTTAAAGTGTTAAATATGATGGAGTAATAAGTCACCCTTCGTTTGTGATGACAACAAAAAAAAAACCTTTTCTTTAATGCACAAGTTTTGAATAACAAAAACCGTTTACATGAGATCTGTCAATATTAAAAGCGGGAGCACACTAGTGTTGCCATCTTCATTGAATTGCATATATACAATGATCTGTCAAAACGAAAACTAAAACGCATTTACAATTTGAAATTCGTATCGTATACAGTGAGAAAAATTGAGCGACGATTGAAAAGATGTCGAAAATATTTACACCAACAAATCAAATTCGGTTGACGAACGTAGCTGTGGTTCGTATGAAAAAGGGTGGCAAACGTTTTGAAATTGCTTGCTACAAAAATAAAGTGCTATCATGGCGCAAAAATATTGAAAAAGATATCGATGAAGTGTTACAAATTCATTCGGTATTCACAAATGTGTCAAAAGGAGCGGTGGCCAAAAAGGAAGATCTGGTGCAAGCATTTCAAACCGACAAAATCACCGAAATTTGCAAGGAAATTCTGATGAAGGGCGAACTACAGGTATCGGAAAAAGAACGACAAACAGAACTATCGGCATTGTTCAAGGAAATTGCAACAAATGTGGCCGATAAATGTGTGGATCGTGAAACAAAACGACCATATTCAGTGTCATTGATCGAAAAGGCCATGAAAGACATTCATTATTCGGTGAAGCTGAATAAAAATGCAAAACAACAGGTGCTTGAAGTTATTGGTTTGTTGAAAGCAAATCTTCCGATTGAACGGGCCCACATGCGAATTCAAGTCACCGTTGGTTCGACAAAAGAAGCAAAACAAATCATCGACAAATTGAAACCATTGTGCGCATCAATTGAACACGATGATTGGGACACCGGTTGCACCAGTCTCATCTGTCTTATTGATCCCGGCCAATTCAAAACCATCGATGAATTGATTCGTAAAGAAACTAAAGGAAACGGTCGCTTGGAATTGCTCGACCTAAAAGAAGTTGTTGAAGAAGAAATTCTATAAATTTTTTATTACTATTTTTTTCTCTCTTTTTTTATCGAATAAAATTTATTTAAACATCGAAAAAAATTGCGTTTTTTTCCTTTCCTCGCACACCTCTCAATGGAAAAACATTTGAGCAATGACAATTTCATCACTCACATCAATTTCACATGTAAACAATGTATGCGCAATGTATTTTATTGAGCACTTGACATTCAATGTGAATATGAGTATTTTGACATTTGTATTGGTGTGCTGTCAAATATTTTTAATGTTTATCATCAATTTAGTTTAGGTGTTTTGCTTTTCATTCAGTCAAACATAAAAAGTGACGAGAAAAAATAACAAATTTGACTGATTGGAAGAGTTTGTGATAAATTTATGCTCGTGGAATTTCGATCGAAATTTTAAATAAAAATGCCGATTTTATCGACGACATGTGATTGGTTCATTTTGCGACCAGGAATCACATATCGGTAATTTTCTACTGAAAACTTTCACAAATTCATCTGATAATAACAAATTTCTTGAAAAAAATTTCTTAGAAAAAGTGAACTATACACAATGCAATGGGCTGCTGACACTGAATTGTATCAAATGCAAGTTGTTGCAGCTCCTTATGGCGGTCCGATGGCTATTGTACGTGATTCAAAGGAATTTATCAAAGTGGGCGGTTCGACAGTTAAGCCAACAATTAGAATATTCACAGCATCCGGTCTTCTGTTGGCATCAATTAATGTAAGAATTACGAACCATTTTCTTTTGCATACAAATGAAAAATCAATTTGCTGTTTTTTCAACCTTATAATCGAATTTCTAGTGGAACAGTGGCAATCTTTTGACAATAGGTTGGTCAGATGCCGAAGAGTTACTTTGTGTACAAGACGATGGGCTCGTTCTAATTTACAATATGTTTGGCCAATATCAGCATACATTTAGCATGGGACAAGAAGCCAAAGATACAAAAGTCATCGATGCCAAAATATTTGCATCAAATTCAGGGACAGGCGTTGCTGTAATGACCACCAATTATCGTATATTCCTTATAAATAGTATAAAAGAGCCGAAAAATCGACAATTGCCCGAAATGCCAAGTGAATATCATCACCCATACGTTCGATTAAGACTAATTTTGATAGAACGTTTGATTTGATTTATTTACAGAATCGATACTCGATCCAACGTGTTGGGCCATTATCAATGAAGATCGAAATACATGCAGTTTGGTTGCACGTGAACATGAATTGTTCAAATTAAGCCAGGGATATAGTGTGTGTTCCGTACAAACGGTATCCATTGAAAATGAATTTAAAAGTATTGTCGCAATGTCCGTTTCGTATAATCATCGATTTTTGGCATTGTATACAAATAACGGCATCGTTTGGATGGGAACATCTGATTTGCAAACAAAATACTGTGAATTTAAAACAAATCAATCTGAAAAACCAAAACAAATTGAATGGTGATTGTGCTTCATTTGTTTTACGATAGATACGATCATTTTTATGGATCATTTTTTTTTCGTTGTTTGAACACAGGATACTCGATTCCGAAAATTATTCGCAAGCTGATGCCATTGTAATTGCCTATCCGTCATTGTTACTGGTTGTGACTGTTGCTGGTGATTCCAATATGTACAGCTATGATTCGGTGCCGTTTCTCATACCAGAAATGGATTGTGTACGAATATTGAATAATAGTGAACATGAAATGCTTCAAAAAGTTCCGACCTGTGTGAATAACATATTTGCGATAAACAGTCAAAAGCCGTCGTCCTATTTATTCGGAGCATATCAAAAATATGAGGTTCGACTTTCTACTCAGTGCGCACATAATGTTGGTATTGATTCTATAATTGGTTACCATTTTAATAGGAGAAAAGTCATCAATCCGACGAATATTTGGGTCTGATTAAAAATAAACTCGAAGAATCGGTGAATGAATGCATCGAAGCGGCCAGCTATGAATTTGACACAAATACTCAGAAGAGCTTGATTCGAGCTGCATACTTTGGCAAAGCATTTATTGCCAGCCATAATCCAGATAAATATATTGAAACATGTCGCGTTTTACGCGTTTTGAATGCCTTACGAGATACAAAAATCGGAATACCTTTAACATATGCACAGTAAATTTGATCATGAATTTTTGTTGTTGAATGGGAATAATGCTATGATTTTAATTATTCTTTGTCTAGGTTTAATCGATTGAAGCCACATGTTGTGTTGGATCGATTGGTGTTTCGCAAACATTATGGTTTGGCCATTCAAATAGCAAAACATTTAAAATTGCCGGAATCACGAATTTTGGAACATTGGGCCTTTCACAAAGTCACTTATGATAAAAGTAAATTTATTTTGAACAAATCATGAATTAAACCTTTTCATGCATGCCGCAGCTATTTATTTTATTTTAAATGAAAAAAAAAACCAAAATAAATATTTTCTTTTCTTATAAATAGATGATGAGGATGTAGCACGAAAAATATCCGAAAAATTGAAATTGGCCGGCGCTCAAGGCATTTCATTTTGTAATATTGCAAAAAAGGCACAAGAACTGGGCCGAAAAAATTTAGCGATAAAGGTATATATTGTCAACTAGATAGTTTAGCTCATCTGGATGGCGTTGAAATGGAGCGACAACAATAGTAGTGATTGTTATAGGCATAAAACTCATCACTATAACAATCACTTCTACTGTTTGACAAATATATTGCTGTTCACTACATTTTGTTTTTCATTAAATTCCTAGTTATTGGAGATGGAATCGAAGAGTAGCTTGCAAGTACCGTTGCTACTTAAACTCGGCGAAAGTAAACGCGCTTTAATGAGTGCTACAAAATCGGGCGATACAGATTTAATTTATACGGTTTTGTTACAATTAAAAGAGACAACGCAATTGGCTGATTTCCAAATGATTGTTCGAACATTTCCAACTGCACAGAATTTGTATAAGAAATATTGCAATTTAAATAGCAAAACTGCATTGCAAGAAATATTCAATCAAGAAGATGATTTTGTGGCCCAAGCTGAATATGCGCTTCGTGAAGACATCTCGGTAAATGGATAACTTATTGATAGATTATCAATTGAAAAATACAAAACAGCAATGTTTCATTGTTTTTTTTTCTCTCCCCTGAACAGTCCTCGAACTTTGAATTACCTTTGTTGACGGCATCGGTTGCTTATAAGAAAGCTCATAAAGATATTGAAGCAGAATTGTGCGAAGATTCTCGCAAATTGTTAAAGGATCAAAAAACATTTGCAGACAAGTACATAAACTGAGCATTATGACAAGAACTAATTTAAAATCGAAAATGTTTTTTTTTTCACTCTCACTAAGATATACATTGTCACGGTCACAATCATTCTATGGTATGCCTGTACATGAGACGATAAAGATGTTGCTGAAATTGGGCGATTTGAAAAATGCTGAAAAGAAGAAAACCGAGTATAAAGTGCCTGATAAGCGCTTCTGGTGGCTACGAATTCAAGTGCTATCAGAAACATTCCAGTGGGATGAATTGGAAAAATTTTCCAAAGCAAAGAAGAGTCCCATCGGTTATGAGCCATTCGTTGAAGTTTGCTTAAAGCAGCACAATATTGAAGAAGTCAAAAAATACCTACCCAAGTGTCGTAACGATAAAAAAATTAAATGGTACATTCGTGCCGGGTTAGTATTGTTACTGATAACATGTTTCGTGGACTATTTTCTTAAAATGTAATTCAAAATGTAATATATTTTCAATAGATTGGCAGAGGAAGCGGCCCAGGCCAGTTTTGAACAACGTGATCTAAACAGCCTTTATACGGTGCATATGAATGCCACGAAAAATAATGATCGAGCACTTGTAGCCAAAGTGGAAAATTTCATTGAAAAACTCTCGGAAAAGCGATAGGACCGCAAATTTGACCAAAATACATGCTTCAAATATGGGTTTCAAATTTATTATTAAACACTTTCTACTGTCATGGACATGTCAATAAAAAAAAACAATTATATTATATATAAATTTATTATTTTTTGTGTCCACACTAATTGTAAAAAAAAACTTAGTTTAATTTTGTTTTGTCTCATAATGAGACTAGGAGGTTGAATTTCGATCAAAATGTTACAAATTGTGCGAATTATTTACATTTTATGCGAAATGATTTGCAAGGAGTGCCTGAAAAAATTCGAAAAAATTTCATGACATTCCATCGAATAGTTTATGAGATAAAGTCATTTGAACTGTGCAACCTCTAATTTAAAAAAAAAAATAAAATGTCTTACATCCGTAAGATGAACTTTTCCGCACTGTGATCCACGACATGCATTTATTACAAATCTTTTACTCAAATAATTCACGAGAAAACTAAATCTGACATAAGTTTTAGATAAAAATAATTTTCGAAGCACTTTTCTTACAAAAACTACTAAAGATGGGAATTTTTGTATCGGAGCCATGCCTATATGATATCGTAATCATGTGAAAATTTGCAGAGGTTATTTTTTTCACAAAAAGTTAACATTCTGAAAGTTTGAAGAAATTTCAATGCATATTAAGAGCGAAAAATCCAAAATTTTGTTCGGGAGGTGCCCCTAATATTCGTTGAAATGTCTTCAAACTCTCGGAATGGTATTTATGTGTGATAAAAATAACCTGTGCAAAGTTTCAGCTCATTACGATATCATACAGGCATGGCTTCCATACAAAAATCCAAATTTTTTGAATTTTTCGTATAAGAAGTGTGTCGAAAATGAATTGTATCGCAAAACTAACGTCATATTCGGTTTCCTCGTACCCAAAAACCCCCCAATACACATTTTTGAGTGTTTAAGAATACATTAAATATCACTTTTGGAAGAAAAATTGAATTTTTCCCATGGATGGACATGGGCATCACACCAGACATGACACTTTACCCTGTCAACCAAAGTCGCTCAAAATGTAATGGTTTCTATTCCTCGGCACCCCCAATCATCCTGTGAAGTCAGATTTTGAATTACTTTTCTTGTTTGAAAGTTATCGTGTTAACAAATTTTTGCGTACAGGGTACAGCGTACAGGGTACAGGGTACAGGGTACAGGGTACGTACATACATTCGGACATCGAAAAAACGCTAGATTCGTGTTCCCTGGCCCCAAAAACACCCAGAAAACACATTTTTTATGGGTGTTAATTTTTCGACCGATTCCAATACTTTACCTTACACACTAGGTGTGTGCGGAAAAGTAAAACATGGAAAAAACAGAAATTCGTGCAGTGATCAAGTATCAATTTTTGAAAGGGTTAAAGCCGCAAGAAATCATAGATGACTTCCAGAAAACTTTTGGCCGGGTCGTCTTAAGGTGACTACACCACAAAACATCAAAGCGATGACCAAATTGGAACAACTGGGCTACGAATTCGTTTTCCACCCACCGTATTCTCCAGATCTAGCCCCCAGCGACTATTATTGGAAAACGCTGGACTAAGTGTATCGAGCTAAATGGAGACTATGTTGAAGAATAAAATAAAATTTTGCCAAAATTCAAGTTCTTTCATTTCCATTCCGGATCATTATCAAACCACGTTGTAGAGTGTAAATATTTGATGCTGTTTTTAAAGAATCCTTCGCCATTTCAATAATGATCATTAACTCATCGAGAGATGACATGTAGAACAATCAGAAACTGCACTCGTTTATTAATGTAGAAACAGCATTCTAGAATGTTCCTCTTTTCAACACCTGATGAGAAAGAATAATAAATGCTCCTCTGCGACTGTTTAAATAGAAATAGTCTGTTACAATAAATGTACATTTTATTTATTTACAATTTTTGAACCATTTTGGACACAAAACAGAGAAGTGATACAGAGAGAGTATAGGTTTGTTATTTGGAAAAAATTGAAATTAAGAAGCTTGCATTCGTTCATTTAAATTATGCAATTTAATTTTGGGAGGGCATAAAATGGTTTTCATCATTTTTGTTTTTCAAATTCACATCAGCTCAACGTATTGTTTCGGTAAAATTGAACATATTTTAATTACAGCCAATAACAAAAACATTTAGCGTTTTTTGTTCGTTAATAATTTTCTAGATGCTAGACACATTTGGGCGTAGATAAATTTTTTCGGAAAATAAAAGGTAAGGGCGAAAAAAAAAATTCGAGAGAGAAATGAGAAATGAATATAATCACAACGTGAGTGGATTAAGTGGTTGCACATTAATTCTAACCTTTTGTTGTGTGTATATCATTTGGTTTTTTTTTTTTTTTTTGATAATTTTTGCTAAGACTTCTTATTTTTTATCATTTATCTACACGAGAAAAAAAAAATGAAAATCGGTAGCTAGTGAAATGTTTTCTTTATATACTTTTTATAATTTAATTAAACATTCCATTTAACAAATATTATCCTTTTTTACTAATAGGAATTGTGGCGTCAAGCGAATGCACATGGTGCATTGCTAAATACAAATGCCGACATTTAAAATCAAATAACATTTACAATAGCATGAAATGTAAAAATGTGTTTTTGTAGTAGTTTTTTTTTGTTTCGCTTCAAAATGTTCTATAAATTAGTTAATATATTGTAACAAGAGCTGGTATTGAGTGATTTTAAAGCGTTTTTTGAACGGTTTTCTTCTAATGAGAATGCTAGAAGAATACATGTTTTGAAATGTATAAACGGAAGAATAAGAAATAAGTTGCAGAGTATTGCTCAGCGCTGCTGCCATCCAAAGCATATTAAAATATCTTGCTGAGGATGCGTCGTCCGTCGCATGCGAACGTACGTAGCAGTTTATACATCACAGCGAACAAGAATGAATCCATTGTTCTCTTCACGATTATGTGACTCAAAACATTCAAACGGTTGAATAGAGAACAATGTATGTATTGTTGTTCGCTTTGATGTATAAACTGCTACGTACCTTCGCATGCGACGGACGACGCATTCTCAGCAAGATATTTAAATATGCTCTGGATGGCAGCAGCGCTGAGCAATACTCTGATAAGTTGGCTTGAGACTGTTGTCGGCAATTTCATATGGATCAATTGATTTTTCGCTAAGATCCGGGTGGCAGCGGTTGGCCGCCACACATACACCGACAATAATCTCATTGGCATATTGGTTTTATATTTTGGTTTGCAAATATTCATGTCAAAGCAGTATATTATTTGGTTTTACTGTGAATTACTATTCAAAATGTTATTGACCAAATAAATGTAATCAAAAAGAATATAGTTTGGGATTTTTTTTTTTTGAAGATATAGTTCTTTGTTTGAATTAGATTGAGTTTTCATTTTCACAATCCTTGTATGCATTCAACAATAAATGAACAGCATTTGACATAAAAAAGAAAGATCTATTTTTAAAAAACCACAATCAAATGTAATTGTATTTGGTTTGTGTTTTTTTTCTTCTTCCCTTATTTGGCTGACAAAAATAAATGGCATCGAACTGAATCATTCATGATATTGTGTCAATATATTCTCTTCGTTTGATTTCGTCATAAGGTTCATTAGTTTTTTGTTGTCTCTTATTTCTTCAAAGCAACAATTAACAATTATAAATCAAAGTTTCAATTTTATTTACTATTCACCTTTTTGTAATGTGTTGATTCTTTTGTCATTATTTTTTTTACTGTAATTATAATTGTTTGTTCTGCAGAAATTTTATCATTTAATTTAAATGATTTTAATTATGTGAACAATTGCGTGTTTAATTTCATTTTTCATTTATTTTATAGATAATAATATTTTCAATAAAATTCTCTAAATAATTTAATGACTAGAAAAATGTTATCTCATAATCACCACAAAAATCTTCTTCTTACACATTTTTATCATCATTTCTCCTTCGTTCCGTGCAAATATTGGATTGGTTGCTGCTAATATAACACATAATATCCTTTTCTAAAGGATATATAAAAAAAATGTTTTCTGTATACATAATTTCGGTTTCTGTTTAGTTGGCTGCTGTGATGCTCAAACACTTCACTATAGTGCTAAGCACATGTTTGAAATTTAAACACACTTAAAATGGTATTATATATATCAGCGGATTGAATTATATGTTTGGAAAAATGGTTTGGAAATTGATTTAAGCTTTTACATCATCTTCTATGCTCATCTAATAATGTGTGCCTCACAAATAAAAAGTTTTTCGATCAACTGCGAATAAAAAGAATTTAAAAAAAAATTCGAAATTTCGAATGAAATTAAAATCGGAACAATAAACAATATCCTATTGAATGCCATTCGCGGTCCATTCAAAATATAACTACATATCCTTGTGTTTTTTTTCTCCTCCTTCTCTCAATTAATAAATAATTTTAAGCTGCTTCGCAAAACAGCTCAAATCACAAAATTTGAATTAAATAGAATTGTCTTAAGTGCATGATTCTTTGAAAGTTTAATTTGTCTATTCAATTTGCCTAGTTTTTAAGCAAAAGAAGAAAGAAAAAATTCTTCTAGTGCAATGAAACAAATTTCAGTTTTGTTGAAATTATATAACTCTGAAATGTAATTTCACAAAATTTAGATAAGCATTTCTGTTCCTATGTATAGAACGAATAGAGTAAAAATGTATGTTTCAAAGAATTAGTACTTTCAATCAAAACTTTACATTAATTTCATCATCAAAAAAAACATTAGATTCTATTATTTCTACGCAGCAATTTTGTGCTTAAATTTGTGTTCGTTCGTTTTGGTTTTGTTCAGTTGTATTTTACTAGGACCTACGTGTATTATCGCATTTACAAATTTTCATCATTTTTTTTTCTTTTCTCTTTAAATTACAAATAGATATGAAAACATTTTTTTTCTTCTTCTTCTAAACACTAACCCAAAATACACGTTTGCGAATGTAAGTGATTAATTATAATAATTCATACGCAACTCACGTCAGTGTTTTGTTTGTGTTGTTGTTTCTTTTTTTGTTGATTTTTCTTTTAAATGTACTGCATCATGTAACTTTCGTTTTTCATTTTAATAGTACGCAGACATCATCACATTAATAATAGTGGCTTAAAGCTTGACAGATACTTATATAACATCGGCGCAGGATGTGTGAACACAGAGAAAGAGATTTAAATGTGTGTTGTTGTTGTTTTTTTTCTTCTAGCTGTTCGACATTGTGTTTCATTCATTTCTCCTTTTTGCTTAAAATTTCGTTTCGTTTTGGTTCTCATTTACGCAAAAGAAGCGTTTTTAATATAGGCTAAGTGTTTTCAGTCAATGAGCCATCGACGGTGATTGAATTGGCATGAAGCCCACCATTGTTCAGATTCGGACTGGATGAATTGTTGTTATTTTTTGTGTTGCCTATGCTTATTGCGGCGGTGCCATTAAATGTTTTATTCAATGGACTGATTGGGGTAAGCGGTAGTGAGTTTTCGTTGTTGTTGTTGTTGTTATTTATATTACAATTATTATTACTATTCGCATTGTTTGCATTCGATGCGGGCGTATGATTTGGTGAAATTTGAGGTGTTAGTTGTGTGTGTTGCTTTGGTGATGTAGCTGGAGTTAAAATACCTAAATTAACAAGACTAGGAAGATTCATTTTAGTGCCATTGCCATTTGTGTCATCGGCATTCGATTGGTTTTGTATGGCGGTTGTTGTTGTCACAATAATATTACCATTGCTTGTACCATTTGCCGCACTGTTACTCGTTATGATTAAATTTTTGCCAGATGTTTTGGTGCCAACTAAAACACCATCAAAACAATCTGTATTCAGTTTGACCAATTTATTTGGATTGTGAGTGGATAGCAGTGCATGGCTGTTATTTGGAGGACTTGATACAGCCAATGAATTAACGGCTATTAAATTGGTAGTCGGTGGTGTTGTTTTTAATGTAATTTGATTTGATTGTGTTATGGACTGGGTGAAGGTTGGCGATACATTTATGTTTGCCGTAACTGTCGCCGCTGCCATCGTTACCGTCGACAATGTTGTTGTATTACCGGGCATGCTTCCATTGGCACTGCTATTTGGTGATAATTGACTTTGGCTGCTAAAATTATTGTTGCCGCCATTCGAAGCACTCGATGGACTATGTGGCCTTGTCACATTGCTACTATTATTGTTATTATTATTCAATGCCTCCGTCGATGTCGTATTATGTACCACCATTGAATGATTCTTAAGACCTTGTGATGTTTTATAACTCTTTCCGCAATAGCATTTGAATCCTTTTCTCACTCTACTTCGCAATTGTAAATGTGATTTTGGTGCGACATTGTTCGATGTTTGTGGTTTATTTCGGTTCAAGTTCATATGCAATTGAATGCATTTCATTTTGTGCGCAAAACACATTTTTGGAATATTCATTTTTGATGCATTTTGGACAACGAATGCGCACGATGAAAAGAAAAAGAAAAAAAAAACAGAATCATAAGTCAAATTGTCGAATGGTTTAGTTATTTAAGTGAAAAATAACCATTCCAAACGAAAGAAAAACAAACAAACACATATTTTTGATTTTAAATGTCAGTTCTTTTTCATTTTCAACTAATTTGAACGATACGATTAATACTATATTACTATCATTATTGAAGTGTTTTTTCTAAAAAAAAAAAAAATGTTTTTTTTTGGCATGTTTCTTTGTATCTCTTTTTTTTCTTCGTTTTTCAGGTTGATATGCAACAATTGGCTACTTACTTTCCCTCTTTTTTGTGGCCATTTTTGGAATGATACTTGATGCCATTTACATTCTTGTATCGCTTTTTGCACCCAGGCACTGGACATGCAAATGGTTTTTCATTCGATGCACTATTCCCCGCCGTGCCAGAGTGTCTATAATTGTGAGGAATAAAATAGAGCCGAATTCAAATGCGGAAAAATAATTGCATCAAAAAATTGTTTGTGTATAAGATTTGTAAGTGCTTGTACTGTGAAATTGAAAACGACGCGATGACGACATCGACAAAATCATACGAACGAAAAAAAAAGATTAATATTTGTGTGTTTTGCATGTGGGAAATCACGCAAACTCGACTTTTCATAAAATGCTATAAGGATATCGCATTGCATTTATGATCATGACATAGGCATTTAGAAACGATCAACAAATTGTTATTAACCTGCTGCCATAACGCATTATAAACTCCGAACTAAACTCTTCGGTCGTCCAAGAGTCATTCGAATTTTCCGATTCCGATACTATCATTTCTTCATCGTCTATTTCACTACCTGCAAATAAAAAACAAAAAAAAAACTCAAATAAATAAACCGAGGAACCAGTAAGTTTGTATGCTTGCATTGATTTTGATGTGGTTACGATTGAAAATTAGAAACAAACCTGTTGGTGTGGTACTTCGATTTGATGATGACATGCTATAGCTGTGATGTTTAATAGCTAATTTTCGCTTTAAATCACTGGCACCCGTGGAATTGTTTATGAATGGGCCTTCCTTGCGCGCTGCATCAGTTATGAACCTTAGCACATAGCTCAATGGAAGACATGCCGGCTGTGATTGCTCCTTTTGTTCAACAACATGCGGATCATAGTCTATTTTAATATCAAATGAATTATAAATAATTGAATTGTTTTTTTTTTTCACCTCATCAATCAATCAACATATACCGAATTTAGGTGGATTTTGGATAACTAAATAGTAAATTAGAAATTACAAAAAAAAAAATAATAATTTAGAAACATTGAGTTTTCAATGTGTTCGGACAAGATCGGACGTCTGAGCTACGAAAATCCCATTTTCACTCACTCACGCAGTATCAAATCAACACATACACATATATACAGCAAATGTATTTAAGAGAGATGCGGAAAAATCAATAAACACCAAGCAATCATGGATATTTCCTTTTTTGGGCGATTATTTGCTTCATTCAATTTAAATGGTTGAATTTCACATCGAATAGATGCGCTATTTTTAGAAGAATCCGAATAGAAAAAGTTATGATAATTCTCTCTGCTGTATGTTGTTTGTCTTGACACATTCTAAGTGACATGTGTTCTGTAACCGAAATAAAAAAAAATTGTAACGTGTCAGCTGATCACATGAATTATTATTTATCAAATGGCAAGGCAATGTACGGTTTCATTCCAATCATGTCCCGCATTTTAGTTTAAGTATTTATTGCATATTTTGTGATGTATATTGTCTAACAAATAAGTGACTTGTTATTTTAATTTTATTCATAAATGAATATATCAAATGTTGATGCGATATGCATTATTTCGTTTCATTTCATTCAATACTTTACGCATGATTAAATATTCATTTCGAATTTGTATGCGTGTGTCTCTGATAAGCAAGAGTTATTATCGATTTTATGATACGGGCCACACAAATTGTGGTACTGGACACCGACAATCATAATGCAGGACAGTGAAATCTGTAGCAAACAAACAAAAACTTATAAATGCAACCAGATTGCCAACTGATTTACTTCGGCCATTATCACATTTCACTCTAAACTATTCGATTGAATATTTTTTACACAGATACACACGGACACGGGCGCGCGCGCGCTTTCACCCTCTTGCATTCGCTCAATTCCAATTTGAATGTTGATAAAAATGTGCTATAATTTCATTAAATCGAATTGATGTACAAGGCACAGACGCGATCAATACACATCTATTTATGTAACATAATAACACAGAAAAAGCAGTGAAACCTTGAAACGTATATACAATTTAAATGAAGCTGATTTTTTTGAATAAAAAGGCTGTAAAACACTTGTTTAGCACAAAAAAAAAAAACTTTAATTAATAGAGATTTTATTTCTGTTTTCAATTTCACGTTGTCTAAACATCAATTCATTTAAGATATTTGAGGGAGAGGGGCGACGACAGAAACATAATCATATAAACAAAATAGAACCCGATTCTAATGTCATTGCATCGATGAACGGCCAGATAAAAATGAATGAAATCCCACAGCAAATATGTGACACACTCATATGTGTAGACAGACGACTACATCATAATCAAGAAAATTGAGAGACAAAAATAATACAATCTAAAAAGCAGAAATTAATCTGCACAGAAGAACGCGATTGAGAATGGCAAATATGACATCGGTCGATGGTGTGAATATAATATACATCAGTGCATACAAATGATTGCTTTGTGTAACTGTTTTTGATGGGCGATCACCATCATTCGTAACATGAACATTTGTTATTATTGTCTCACAAACTTTATGCATGTTTTCATTCGAGCCGAACGGTTCGATGTTGTTCGCTTATTCACACACTCCGTTGCCGATTCGCCAATATCAAATGAACATTTGAATTGTGAATTTCAACAAACAAACAAAAAAAAAATCGAAATTCTATGACACAAAAAAAAAGAAACCAAAACACATAAAACATTACACTAAAAACTAAACTATTGTCAAAAAAGACAATAATTGACACTTACCGATGTGTATATTTTCGATGTGAGTGATTAATTCACCCAATGAATCAAATTTTATTCCGCACCCATTGAATTTACAAATATTAATGAGAAACACAGCCATTTCACACACAAGTAGATTTATCAAAAAAGCAACAACTTATTATTGTGTGTGCAATAAAAATGAAAACACAATATCTCTCTCTTTAAAAACACACGGGTGTTCGGTGTTCGGTTGTTTTAGCGGTGTGTTGCTCTTCTTCTGTTCTCGCACACAGATTTGTCGGAGTCGCGGGGCCGCTATCTCTCACCTTCTTTTATTCACTACAGAATAGTCGCCTTGTGATAATGCGAATTGCTCTCAAATTCGAAGCAAACGAACCCAAAACCGAATATAATGAGCCAAAAGGAGATACGCGCTCTCTGAGGGAGAAAAATGTACACGAACCGAGCGTATAATATAAGAGAAGACAAGTGAAAAATAACAAAAACAAAAATAAATAAAACAAAACAAAAAATAAAAATAAAATAAAACGAAGAGAAAAATATCAACGAATAATATACACCACTTCAACAGTTACTCTAGACTTTTTTTTACGTTTAAGCGTTTTATTTTAGTTTGTGAACACACTGTGCTGTTTGCCACTTCTTCTTCAATATCTTCTATCGTGTGTGTATTTTTCTTTTCTTTTTTTAGATAGTGAATTATATTTGGTTTCGCTGGTTCATGAAAATAGTACAAATACACAAGCAGACTACACGAGAGTAAGAGAGATAGAGTATTAGCGGTAGCAACAGAAGCAGCACAGCAGTAACAACGGCAGCAATTTTTGATTCAAGTTCTTTGGCTCACTGTAACACACAATCCACAGTATACTAGACCAACAATTGAAATTACTGCTTTTTCTATCGTGCTTTAAGCACTCTCTCGGTACGGTCTACATGAAAAACCATTTGACTATGTGTTTAAATCTATATATGTGTACAGAGAGTATTTTTATAAATGTGTTATATGCTTATGCGCCTGTTATGTACTCTCTATCTCACTCTCTATCGTTTAATCAAGAGATCGATTGCTGTATTACACGCTCGTACTGTTCAAACTGCATGTCATGGTATTTGTGCAATATGCAAAGCTGAAACGGCAGCAAAGACGGCTACGGATGGCCAAAATCATCCGTTGGTCCAATAAATCAACAACAACAACAACAGCAACAACAAAAAACGTTCATCAATAGACGGTTTTTTGTGTGTGTCTCTTTTTTTGGGGGATTCCAATAAGCATCTTATGTGCTCAAAAACCAAAAGTAATGGCATTACGACAAATGGCCCAAAAACAGAAACAAAAATCCATTTCAAATGGTCTAGTAAAAACAATATGTCAATAATCACGCACACACTCCATTATGGTAAATATATAACCATGTACATAGTTATATATAAAGCATTTTATTGTTCTTTGCAATGCGCAAATGTATCAAATGTGCATTCGAATTCGATGATGTTCGTTCGTTCGTGATTGTATTCGTGTGCGCGCCACAACATTCCTCTATAGATAAATATTCGCTTTATATATGGATATGGTAATTTTTATATAAGTATATATATATATATTGTGGAATTCTGCATTGTGACACTTTAACATTGTATCAAATGCGAATCAAATGGAAATGTGTGGCAACCAATCGAATGCGCTTTTGTATGAGTACCGTTGGCTTGAGGACAGCGATTACGTTAAATGCGAATAGATATACCGTTGGATTTGTGTGATGATGACGACATACATGCAAACGCATAAACAATATTGCGATTGTGTCTCTATGTGTGTTTATGTATCGATGTTTGTGTGTACATGACTATTTACTATGGGGAATATTATGTAATGCTATTTTTACCAATACTCACACAATGTTCATGCATTCGCATCGCAAACTCAATCGATCTGTGATCAGAATTTGCCCTACAGATTTAATTCAATTATGTCAATAACCAATTCGAATTTACCGCTGAAGAGAAAATCGATAATTCAATAGCAACATCATAAAATCCAATTGGAATTTATGTGGAACGATGATGACAACAACAATAACAACAGCAACTGAATAAAAAGCTGCTCATTTTTGGACTCTGCCTTTGATTTGTATATAACATTTAACGCACACAGTTGAATCAGTTATTTTTATCAATTATGTAATTGTGTCGATGGAAATGTTCTATAGACATTTTGGTTCGCACACACATCTAACGCACCATGATTTATAGATATACATAACATATATTTTATATTTGCTGTTTGTCTTTTCAATTTGTTTGCTTCTTTCAACTTTTCAATATCGAATCGAAAAAAAATTTGTTCTCTATTTGTCCCCGTTTATTACAATTATATAGCTTTTTTTTATATATATATGTATGTTTACAAAAGAAGTGGCGCCAGCTGGTGAAAATGAATCCGAATTATATTGTAAATATTTGATGAATTGGAAATTGAAATATGGATGTATTAATATACCGAATTCGAGTAAGAATAAAAAAAACGTAATTTTTTTTGTTGTTTTGTACGGGTTAATTTTCAACGTAGTTCACTCACTAAATTTGATGTTGTTGCCGTTCTTGCGATTAATCAAATGAACTATATCACCAATTATGCAACGCAACACAAATTTACAGCCACAAGTGTGATGGAACTATTTTGTATGATGGTTACTAATGTCGGTCGATAATGTCATGTGACGTGAACGTGATAAAATAGATTTGTTATGAATTTCTTATTCGTTTCGTATAAATTGTGTGTCTCCAAGCAGTATGGTTTATATAACACATACGCAAATACTGCTGGATTTCGAAAATCAATATCTGCAGCATGCGCAGCGCCATCTTGATTCTGATATGTTGGCAACTGCAATTCGAAACATCTGTTAACCCAGATTATTATTTTGACATTGAATTGATTGTCGTAAAAATTGTGCACATTTCATTTGATTTTAAAAAAAACTGTTTTTTTTTTTCTTTTCACATCAAATGAATTCAATGTTTGAAAACAATGATGACATCAAAATGAATTCGATTTCCATTGAATTCATGTACAAATGTTAACAACGATACTACTCATTTGACAAATAGATACGTGCATACAATTTTCGAATTTGAAATGTCAAATTGAACGAAATGTCTCTGTATTGATTAGTACGATGCGTTCGGCACTCTTCGGCTATTCGTCCGAATCTGTATTTTATTATACGCAAACTACGATTGCCGAACTCGTCATTCGTTCAGCTGAATAATAAGCGGGTTAACCGGCGAACTGAGTATATAGTCTCTACCACTGTTTCATAGGTAAGTCACCGAATAGCTGTGCGTTCGTTCTCTCCATTCGTATCAACTCCCAATTGAGTAAGAGAAAGAATTTTTGTGTGAACAGACGAATCGAAGAAATTTTTACAATTTTTTTATCAAAAAAATTTGCCATCACTTTCGTATCATCGCACTCAAAAATTTGTGTAAATCGATTCGCAAAGGTTTTTTCAATAACATTTTCACAATATTTTTGTGCGATTCCAGTGTTTTCGTTAATATTTTCTCAATTTTGCTGAACGACTTTGATTTTCGGTTTCAGAAGATTCCGCCATCTTAAAATTTGACATTCATCACCGAATCTCGCGACTTTTTTTGCGGTCAATTCATTGAATTGCATTTTAATTTTTCGGAAAAAAAAATCACTAAATCAATTTTAGTTAATACTGTAAAGTGACACAGTGAAAATTATTGCAGAAATTCATATATCAGTATGAAAACTTCCATTCAACGGCTACACAACTTTTCAGTGTTACGTACTCGTTACGTAACTTAGTTCCTATGATTCTTACGCTGAACATACAATGTTCAATTGTATTATCTCTTTTTCTTGCTCAACTGTGTGATATTGTCAATAGACGAAATCAAATTAATTATTAATCCATTGTTTTTAAAAACAGACGACTTGAGTGTTTAGTGCATTTTGTAAACAGTTTTGGTTTTCTTCTGTATTTGCAGTTTCCTTTGAGCACCACACGGCAAAAAAAATACAAAGTGTAAAAATGTTTGTACAAACCGCCTCACGTATCGCTCCAGTTGCAAGAACCGCTGTAAGTATTGATAAAAAAAACCAAATTGACATTCTAAATTAAGTGGGTAGGATGAAGTTTTCCTAAATTGCGATAAATGGATCGCTTTCATTGAGTACATCAAAAATGTTTTGATGGTTAAAGGAGAAAACTTCTAGTGCGTGGTGACGTTTTGCTTAGTAGTACAAAAAATTTTTCGTTATATAACAAAGAAGATTTTATACGTGTTTGTTCACATGCTTTTTGATAAGTTGTTGTTGCTAAAGATTCATGCTCACCATTACATAAGCATTTCACATTTATGCTTTTGACATACAGTTTTCGTTTAGATTATATATATATAATTTTTATTTTCTTTATATCGATTTAAAATTGAAATGAAAATATCTTTAATGAAAAAAATTTTTTGTCATTTCTTTTTCTAATTTTCGTTTTCTCTCAACAACAGATCAGCGGATCATTCATGCGACCATTGAGCAGTGCTGTCATCAGCCAAAGTCAAACATTAGCTGCTCAAAACACAACTCCAGTGGCCCTTCTCCCACAAATGCGGTCATTCCAAACTACAGCCGTGACTCGCGATATCGATTCAGCTGCTAAATTCATTGGTGCTGGTGCCGCTACCGTTGGTTGTGCTGGCTCAGGTATGTAATCGATAAAACGAAAATAGAATCGTGATTATTTCATTTCAATTTTCACTTTTATTGCAAAAATAAAATGGATCGACTGTAAATGATTAAAATATAAAAGCAATGAAAATCAATTTGATGCGATGCTGTAGTCTTATATCGTGTATTCTGTATTTTGGGCTAGTAGTAAACTTGCATCTGTGGCAAACATACGAGTACATTGGTTGCTCAAATCATAAGCCTCGGGAAGGTCTGAGAAAAGGTGTGCTTCACGTTTAGAAGCTTGTGTTCCACATCCAAGCAGGATGCTTCTGTAGTTGAAGGTGGGGGGACAAGAAAATCTGACATTTGTATGTGTTAAGATTCGTTCTGGCGCTGCAAATGCTCATTGAAATCTCCTGTCACCAGCATTTTTAGTACAATGTGCAAGTTAAATGATTGATCTCATTACGTGGATCAATTCGTTTAAAACTCAATTCAGACTAATCTATTACTAGCCCGTCCCATAATATCGAATACATAACCAAACATCAGTGTATCATCAAAACCGATTTTACTTCTTTTATGACAATGATAGCGTCGTGTCTAGTACAACAATTTTTTTCCCTGTGGCACATGTGTCATCAATCAATGCATACCGACCCGAATCACATATATAAATTTTTTTGTTTTCTTTTTCGGTTTGCGCTATTGTAAACATGAATACAAATTTCTATAGGTGCTGGTATTGGAACAGTTTTCGGATCTCTCATCATTGGTTATGCCAGAAATCCATCACTTAAACAACAACTTTTCTCCTATGCCATCTTGGGATTCGCTTTGTCCGAAGCCATGGGTCTTTTCTGTCTCATGATGTCGTTCTTGTTGCTCTTCGCTTTCTAAGGAATTCATCATTAGTTTTCTAATTCAACAACAATACAAAACAAAACATAAAAAAAAAACAGATACAAAAAATGAATTAATATGCATCCAACAACAGAAAACAACTACAAATGAGAAATTAACAAATTCGCAAAAACAAAAAAAATTGCAAGAAGAAGAAAAAAAACTGAATTCAGAGAAATGATCCAAATCATCATTGGACCGTTTTAGTAGATCGCGTGGACATCGGCAGAGGCGGAATGAACGGGATACAAAAGTCAGATACTGTCAAATGTAAACCGTTTTTCTTTTATTTAAACGAATTCGATATTTGTTCAAATTCAGCCTGTTATTTTCTGTTTTAATTCAATTTAAACCTGAATAAAATGAGAACCGATTCGAAAAGATAGCACAATTGACGCCGTCTATAATTCAAATTCCAATTAAACAGCATGCGAATCACACAGTACATCTCGTCTTTTATTTATTATACTCGGGCCAATGTGACCAACTTCATTTTCTTTTTCTACTGTTTTCGATTTTTTTTCTTCATCAATGTGATTTTTTTTCGTCAATTAATTAAGTATTCCACGCAGAAACAAAGTTTAAACAATTTTAAAAGAAAGAATGACGAAAACACTTAAATACAAAACAACAGCATACATACTCTTGTTCAAAGTGTTCGCACATTGCAGAGCCGAATTAGAAATTGACTTTTGCAGCGTAACATATGAAAAGCAGAACAAAAAATGGATAAACCAACCAAAAAAATATACTAAAAAAACGGAAAAAAAATCTTATTACAATTATTGATGTAGGGTCAATTGGGCAGGTCCAACACCAACAACTGTACTCAGGATTTTCAATCCGATTGGGAGAATAACATCGCGTAAACCAACCATTCGCAATATATTGTGTGTATGTGCTGAAATATGAATAGATTTAAATGAAGAAAAAATATCCGTTTAAAGAGATATATTACAGAAAGAATAGACCTTGTATGGAGAAACTGGGAGGATTTAAAAAAAAAAAAAAAATATTTAAAATATGTAAAACCACGATGTGAGTTTAAAATAAAATTCATTAGAATGCGATTAATAAAATATGATCGAACATGAAAATAAGCAAAATAAATAGTTACAAAGAAAATTGAGAAAAAAATCGAACAAACTTCATTTCTTGTTTACTTTTTTTTAGTCATTTTAATTTTTATTTGATTTCTTATCTTTAGTCAGTCTTGGCACAATGTTATTTGAATGTTGTCACTCTAGTTCTGAAATCGTTCAAAGAGGGCAAGCGTTTCGCATTCAGCATTAGATAGCACTCATTGCTTTAACTATCTATAAAGCGCGAAAAATTCACAAATTCAAAAGTTTTAAATCCATTTCTTTTCGGATCTTTTGAAAAATTTATTTTTTATTCTATCTTCTAGCCGGCTGTTAATAGCGGTTGAATAGTCTGCAGTATCACTTCAGCGGTTATATTATATTATATAACAGCCACTTTTAGACGCATTGGCATCTTCCGGAGAGATCAAAAGTAACTATTCCATCATTAAATTTATAGTTCATTGTTGTCAGATTTTCCTTTTCTGCATTTCAATTTGATATTAGAAACAAAACAGAATATAAATTCAAAAAGCTTGAATTAAAACGCGAGAAAAAGTCATTTCAAATTTACTTTAAAAAATCTTTTTTATTTATTTTTTGTAATAAAATTCAATAAATTTTAAACTTCTAGGTATTTTCTCGTGTTTTAATTCAACTTTTTCGATCTGAAAGTCATGCAATGCATTTATAGCTCAAAAACATAAAATCATAAAATTATAAATTCGGATTGCGACAAAACAGACAAGCAAAATGTGTCGTTTTTACTCTAAGATTTTATTTGACCCATAAATATATATGGAAGAAAATATGTATGTTTTATTTGACTCCCATAAATATGATATTTGGTTTTCGTCAAATATAACAATGCGTTGCATTTTTTCTCATTCGTATAATGTGACGAGATTAGCTTAATGAATTGTTTGTCAAGATTCTATTTCTCAAAAATGATTTGGATATAACGAGGTCACTTTTAACTTTCATCATACGTCCTCAGCAGGGGTCCGAGGGGTCCGATTACCCCCCTCCCCTGACGAAGTGTTACCCCTTCAAAATTTTCAAAGAATTCTTTCAATTTGCTAGGGATTTTCGCCAAAAAAGTGAGGAGCAAAAAAAAAAAAACGAAAAAAGTACACTTTTCGCAAAATACACTTCACTTTTTTGCTTACCCCCCTCGATTTTTTTCAATTACCCCCCCTCAAATTTTTTCCTTGAGGACGTATGACTTTCATCGTTTTAATGTGTGATCGAAGGAACAACGCCTTTTGACTCCAATTTGATTTTAAATTCAATGCAATTTTGATGCAATACTTTCGCGAAGACTTACAAATACTTTGCACTATGGGTCATTTGTTTGTGAAATGGGTCATTTGTTTTTCTTTTGTTATTTTGTAAACCAATTCTTCCATCCAAAAACCTTGAATCAGAAAAAAAACGTTTTTGACGAAAACCAAATATAATATTTATGGGAGTCAAATAAAAACATATATACTTTCTTTCATATATATATTTATGACTCATAATCAAATCAAATCTAAGAGTGAAAACGTTTAATCGTTCTAAATAGGCAAAATAAAATCCGTAATTATATTATATGAAAGATAATTAGTTTTATGAAGGTATTATGAAAGTTTGTCCTTTAAATCACATTGTGAATTTTACAATGGAAAGCATCCAAACAAATGATTCTGATGAATAAAATAACAAAATGTAGCAAATATTTTTAGTCATTTAATTTTAATTTTTTAATTAAATGACTAAAAAGATTTGCTACATTTTGTTTTATTGATAGTATTGGTCATTTATCCTCCTATAAAGATAAATAATTATTTAAATGATTCTTATTTTGTATGAATTTAAATAGAATATTGTAATAATATTATAATGTAAATGACAAATTAATTAGTTTTGATTTTTTCGATTAAGAAACTATGATAGAGACCTGACTTTTTCACAATTTTCGGAAATTCCAATGATTTCTGGAATTTGATACCATAACAATAGATAACTTATATGAAGCACTGATACTGAGGTCTTGTGGAAATTATTTTTAGGTTATTATTAATTTATTTACAGATCGTGTATTGTTTTTATTTAGTTCAAGTAATTCGTTTATTTTTTCATTATTCAAAATTTTAAAAAATTGTGAGGCAATGTGTTTTGTGTATCTTAATCATAAATTTTTATCAGACCAAGCTCATTGCGATATGGTGTGATATGTTCACGTCGACATGCAATCTCTCTAATTGGTCACTTTCAGTATTTGTCCCGAGTGTCTGGTAGTTGTGATATATTATTATTATTATCCATATAGTCAAAAATTGGCAAGATGAGAGTTTTAATAAGTAGCAATTTGATTTGGGAAGGAAGTATCATTTGGAGTGGACCAAGAGTTAATAGTATAACTTGTTTGTTATATTGCAAGTGATTAAAATTATTTTTAGAGGAATTGTTTATTGCTTTGGTTTCTGAAGGGTTGATTCCAATACCGAAATCAATACAGAATTGTTCAATATTTTTCAGCTCGTCGTTGACAATTTTAATTGTTTTATTTATACCATTTACGTCATAATCAATGTAGATTTGAACGTCGTCCGCGAATAAAAGAACTTTACTAGATTTGATAAAATGATTACTTTTATTTACTATTCGAAATTGAACAGCCATCGACATTTTATTCCGGTTCCGTAGTTCAATGGATTTTTAATCGCATTCATATTGAATTGTTGCAAGTGACAACACTGCTGTAGTAAATATTATATTATGGCTCATTCTCCAAAATTGTTTTGATTTTAATTTGGATTATATTTGAATTATTTCTCTATTTTCATAATTTTTTACGCATGTTATTTAAAAAGTTACATGTACACGCGCGCGTACACACACAATTACAAAAGCGTATCAAAAGTGACATTTACTTTCCATCGTAATGATGTACAAGTGTGTGTGTGCGTTGTTTTGACGTTTCGAATGTAGTGTTTTTTGTTCGAAATTTTTCATACAATCACACGAAAAAAATTTTACATTTTAAAATTGAAATTACACAAATTTAGAAAATGGAATCGCAGAATCGATGATAAATTTGAAAAGTGCATGTGTTAATTGAGTGAATTAAATTAGTTTGAGTTTGAAATTAATGCGATGGAGAAGCGTATTTTGTCCGATCTCATTTCAGTAACAACAAAGTCAAGCGATAAAGGCACCATATTTAATGTGAGTTGTTACATACATACATGTACGCGTATTGAAATCCAACGCATTGAATGTTGAACCAACAAACACAGAGCATGCATATCTATTGTGTGCAAATGGTTTTGTGAGATATTCTTATAAAGCTGTGTGTTTTCAATTGTTTTTTTCTCTTATTATTAATTTCGAATGTTTAGGCTTTGGTAAAGCTTCGAGCTGAACTGGTTAAAGATAAACAAGGCATCGAATTATTTTATAATGCTGGTGGAATTGCACCAATGGTACGGTTGCTCAGTAAACCGTATGAAAAAATTCTCGAAGGTGCACTCAGCATTTTAGGCAATTGTTGTACACAGAAAATGTGCTGTACACAAGCAATATCACATGGAATTGTACCACCATTGTTGACAATATTGAAAAGTATACCAAATCCAAAGGTACAATGTCGTGTATGCCGTTTACTTGGCAATTTGGCCAGAGAATCAAATGAAAAATTATGTACACTGGCCAAAGGGATTGGTGTAGTTTTGGCATCCGTTTTAGAAGACACAAAGGATGTGGCTACAATGGGAATGGCTGTACGAGCAACACGTTTACTCTGGAACGAAATGCCGTTCAACAATGAATTCGTTCAATCGGATGGTGTGGAAAAAATTCTCGGCATTTTAATAAAATATACAATTGTTGAACAGAAAAAACCCGAACCACAATCACTTGTCGAACAAAATCCATATGAAAAGGATCGCGTCGAATTTATGGAGACACACATTCAAATCATGGAAACGATTAACAGTCGCGTTTTTGATCATGAAATTTTAAAGAAAAGCAAACCAGTCGATGAGGATGGTTTTCGCATGCCAGACGATTCCGAACAATGTAATCTAGTGATGGAAATATTGAAATGTTTAGAAACTGTGACCAGCATTCATTCCAGTTTACGCATTATTTATAATGTAGGTTCATTTATTTGGATTTATGCAAATTTTACCATCAACAGAAAATTAACTATTATTTTACGTAATTGTTTCAGTTTATACGTATACAACATAGCGGAAGTTGTATTACATTTCTTGCTCGAGGCGATAGTCCATATCGTACGCATTCCTTGAAAATTTTATCGAATTTGGCCAAATCAAGTTGCCATAAAATATTGAATGAAGCCGATACAATGACAACCGTTTGTAATCTTGTAACGGCAACCAATTTGAATAAAGCGCTCAGCAGTGCAGAGGAACGTTATTGCATTTGTGTGATATGTCTATTGGCTGATGATTCATGTAATCGTGCTAAAGTTCGGAAAAGTGGCGCATTCAAGCATTTACTACAAGTCGCCAAAAATACCGATAACGATCCACTTTTGACAATGGTGAGTGGCATTTTTTGTTTTACAATTTTGAGTCAACATTTCCGGACCATTGAAGGTCAAATCTTGAAAACTATTTGGTGGAAAAAAATTGTTCGAAATAATTTTGGGATGGAAATTATAGAGTGACAATGAGTTTTTCTTTTTTTTAATAGCAATTTCATTAAAAATTTCAGATTTTGACTGGTATAAAATATTTCCGATATGATAATATGAGTATGGATTTAATGATTCATATGGGTCTGATGAATGTATTGGTTAATCGATTGGGAACTAGTATTAAAGATTTGAAAGAAACTCACAATACGGACCAGAAGAAAAGCAAAGATGCCGTAAGGCCACGTGATGATGATGAAGATATTGAAATGATATTTCGAAAACGTGTGAAAATGGAATTTAGCCCACCTCGTTTTATACCAGTAAGTGAATGAATGAATGAATTTCTTACCATGAATTAAATTTTGTTTCTTTTTGTTAGCGTGATATTGATTCACCAACTGCATCAACTAGCAGTGGTTCGTTTTACCAATCGCCAAGCGACAGCCCAGGCAGTTCATCGAGCTCGTAAGTTTTCAATGTACACATAATTCATATATATCGATCCATTATTGATTTTTATTCTTAGATCCCCAAGAAGCTCATCGCCGGCATATCAAACGGGTGACAACTATGATGATATCGATGACTATTCGCCAGTTGTCAGTGATATCGAGGATCAAAATGATGACGACATGGATTCAAAAGTGAAGTCGAAGCGAAAGGATGATGTAGACAATAATGATGTACTACAAAGGATTTTGAACGAACAATCATCGTCAAAATGTGAACTCGAAGAAGGAAATCTATCCGACCAAGGTGAACATGATGATGCTGATGACATAAAAGAAAGTATGTAGTTTTCGCTACCAAATTGAAGAAAAAATGCAGTAGATTGTTTTAAAAATGTACATTGATTTTTTCAGAGAAAGAAAAAGTTCCGAACCAATCTGATATATCCGAAAAGAAAAAAACAATAAATTTGGTATTGAGCATTTTATGCAGTGCATCATATCGTCTGAGGCAATTATCGATCAATGAATTATGCAAACCGGATATCTTAGATACATTGATAAAAACGTGTCGAATCACATATAAACGACATTCACCCGAAGCTGCATGGGATTCACACGGTGCCCCAATGGTTTTATCACACATTATCGAAGCGAAAAATTTTGTGTCACTGCTCAAAACTAATTTCATATTTCAAGTATACGATATGGCACATCCGGAAAAAGAACATCAAAATTGTGATCTCTGTTCAGATGTAAGTAAAAAAATGCGGTAAAAATTGTGATTGAATGATATTTGAACAAAATTTGATGTCGTTTTTAGCTGAAATTCGTTGGTGAAGGTTTGTTAAAATTGCTGAACGAAACCGCCGAAAATGGTTATGGACGTGGTGAAATGGCGCATTTCTTATTAAAAAATGACAAAGAAATGCATAAGCAGGTGTCAGTAATTTCGGCAATGATAATTCGTGATAAAAAGGTGTTGCATACGTTGTTGATAAAACATGGCGGTCTCTATACGATAATCGAATTGATTCTCACAAAAAATGAAAAGCTCACAAATGAAGCGGCCACTGGTCTCACGGCACTTGCCCGAACGCTTGATATTGCAACGCCAAACTATGATACCAGTCGAATTTCCAAGCTGGAAACGACTGTTGGCGGTGATGCATACAATAATGCGGATAATTGGCCCGACACCGAAGATCTTGTTTCGTTTGTGAGTGGTGAACAAAATGATGAAAGCAATGAAATCAATACGGTACGATTTAGTGAGCATATTTTAACGGAAAATAGTGATGTTTTCAATCGAATGTTCAATAGTAATTTTCAAGAGTCAAAGAATAAACAGGTCTTTTTGAAAAATCAATCGATCGTTGGCATTCGATATTTTTTGGATTGTGTAAAACAGCATTCGTTTGGAAAGGCTTTACGCAGTCCAATTATGCGCAGTGCCAACGAAAATGATAACGGTACGTATAAAATAATGACCACATTAAAAGCTGCCCTCGAAGCGTACGATATGTGCCAAATCTACTTACTGCCCGATTTAGAACGCGATATCCTTAATATGATTGTTTATTTATTAAGCGCCGCGAATATATTGGAGCTATTTATATTTTCGATAAAAAATCACAAACAAGAGCTCACCGAAATGGCGATCAATTATTTTTTAACATCGAATTTAACAGCCGCCGAAAAGGTGCACGTTATGAGAGAAGCTGATGATTGTGAATATTTTAAAGAATGGAACGATTTAATATTAGATACCATTACATACACCTGCCAGAATCATTCATTTTGATATTCCACAAATTTTGGCATTCTCTTTTTCTCTTGTTGCAGTACAATGATAATGAACATTACTCATAATTTTGAATTACATCTATATTTAATGATGTCACATAATGAAAATTGAACTAATATTATACATAAAAACTATTCGAATAAATTGTGTAGTAAAAACTAGAAAAAGTGATATATATTTTTTTTCTTTTTTGATTACGAGCATGTATTGCCATACGATGATTGATCGAGTGAAATGTTTCGATTACAAAATGAATTACCAAGCACCCAGGTTGATGGTAGGCCAATAATTTTTATTTCACCACTTCGTCCAATTTGAATTGCATTATAATGATAGTAGCCCGCCGTACCAACCGAATTCGTGATTCCAATCGGATAAATGGAGCCTTTTTGACGTTGTATATCAGCTGTTATTGGATTTATTTGGGAACATCTCGTTCGTGCCAGTATACAAGCAGTTGCATTTGAGAAAAAGTTTATCCGATCGTCAACCCTATTAAAATCACGATTCACCAAATTTGCTGTGAAGCAACTGTTAATCTGAAACAAAACAGTTTAAGACAGTTTAATCAACCAGTTTAATCAAACAGTTGAAGCAACTGTTAATCCACCAATGAAAACAAAAATTAATTGAACAAAAAAATGCAATTTACCAAATTTCTCGCATTTATTCGTCGAATGCAACGCACGTACTCACAATATCCCGTTGAACATGTTAAACTTTGAATTGGATTCACGGTGATGCCCACAAGAGAACTCTATAAATGATTTGATTATGAGATTTTAAATGTTTTCCTTGATTTATTCATCGTTTGTTTTTTCTTTACCGCAAATTGTTGGCCACATGAACTGTAGCTGCTATTGCTTAGATACAAATTTGCGCATTGACTTATACCGATCAATTGTGGTGGCCCAAATGGTAATGTGGAAATACGCAAAAAGCAGCCATAGCATGCATCTCTCAATTGTACCTACGGGGAGAACAGAACGAATAATCAAAAAATCATTATTGAATAATCGAAAATAATCGAAAACGAATAAATCAATTGTACCGCTGGCTGAGTATTGTTGCACACATAACTTAAAAGCTGTAGTAATCGTAAACTGAAACAATAAAATGATTGTGTCGCATTCATAGTTGTTCTTAAAAACCAAAATTCCACATTCATTACTCACTTATGTTCCTTGCACTCAAAAAACGGAATGGCATTAACAGAAGATTCATGGTTAACACTAAAATAAATCTAAAAAATTGAAAAAAAAAATCGCTTGAAAATTGGGAAATGTTGACGAAGATGAAAATGTTCCTTACACCGAAAAATGCAAGCAAAACAACGTATTTTCCAAACATTTTCCACGTGAGTTTTATTTCACTTGAATATCAAAAAATTACAACAAATTCTCAAAAGATCAACTGTACTTCTGGGCGCACCATAAGGAATAAACAAAAATTTTCTACTATCGACAAATGTAGACAGCCAAAATGGTGAATTTATTCGTTTCGGTTATTTTGTTGCCTTCAAATGTGTCAATTACTGTTAGTAAATATCCCGCAAAAAGCAGTCTCTTGCACGCATCGATGAATCCTCGTCGCTTTGAATAGCGGTACAATGATAAACGGTATATCACCAGCATTACAAACCTTCAATTAGGTCAGTGAATCTGTGATTAAATGTTTTTGATAGTTTTCTCACCTTTTTCGCTTCAATTCCATTTCCATTTTTCACTTTCAACGAAAAGAGAAAGTTCATCGAACAGTTATTCTGAACAATAATAGACAACGAATTAAAAATGCTCATTGCTTTTTTTTGATCAAATTTAATTATTTATTTATATAGATCGAATAAATTTTTATTGTTTGTTTCATGGTTTTTGGATGCTGTTGCTGTTTTATTGGTGTCGGGTGTAATATGTAGTTAAAAATTTCATTTTGTTTGTCTTATTGATTATGCAAATGAAAAGTGAATGGAAAAATGAAATCGAAAATCATAACACTCTTGAATGTTTTTCTATTCTTTTTTTTAAATGTTCTGTTTTGTTTAAATTGTCGTTGATTTCATTCTTTTCATATTTTCTTTTTGTTTTTCGTCTAAAGTCGATGAAAAATCGAAATATGATCGAACCGAAAGCAAACAACGGAACAGTGCAAGTGCGGTGAATGTTTATTTTATCGTTATATTATTTTCGCAACGAAAATAAGAAGTTTAGAATGAAAATAGGATTTGAGCTATCCTGAGGAGGAGGATATTTTCGTTTGATGAAAAAAAAAAAATGAAATCAATTCCAAAAAGGAAAGCCTAATTCGTTCTTGGCAGAATTTTCGTGTTGCGCTAAATAACCGTTGTTGCCGCCGTTGGTTCGCTCGCTTCAGATAGTGTTGTGGATCTTTTGCTCGTTATTTTTTTGTTTGTTTATTTTTCATTTAGCTATTAACTATATATAATTCAATCATTTTGAAACAAATAACTAAATTAACTAGTTTTCTCTCTTTCTGTTTTACGATTCTTTCTTTTCCATTCATTCAATATTTCTATATATATATTTGTTTCCTTTTTTATTCAAATGATTTCACCTAAATTTTGCTACGTTTTTAAATTATGTTTAAATTTACTTTTTGTTTAGCATTGTTTTCTTCTTCATTTTATCGATTTAAAATTTATCAACTAGTTTTTTTTTTAGTTTCATTATTTACATTTAGAATAAATGCCGATATTTACGATTCTTACTTGCTGTGGGTGACTACTTCAATCCACTGAAGATGTGCTTGATCTCGAACGTTTAGACAATAAATTTGTTCACATGACTGAAAACTGAGTTGCATTTTCGTCTCGGTTGCATTATTGTCACCAATTGCACAACAAATAAAATTCAGCAAATATCAAAAAATCTTCTCTCATGTGTTTTTTTTTGTTTGTTTTTGTTTTCATGTGTGCTAGCATTTTAATGTCATGATAATTAGGGATTTATTTTTTGTCTCTCAATTTTAATGTGTATAAATTAAATGACTAATTGTTGTTGTATGAATTAATCACTCTGGCAGTATTCGTTTTTTTTTTATCTTTACAGTTAATGGTTTAAAAATGTTTGCTTCTATAGGATTATTTCAAACTGTCTCATTCGTTTGCCACTTCTTTCATTATTACATTACTTCATTTGTTTTTAATGTGTTAAATCGGCATGCTAACGTTGTTTGCTATGAAGACAGATGCACTTCTTGCATTAATGTTCGGGTACAATTTTCATTTAAATAAATTTATTATTAAGTTTAATATTAATATTGAAAAACAATTTGTCCTAGTAATTGCTCCAATTTTCCTTATAAATAAATATATACATTGTATAGTTTTATGATTATTATTTTTTCTCTTCTTTTTTTTTATAACCGAAACGTGAATATATTTATATAGTTTAATGAAAAAACGATTAATAATAGAAACATAAATGGTGACATTTTTCTTGTTATTTGAATCGCATATGCGTTTATGAATTCATATTTCATAGATCTGCACCGGTGTGTATGCGTATCGCGAAAACAATTAAAATTGTTAGCGAACTAAAGAAATAGATCAAAATAAACTGACGATTTTCAATAAAAATATGCTTTGAACACCATGTACTGAATGTCACATAACGTTTTTTTTCTCTTAAAAAATGATCATTTTTTTTTGAAAATAGTAGAATAAAGAAAAGATTCGAGAAAAAAAAATCTAGTAAAAAACCAAGAAAAAGAAAAACAAACCGTATGTATTTCTATCGATTTGAATCACATTTTTAAGTATCTTTAAGCGCTTTGCTATATAACTGAAAACAAAATATTGAGCAAATAAGTGTAATGTCGTTCATTTTATTTTCTATAGCTCCATTCCTTCTCGTTCGTTCACCAAAATTCAACCGCTATCGCTTCTTCGTATTTTGTTCAATCTAGATAAATTCAATCTATGGACTTAACATAAAGTAGTACACACTATTTTAGTTTATTTTGGCTGTTTTCGGTAATTTGGGGGTATATTCTTTTTACAAAGAATTTTTTTTTTCGCATTTGAGCAGTGAATATTGAGTTATAAGATAACGTACCACAATTTCTATATTATATATCGATTTATTGTGATTGAACCGTGGTGTTCAGTGCCAATCACAATAAAAAATGTATTTAGTGATACAAAACAAAAAGTCTGATTATGGACACAAACTTAATATACTTTCGATCGGAAACCGTTGTTAGTCATTAATTTATTGAGTCTACTGGTCTAGACTAATTACACCGAAAATTCCATTTTCCTAAGATGAATTCTTAGAAATCCCTCTGTATCAGAATAACCGTTCTTTTTTATTGGCATGAAAAACGAAAATTAAACATTCTGCTGTTACATCCAAAGAATGACTATGAAATTATAACAGTTTTTTGTACCATTTTTATATTACCTGCTCCACTCGCATTTATTCTACATTTGTGAACAGCTTTTATTGGGCTGAAGCTTTGAATGTTAATTAGATACGAGTGGTGAAATGGTATAAAGCGTTGAGTTATTCTTTATCTAACAATCATCTAAAATGAAACGCTGTCATTAAAAATGCCATTATTTTATTTAGTGGAAAATGATATTTGCTTAAAATTCCTCAAAAGATAATGAATTTTTTGCTCATTTTCTGAATCGTTCTTTCTTCGTCAATACATTTTTTACCACCGACTTCATTATTATTTATTTCGATAGTTAACTTGTTTGTTTTATGCTTGGAAAATTTTATGTCGGCAAATAGTAATTTAATGTTATCAATCCATTGGCAATGAACAATCGTAGTTGAACAAAGGAACAGAAATGAGAAGCATGTATGAGTGTAAAATCGAAAGTAATTGTTTGTTATTGCTTTGTGTTGAATGTTGTGGTTAAAAATGTGCGACATTTTTTTCATATGGAATTTTGGTTTTGATTGGTGAATAATTGAAATGATTAAATAGAGTAAAAATAAAATAAAAAATGGAATGAAATAAATCGAGTCGAAATGAAAGGAAAACCATTCAACTATGAGAAAAGTGCTTGAATAGATTTTTTTTTTTTTTTTGGTTAACTTTTTTGTTCGTTTTTTTTTTACTTTAATTTTTGTTTCCATTAACGTTACAACAAATCAGTATTCATTGGTTTAGTACTAATTACATAATTAAATAGATGTCCGGTATGACTGGTGCGTTTATTAAATATTTAGAATTTTTTTTTGATGTTCACATAAATTAGCATCTAAATCATGTTATTCTGTAGCAAATTGCTGTTAAAAATGATTTTGATCGTTTTCATCGTACACAATGCAATGTGTGTATGTGTGTGTGTGTGGTTATGTGCTCATATTGTGTTGCCAAAGATACTAAAATATAATATAATAACATGAACGATATATTTTCTCTTCGTTTCGCTTCGTTCGTAAGAGTTTTTTGTTTTGAATGATGCGAAATAAAAATAAATCGTCGTCAACGATTTCATTCAAGAATAAAATTCAAAGGAACAATATGTTCATTCTTTTGGCTGAAGCACAATAAAGGCGTGCTGTGCTTCAGATGCATACATCGTGCGTGAATGGTGAAAAATAATGAATTATTCCGTGTATGAGCGTTGGGCTTTCATCAGCACGACTTCGTTTGAGCTTTTGAACAAAAACCAAATACAAATGTAGGAATGAATTATTCATTTTCATTGGCTGTTTGGTGTGTACAACCAATTTTGTTTCGAAATATTTAATATTGTAAAGTACACATTTACCAACATTCATCATTTTTATTCGATATAGAGCTACTTTCTCTCTCTCTCTCGCTTTCATTTTACTATTTCATTGTTAATCATAACTAGTATAATTTCGTTTAACACTTTCGGCGTATTTTTCTATGTTGGTTGTTAATTTTTGTTTTCATCCATCTCGATGTCCCATTGCGTTAATATTCGAAGACACATTGCAGCTGCTTAGCTTGTGCCCGTCTTCCCTAACTCTGTCACTAGTTTGTTAATTTAAATCTTTGTCTACATATTTTTTTTTTTTGTTTAATTTTAACTCCTCAATATCTCTCCCTCTTTTTTTCTTCTTCTTCTTAAATTTTCATATCATGTTCAATAATAACTAACTTTTGTTTGGAATGTCAATAACTGTTACCATTAAGTCTAATTAAATATTGCTGGCAATTAATTAAATTTAACTTATTCGATAGGTATGTATGTATACTATACAGTAAAGATACAATTTCTCATCTGTTAAACGCCGGGTGATAATCGTCAAAGTAATACGCGCACATGCGTGTGCGTGTGTAAGAGAGATAATGTATTCAAATATAATAGTAGGATTGAGAAGTGAGAAACACACACCCCGACTAATCGGTCGAGTCTTGTATAGGTTTTTTTGCAATAGTCGAGTGTGATATCTCTTTAATCTACCTAAAATCAATTAAATCAATTAAATGCAATTTCAATTCTTGTGGTATAGAAATGAAATTCCAGTGCATTTTCTCAATGTAACATTGTGTTGAATGTTTCTACATAATCATCTTTCGTGGAGTATTTCTCAATTTTTCTGTTTATCGTGTGCCATTACATAGCTGTCCTTGCATCCTGTGTGAAATTTGAATTATTTATTTGTTTTTTTTTTATAAAAAAAAACTTCCAAAAGGGCATTTACTTTTGTTTAATACGAGTGCGCTTACGTTACACACAAAAAATAAACCTGACAAATCATTTTAGGATTCCTATTAAAATATTAATTTGTAAGGTTTCCTTATAATATGGCAACATTTTATTAGGAAACCTTTAAATAATAAAACATGTTTTGTTTCAACACAGTGAGGTTGGCTTTGACGTTTAAGCGCGCCAATTTATTAGGATTCCTGTTAAAATATTGCGATTTTATAAGGAAACCTAACAAATTCATTTTTTAATAGGAATCCTAAAATAATTTGTGGGGTTTATCTCTTGTGTGTATACTCTACATAATAATCAATTAAAACGTGTTGTCGAGGATTTGGTTTTTATTTTCTTCATTAATGTTTTGTTATTGTTCTTTATTGTATGCCATAATTGTTCTCTAAATACGAAATGTTTTACAAACATTATGTGCTGTAAACGACTAACTGCATTACTACCATTTTCCTGTGTATAAGTGTGTGTGTGTTGAACAATGAAATTTTTGCGTTATCTTCTTTTGATCATCTGATAGTAATAAAGCGTTTTTTTTTAAATGTTGATTTTATTTAGAAGCATGCATTCAATTAAATATATTTAATTGCTAGTTCGATCAATCTCTATTTTTCTCATTTTAAATTGCCTAATGTCAACTTTTGCAAGCACTCTTCTTCATTCTCATTTGTCAATTCGGTTTTCAATTTTAGTTTTTGGTGAAAAATTTTCGAATTTTTTTGAATTTGGTTCGTAATGTACCAAACTGATCCGTATCGCTATTATCATTATTGTTGTTTAATATAATTGGTAGATTATTGTTATGGCTGTTATCAGTGTTAGTTGTGGTTGTATGGTTTGTATTCAATTGCGGTGTGGTGTGTTGAGTAAAGAGATAATTTGAACTCAAATTATTTTGGTCATTGGATAAACCATTTGCATGGGTGCCGGTGAGGGTGGCGGTGACAACGGTGGTCGAATTGAATGATTGACCGCCTGCATTCGTTTGCTGATTATCACCATCCATCCAAGCGTCTAATTGATTATTGTTCGATGTCGTATTTTCAGTTCTAACATTGCTATAATTATAACTATCATTATTACTGTTAAAATTGTTCACATGTTGACGTTGTGTTCCGGTGCCTGTAAATTATGTTTTATTTAATTGTAATTGACAATCAGTTTTTGAACATTCATTATTATTCGTATCAAAACTCACCTGAAGATGATGATTGTGATTCGAAATGATTTTGTGTTGTTAAATTAATACTTCCAAATGGTTTATCGTACATTGTTGATGTTGACGGTATATTAAATAATTCGAATGATGTTGCGGTTGACGGTTCATTAAGATTTGTATTTGATGACCGCGTTAAATAGTTTGGCAGTAGATTTGATGCGTTTTGTTGTTCGAAATTGGTAATTTTTGAATAACGACGTATATCCGATGATAGGTCCAAAAGTCGATGTGATCCCGTTTGTGAGATGTTATTCTTTTGAAAATTGGCCAATGCTGTAGATTGACTACTAGTATTTCCACCAACATTTGACAATGGCATCGAATTATTCAGTAGTTCGAGTGACGTTGACATCGATTTGCAGCAATTTTTTTGTTTGCCATTTGGTGTGCAATTATTATCGTCGTCGCTGATTTTTGTGGTGAAGCTGCGGTCAGCATTAATTTCCATTTCCGTATCAGATTCGTTGCGTGGACAATAGTTATCGCAACATTTATCGCCCACATCGCTTTTATGATGAAAAATGATTGTGTGCTCATTTGTATCACGTTCCCATATAGAAAATGCATTTGAATCATCGCATGATTGGCTGGGCTTTTTCGGTGTATCATAACCATTGTTGTTTGTTGGTCGTGTATTGATCGCTTTGCTTGTATTTGGTTGGACCATGGACGAACGTTGTGTACGGCACATTTCCTCTGGTTCCGATACAATTTCAATGAAATCAGTACGATCATTTGTTGAACTGGATTCATGTTGATTATGTGCATATGTCCATTGGATGGGCGACGATACGTATCGATTACGTTTCACTTGATTTCGTCCATTTGCGGTTGATTTTTTATCCCGAATACCTTCATAATCATTACTATGTTCGATTGTAATTTTCGATGGTGTTAAAATGACTGTGTTTGTGCTCGGTGTACTTACATCAACTTGAAGCGGTTCAAAAAGCGATAAGCCCGATCCATGCAAACTACTACTTTCGGTATCGATGCGTTTTCGGCGACGCAATGAATCACCACCACCACCACCACCAGTACCACCACCAAACGATGAACTTGAGCTTTTTCGTCGGTGTGATCCACGTTTACGATTTGCCGATGATTCCGATGAGCCTTTCATTTCATTTAAACGTAATAAGAAAATGTCAATCAATTTGTGTTTTTGTTGTTGTTTTTGTTCAAATAGAAATGTCAGTTTTTATGCAACTTACCGCCATGCGATTCACCGGAAAAAGCACGTTTGCATAGAGCGTGATGTGTTTGATAGTAAACTTGATGTTTACGTGTTGAGTTTTGCCCATGATAGTGATGATTGTGATTGTGGTGTCGATGATGATAATGGCTGTGCGAATGTTTATGAGGCGAGTGTCGATTACTTCTATGTACACCTTCGCCATTTCCAGTTGAACGGAAACTGAGCGAAGTATACGAACCAAAACTGCTCATTGCATCATGAGTCAAATGACTAACGCTTGATCTTCTTGACAATGTTTCACGACTGCAAATTTAAACAAATCATATTTAAAAAAAAAAAACCAAAAAAATGCATCCTTGTATGAAATGTTTACCTATTACAAAAATGCGGTCGATCCTCTTCATCGCTCAAATTACTTGTGCAACGTTTATAACGTAACGATGGTGTCGATACCTTGGTCGCACTTTCGAATTCTTCTTCATTCGTTAATTGATTCGATGGTACGACGATGGCACTTTTTGTACTATTTATGCTGCCACAGCGGCTGCAGCTACGACTAGCATTAACCGGATTATTATCATTGTCGTTAGCGTTCATAAAAGCAGTTGGTTCGGCCGTTGTTGATGCTGTTAAACATTCAACATCAGCATTTGAATTGCATTGCGATGATAACGGTGATACGGCGCTGGCGGCAGCTTTACTCTTCAGTCATGGTCCGGTGTTCGGGCATACATGTTGACGAAGGTGATGGGGGACAGAAACACCAGCTATAAATCGATTGTTATCATCAATCGGCAATATGCAGCAGAAAAAATGAAAAATCATTTTGTTTTGAAATTTCGAACACAATAAATCGATTTCATAGCAGTAAAACACATCATCAATCAGCCATCAACATTTTACATGCAACGAAATCTACCGGTCAAAAAATATGTATGCATTTTAAATACACTTTACAAAAATCGAAAATAAAATAGTGCCTAAAATAATTATTTTGATTAGAGGTATATATTGTAGAGCTTTTGAAAGTGCTGTGTGCTTTAGTATTGTGATTACACGCACATTATATTAACATTAACATTTTTTTTGGTTGCTTCTTTTTAGAATTGAGTCAATGAACAGGATTTCTCTTATTTTAGGCACCGGACTACAAACCAAATGTCCTAGTTCTTCATAGAAACCAGTTTGTTTGTGTATTTCAAAGATTTCTTTCATACATTGATATAAATATTTGATTCATTCACTAGATTAAATACGTAAAATTCATGCAAATGAAATTAAACTAAAATATCTTAAGGGCATGCTGTACTTTTTACGTTAATTTACTCAGATTTAGAGTCCCATGTCCATTTCTTCCATTTTCAGAACATTCAGTCTGATCAAAAATCAAAAATAACTTAATCATCATCGTTGTAAAAAAAATTTAATCAAAATCACTCGAAATAATTTAAAACCGAAAAAAAAACAATTCATTTTATACCTGAAGTGTTTAGTTATTTCGATGAGAATAGGAAAAAAGTCACATTCAAAGATTCTTAGATTTGCTAAAATCGATATAAGTTTTTATGTATACCGTTCTCTTTTGATGAATTTTCCGAAGCTCGGCAAAGTTTTTTTTTTATTTTAAGAAATATAAATGCATTTATTAAATCGTGTCATTGTCACTTTATGTGTATTAAAACATATAAAATTTTAAAAATAATCGATGATTGATACTATTCTGGTGCGAAAAACTGATGATCTAAACTGTAGATCCGAAAAAAAACCCACCTCTAATTGAAATATGTATATAAATGTGTGATGCGAGCCCCATCGCTCATACATCACATTCAAAGAGTCATGTGCTCCGTTCATGTCTTATGAAAATAAAATCCTTAGAGTACATAGATAAATCGATTCTAATGAAAAATTCGTTATTGAAAAAGTATATGTTCAGATTCGATCCAAAAAAATGAATAAAAAGAAGAACACACGTTCCATTGTGTTTTCTTAAAAATGTACAGAGTAGGAAAAAAATGTAACTATGCAACAAATGTTCGCTTTTTTGTTAAGTCAATTACGAATTTTACGGCAATATTGTATAACACTGTTGATTGCCTGCATTTGATCTCTAAAGTAACCTCGTAATATTGTGTATTGTGTGGAATGAATAAGTAAGAAAATAAAAGAAGCCAACCGATTGATTGTCAGTTTTTTTTTTTTGTTAAATTCAGATTTTAAAGAGGCCGTTAATGGGCCAGTTCACTCAATAAATGGGTGCAGCAATATATGTTAATATAATATTGTTTATTCGTTGATCACGAATGCATCGTGAATTATAACATGTGTGATGATGGTTAGCAATTTATTCATTTTTTTTTTGTTGCTTACAAATGGCGTGTGTTAATTTGGGAAAGTGTGTTTGTGTGTGATTGTGTGTATGTGTTTTTTTCTTCCTGGTTTTTGTATGGATTAAAGGATAATTTTTTTCAGAATGTCATTGTCGGTTAAGGATCTGATGTTTTGCGACAATGGGGGGGATAAAGTGTGTTTGCTTCTAATTATTGTGTGATACGCAGATTTATAAGCACGTGTATTGTTTTTTTTTTTTTGGTTTGGTGTTTTGTTGTGTTGTTTAGAAATTATACCTTGTGATGAAGAGGACATTCGACCATGAGCTGAATGCCGCCGAAAGCTATCCCGTTCTCGTTTCGCACTTCTTCTCGTTGGCACTGGGGTATTGCATTTGCTTTTTGTATTTGAGGTCGAACCTCCAGCCGTGCAATGTGTTCGATTGCACGTTTCGTAAGCGGTATTATTATTTAGATTGGACGTTGTTGCTGTGCTCGATGCATTTTTATTGCTATATTTTGCCGTATAAAGGTTACATGATGCATAGTTTGTGCCATAACTCGTTCCATAATTACGATAAAGTGACATACCGTAACTGTTTGAACTTAATAGATTTGTATTATCTGACAATGGATACGGTCCCATTTCGCCATCAGTCATTAGACTGAAAGCCGACGGTCCATCTAATGGAATTTCACCGTCAGTCATTAGACTAAACGCCGATGGTCCGAACACTGATTTTCGTAAAAGTTCGTCGTTTCATTTTAATTTTCAGGAGAAACCAATAACGATGATTTGGATTTTGGTTCGTTTCAAAATGTTAATTGGTTGTTGTTTTTTTTTTAAGCCAAACAAATGAATTGATTATTATAGGTTCAATTTTTTCTTTTTAAATAATGATAAATAAATTTTTCTTTCGAGCTTTTAAAAACATAAACCAAAAAAAAACACAGCTTCAGATCAAGAAAAAAAAATTAAATTAATCGAAAATTAATTGTCGGAAGAAATAACAAATTGTCTTGTTCACAAATGTTGTGTGTCGCTCTTAAAATGACAGACAAATATTGAAACGCTAATCGTTAAAATTGGGATTGAAAATCGATTGCTGAACACACGCACAACAATTTCATGCACATTGCACACTGATGTTTCAATGAAAAAATAAAAATCAAACACACACAAAACAATTTGAAATGAAAATTATAAAACGAAGGGGACAAGAAATACGAACCAATCGCAATGATTAAATCAAAGTATAAATGATCAAATCTATACAAAAAAGCGATTTTGAGAACAGTTTTTTGTAAAAAAATAAAATAAAACGAAACGCGCAACATCTTGTTTGGAAATGTCTTAAAAGGGAAGATTTACTATTTTAAAAATACGGTTCCGACTTACACAACACAAGCAGATCGAAATATTTAAATATTTATGCAACTAAAAACTCTCGATATTATTACGCTTACGTGAATCATGCTGGGTTTTCTCCTCAGATATCATCAGTGCGGCATGTTCAATACCAGAATTCATACTCTGTGGCTCCAGACTATTGACGCAGTTAAGCATGCTCCTGATGTGGGATCATATAAAGGCATATTAAGAATATAAACCGAAAATAGCACACTCCTAAATATTTGCACACTCTACATGGCTATGTCTTAATTGAATTTATGATTTTTTTCTTTACTTTTTTCATCTGTACAATACCAAAATCGGAATTTATTCAACGATTGCAACACAGACAATCGCAAATTTGATGCCATACATGTATGTATTCACATCGCCGATCTTTTTCACTACAAATTAGCTTACGTCATTCAAATCATAAATACGTTTGTGTGCCAAAACAGAAAAAAAATCATCGAAAATAAGAATTATAAAGGAATGAAATAAAAATGAAAAGAAAAATGGTTCAGAATGTAACAAAAGTTTTATTTATTTTACTTAATTGAAAACAAAAAGTTTGTCTTAAAAAAAGAAATGGTTCAGAAAATGAAGAAAACTCAAAATTTGGTCGTTTGGCTCTCGTTGGTCGGCTCAGTTGTGTGACCTGTTTTTGTCGAATTGTCATTTGGCATATTTTTTTCAGGTTCTTCATCACTACAAGAATACGCTAACATTAATGTGGGCAAAATAATAAGGATGATGACGATGCTCTCATTCAAGCTGAATGAAAGGATTTGAATTTACTGAATGAATCGCATCATGTATAAAAGATTTGACTAAGAACACAATCAGCATATGAATACTGTCGGCTGTTGAGTTTCGTTTTGTTTCAATTTATATATCTGAATTAAATTTTAAAGCGTAACCGTATGCAAAGCAAATTAATGTATATAGATTTTGCGGTGTGTTTGTATCTACGAAAATTCATTTCATGATGTAAATGCTTTAAATGAACAAGCGTGGCACGTATTGAAATGTATGATGTTGACTATATAGTTTGAGAATGAATTGAATTTATAGAAATAAAATAAAAGTAGCGTCTCACATGCGATGTCTCATTAAATTGATACAAAGACACGTGGTGTTGGTAGCACAACAGTTATGGTTTCTTGTTGTTTAATTCCATTTTATAATTGAAAAATTCGTTTCGTTTTCATTTCGAAATCCTTAAATTTTTTGACGATTTCTATATGTACAACAACAATATTAACTTAGGGTATACAGAGCTGAATTAGAACGAGAGATGGAAGTTAAGAAAGAAAAGAAAAAAAAACGAACGAAAAAATCAAATTGAGTTAAAAAAAATTGAAGAAAACAAACAAAAAAACGAAGAAAGAAACGAAATTGGTGGAAATATTTAATGTTCACTTACCCATACAACCTACTGTCGCGAATTCCTCTGTACAATTAAGGTTCACGAGGAATGCAAAAAAAAAAAAAACAGTTTTGATTTGGGGGGAAAAGGGAAAAAAGATATCAAACAAATCAAGCCACAATTAATATACTGATTCGAAATAGTTAACCGAAGTGATTGTGTTTCTAGTTTCATAAGGTTTGTGTTTTTGGTTTAAATTAAATCCAATCATATATTACCTTCCATGTCTGAATAATGCGAGAATCTCTTCAAACGTTTTATTTTTCGTTTCGGGTACTTTTTTATAGGTAAATATCCAAAATATTGCTAAAAACACACTAAACGGTAAGAATGTATAGTTTTCCAATGCACCCTGTGGAATTGAAATGCAAACAATTTTAAAATCGCATTAGAAAAAGCAATTGTGTTGAGCAAATCTATTGAATATAACGGATATATGAGGAGAGTACGCATTTGTTCAGCCAACAATTAGTTATGAGTGTTGAATGACATATTATCCAATCCAGTCATATTCAAAAGATATAAAATGTGGAAGACATTTCCATGTTACCTTTAAAGGTGGAAAACCAATGCCGACGACAAAGTTTGCCATCCAATTGACTAATACAGCTATGGCCATTGCACTGGGTCGAGGTCCTTGTGAAAATAGTTCGGCGGTTATCATCCATGGAATTGAACCCGGGCCAACAGCGAAGAACACAACAAATGCCAATGTTGATATCACCGATAAGTAAGACATCCAGTCGATCATTTCCTGTACATAACCGAAAAACTCCTATACAAATGCGGTAATAACCGATTCTCGATATTTTGAGGCTTTTTGTAATTTTTGTCGCAAAATTAACGTTTCATACCATTCGATTTTTGAGAGCTCATACTCAAAACATTTTTTTCTATCTCTTCGTTCACAATTTTTATTCTGCATTTATATGCATATATGCGAATTTCTTCAATATGAAATACTCGAAACCCAATGAAATCAAATTAAAATTGAAAAAAAAAACGAAAGAAAATAATATTTCATTTTCTCCCACAGATAATCTCATCACATGGTTTCGTCGAAACATAAAAGCGGCTGAATTTATCTCTAAATTAAATAAAACCTATACCAAAACCAGAAACCGAAACCAATATACATAAATTCACCTCAATTGTTAGAGGACTGAACAATTAAATAAATAAATAAACTGAAACCCTTCACCGACTAACCAAACTTCATCTTGATACACAAATCACTTAACATGTTCAGGCCGAGTGTGTTATATCACAAATTATAATTGCAATACATAGTTTGAAAGGTGAATGCAAAAGCTGCTGTGATTTTTTCGTCAAAGAAAAAAGAAAAATCACAAAAACAAAACCAAAAATAATTAAAGTGAACCAACTGAAATATATCTCCGTTTTCATTGATTTGATAAGAGAATATGTGTCTTGCAATTCAAATTAATTTCAAAATGAATTAAAAAGAAATTAAAAAAAAAAATTAAAAATATTGTGTGAAAAATCAACGAAAATGTACACAATTGTTGATATGAAATGTTTGACATTTGTGTTAGCATATAATGTGTATATATGTGTGTATGTGTGATTAAGTGTGAATTCTTTCTCCTTTTATATGTGCCCTCGAGAATGGAGTAAATAAGTGGCATTACTTTCTCATTGTTTTTTTTTTTTTTTTTTTTTTTTGGTGGAAGTAATTGGTTTTGATTGGAAACTAATTTCTTTAAATTTCTCGGAATTATTTATTGAATTAAAAATGAAATTTGAAATGAGCGAAAAGTAGTAGTATACTATTTATTTGGAGAAATTATTATGAAAAGTAAAATGAAAAATTTGTAATTAAATCGGATTTGAATATAAAACTTTGTACTTGTGCGCGTTGGTGTATTTTCTTATACATTTTATGTGTGAAGTAGGTTTTGTTTTCGGTTCATTTTGTTGAATGTAATTCGGTCGATCGTTTGAATCAATCAAGTGAATGAACATAAATGCATTGAGTTTATTATCATCTTTTCGTTTGAAAATGCAGAAGTGGTTCCGGAGTCGGTTTCATGATGATTTCGTACAGTTTTTTTTTGTGTGTATTGACAGTATTTTGTCAAAAGTTTCAACTCAATTCCATTTATGTACGTAATTTGCTTTTTTATCACTCACTTGATCGAGACATTCGAAGCACTTGAACTATGAACAAATTATAATATCAATTAATAATAAAACATAACGAATTTAAAATTAGGTTCGCTATATTTCAAAATTTGAATTTTATTCGAATTGTTTTATGTTCATTTTCGAATTTTTTTTGTTTAGTATCATTTACCATGAATGGCATGATTTATTAATTTTTTGACATATTACAAAAGCCTTTTAATATTGAGAATGTTTTTAGTTAGGGGCGGGAGACAAATGATCGATTTATCTGATGGGCGAATTTCAAAGCGATTGCATTGTGTTTACTTGTTATCCATGCGTCGCTTTCATTGATTCGCACATAAATGAAATCGATCATTTTGAAAACGTAAGCAAAGCAAATTTAATGTGGACATTCTACCAAAAATGCATTCCATATTAAGATTTTTGTTTTTAAAAATAAATAATGATAGAAACCAAACGAGAATAAAGAATAAATATTAAATTCACATTATCATCACGAACAAATGACTGAAACGATTTACTGGTGTAATTTTGAGACATATTTTTTTTATTCGAAATCATTCGAAAATAATTTGAAAAAAATTTGAAATTTGCATTTTAAAAATTCATAATTATTATTCATAATTCATTATATTATTATCAAATTCATTAATAAAAAATAATGAAAAAACAGTTTCGACATGATTTTGAATAAAAAAAAATGTATGTCACAGAGAATAGATCTGCTATAAATCTGCTTCATATACCATGGTATATGCAAACGACGATGATATAATAAAATTTGCTTTGTTTACGTTTTCACTTTGACATAATATGATACCATGCAAATAAAAAAACAACAACCTTTGGACGAAACACAAGTACCAGATAAAAAGCACACGAAATAAAAAATATGTAAGCAAATTCAAAACAAGTTTTTATATACACACATGCCATAAATCTAGTGACTAATAAGTCTGAAGAGAATGACTTGCTGCAAAAATGGCAACAAAGCATGCTAAATAAATGTGAACGAGAATTTCAAAAAAGACAAAAAAAAAACATAAAATCAGAGATGCAAATTTAAATGGCTCAGAAACTCCTTTCAATTTCATCAAAAATCTGAGTCGGTCAAATCGAAATGGATCCGATTTGAACGAAAACAATTGCTGTGTTCTAAAACAAAAAAACCGAGCTTTTTTTTAAATTCTCATTCCTCTATATACCCTATTCTTAGCATTTGATGAATAACATAACGAAATAATTTCAATTCAAATTAAAGGAATAATGTTAGTTCGAAATCGAGAAATTCGTAAGAGCATGCGACAATCATTTAAGATTCAAAGGAAACATGTTAAAAATTACAGCCTTAACGAGCCAAAATTTGTTTATGATTTTTTTAAGAAAACATATAAATATAATCCATAACCACACTTAATATTCCACTCACAAAGCAATCAATTAGTCGATTTATTTCAATAGTTGTGATATGGAACCCGTATTAATTTTAAATTGAATGGATCGATTGTTAAATGTAATTCAGTTGATTGTTTTGTGAGTGATATATATTTTACATAAAATTCAGAGAGATTACATGTAAACAATGGTGTTTTTTTTTCAAATATATTTTCTGTCGTTTTTTCCCACCATATGAAACCATCAAAAAATTTGGTAATTTTTTGATGTTTTCATAAAAAAAAACTACCGAAATTGAACAATCGAATCGCTGATGGTTTTTTTGCATATTTTTTCAATATTAAAACTGATTGGATTACTCTTGTGTCAATTCGATTCAACAATGTCGGTGATTGAAAATAAAAAATATTGGAACTTGCCTTTATCAAAAATGAAATTGTTATGAAAATGGAAAATATAAACATTCCGCCTAATCCATATAAATGTAGAGTTCTTCGACCGGTACGATCCATTAGTGGTATTGAAGCTAATGTCATTACAACCTGCGAGAGAGAGAAAACAGAACAGATAAAAATGAAATATTTTATATTGAAATCGATTCAATTTAAAATCGACACATAAAAAATGCGATAAAATTTGTGCGAAAAAAAACATATATAAAGAAAAAATGAAAACCATTATAGCTCCAATTCCGATGGTGGCATATTTTGCATTTCCCTCCGTCAGACCGGCACTGGTGAACAAAGATGTTGAATAGTAGAAAACAGCATTGATGCCGCTAAGTTGTTGACTCAATTGCATAACAATTCCAATGATTAATGGAGCTCGCAACGTTGGCGAACAAATTAATTCCATTGTTGATATATGACTTTCTGATTGCTGGGCACGCTCTTCGGCGCGCATTTCCTCAATATCCTCTTCAACTGAATTGGATGCACGGAGGCGACGCAAAGCACGACGTGCCTCTTCTTCCCATTGTTTGGTGATCAATAGGTATCTCGGTGACTCCGGACATATTGGCAATAGGATCAATTGTAAAACTGCCGGACAAATAGCTAAGCCCAGCAATACAGGCCATCCATCATTTGTTCCTAAAATTTCTTCAACGCCCAATACTTGGGATAATAGTAAACCTATAGTCACAGCCAAGGTTTGGTGAAAATAATGCAACAAAGTAAAAAACAATCCAAGATATAAAATGTTGGTTTCACTTTTCCAATGAGTACTGATGATTAATACGAAGTGACAACCTACCTATCGTGACAGCTAATTGATTAACAGTACCAAGACCACCACGCAAATTTAAGGGTGCTATTTCCGATATATACATTGGTACAAGCGACGTATTCAAACCTAAAAACACACATACACACAAACAAACCAAAGAAGAAGATGAAAAAAAAAAAACAATTCAAATGAAACAAGATGCCGTTTTGATTTCGAACATTTTGTGGTTAATTTTGGTAGACACTAGCATTTGGTATCAACACAGTCAACTTACCACAATTCAAACCGATGATGAATCGACCCAAGAATAGAATCTCATACGATTGACTGATTTTGGTGAAGCCCATCAATGCACCACCGGCTATGCCAAACACATTATTTAATAGCAAACCACCTTTTCGGCCAAAGCGGTTTGACATCCATCCACCGCAAAAACCACCCAGCATGCCACCAATTGCAAATATTGACACAGCTATCGAACCCAGATGCTTGATAAAATCATCGCTAACATCTTCTTTGTAACGTTCTTTGTACACATCTTTGATGAAATTCTCAATATTTTTACCCGGCGCGTTAATCACTCCTGTGTTATAGCCGAATTGCAGCATACCAAGCACAGCCGCAAAGATGGCATATGTTAGGAAGAAAGTGAGACCCTGTCACGAAGAAAACAAAAAAAAAATCGTAAATAAATTCAAAATTAATCATACAAATCATTGTAATATTTCACGTTCATTTTGAAGGGGTGCAATAAATGAAAAAAAAAGAGACCAAAATCAAACACATTTGAAAGCATTTGTATGCTAAACACATTTTTTTTTATTAAAATCAAATAAAAATTATTCAAATAATAAACGAAAATTGCAACTTAAACCGAAAATAAAACCAAATAAATGCAAAATTGTGCATTAATGGCAATGGTTTTTTTGTTTGACTAACTTGTTCCAACAATCTCAGTTTCCGACGATGTGTGTGTTCTTCAAGTCTATCTACATATTCACGCAACTCTTCAATTTCCTCTTTCACTTGTTGTACTGTATCTAATTCATGTTTAATAGCTACCATATCACGTTTGACCTGCAATGAATTTAAGACAGTAACCCAATGAAATTCAAAATACTCACCAAAAACTAGGTTTCTTTGTTGAAAAAAAGATTGGATCATACTCACTTCAGAAACTTCGCTTTGACAACTCTCCACTGATTTCGTCAGTTCTTGTAATTGAGTTCGGATTTCACACAGAGCAACTGTAGTTTCCATGTGACGATCACCCCGTTGGAGCTCATCCAATTTCGCTGTCAAATTCATACTCATCACGCTAACTTGCTTTTGCAAACTAAATCATTTATGTGTGATAGAAGAGGAAGAGAAAAAGAATACCACGTCATATTATACATGCGTTCCCTCACAGAAATGCAAATAAGAACACACAATACAATTCCTATTTACATAAGAAAAACTAAACCTGACACTATAAATATAACCAATAAAAGTATGAAACATTTTAAAAATAAAACTATATTCAAATGAATCGTACCGTGAAAATTATGTGGAAAACAAGACCAATATAACAAGAAATCAGCAAATATATGAATCAATTTAAAAAAAAAAGTAGGGAAGAATTATGGAACTATGGAATGAACACAATCGGATCAGTTTATATGATTTTTTCTCTTTCGTTCATTCAAGACATGTTCGTGCATTTGATCCTTTGAATAACAAATTTTGTGAGAAAATTGTCTGATTAGGACCAATGGGATGAGAAGTTTGCTTTAACAACAATTATTTGGATCAAATGTCACTATATTTTTACAAATTAAATTTTAAATAAATAAATTGGAAAAATGAAGAGAGTTACTCTTTCACATTCGTTTATATTCTCCATATGGTTAGTTAGTTTGCAAACAATCAAAGATATATTGAAAATTTAACAATCACCATTATGTCATATGAATAATGTTTGATTTTATTTTGCAAGTAAAAAGGATCGGGCGGATGTAAATATGTAATGCTAAATATTTGGAAAATCAACTCTAAGCTCAATCAAAAATAGAAAATAAACAACCAAATCAAGCTGATGTGCAATTTAAATTCAAAAATAAAAACTAAAGCTTCAATTTTTGTACTCTTCCCTCTGAAATAACCCAGCTATAAAAATTCGTAGAATTAACTGTCGCCGTGAGCAAAGCTTAAAACGCAATAGAATAGGTGTATGAAACAAAAATTGCAACGATTTTATTCTCTCATTCATAAAGAAAATAAGACCGAACAAAAATCAGAAAGAAATGTTATACATTTAAATATATAGATTTTCCAGAGCAGCAAAACGGAACAGAATCGGATTAGAATATAAACAGAAATCAAATATACAATGTGATACTATTGTTTGCTGATGCACAAAAAGTGAAGTATTTTGTTTTTCATGATAAAAACAAAAAACGAAACTCAAAGAACCAGTTCAGACGCTCTTCTCACTCGCTCAAGCACTCTCTTCCCTTTGAATGGAGGGAACACTTTCGATTTAGAAATAAATGGTGTAAATACAAAAAGAGACGGACTCGAAAAACGAAATATATATGTATATATGAATGCACTGGGTGAAAAGTGGCTGCATAAGAAAGAAAAAAATAGATGAAGTGACGGAAACTATGAAAATGTGAAAATATAAAGCGACACACAGCACCAGTGCGAACACACATTGCGCGCAAAAAATGTAAATTATAAACAGGATTGAAAAAAATGTGTTATTTTCAGTGGTGGATGTGTGTGTGTGTGTTGATATTTAAAGTGGCAAAAAGAGGCGAAAAGCATAAAAATTGCACGAACGAAAACGAATATATATAGATTTTTTTTGTTATCAATATTGAATGATATTATTGAATGAAGTTAGAAAAAAGTATATTTAAAAAAAAGGTATACCTTGGAGGCATAGTGTCCATCATCTTGATGATGAACTGGTTTTATGATATTTATGCTTTTGTTTTTTTTTTGTCTGTTAGAATGATGGTTTTGTTCCTAATTTGTTTGGATGATATAGATTTTTTGTTTGTTTGTTCAGTTTGAGTCTCTTTTTTTTTGGAGGGGATGTAAGTGTGTATGAATGTTTGTGAAAATGACAGAATTTCGAATTGATAGATGCAATAATTTTGAATTTTTATCAGCTTTTTTCTCTCTTTTTATCGCACTTGCACTTGCTATTTTCTCTCTTTCTTTTCGATATTCTCACTTGCCTAATTTAAGGTCGCGCTTTTCAATAATTGTGCGTTTGATTGTTTTGGTGAATGTTGTATGTCCAAATTTATTTAGCGGTCGGTATTTCTGTGCATACTGTTCAATATTATTTTATTCTCTTTTTTCTCTATTTTGTTATTTATTTTCTGGTTTATTTTTGCATTTTGTCGTTTTGTTCTAATTCAAAATTCCTTGTGAGCATTGCCCTCATTTCATTCAAGAAATGCGCTTCATTTTTCATTATTTCTTCTTTTTCATTTTTATTTTTTTTGTATTTCATTTCTGTTCTCTAACATTTTTATTCATATTTTCTTATTCTTCTTTTTTTATTTTCTTATTCTCACGAGGCATTAACTGACCAATTTATGCAAATCTAAAAATGGAAAAAAGAAACAAAAAGGATATGGTATTATATAAATAATTGTTATGTGGTGTATGTATGTCAATCAAATGATAATTATGATACAGATAGGAGTTTTGATTCAATGTGTATGTTTGTATGTGTGAATGGTTGGATGGGAGGTGGGTGTGTCCGTTCTAATGTCAATGATCGATACAAACGGAAAACTCATGAAACTAAATCATTTTAATTTGAAAATTTCAACGAAAAAAAAACACAACATAAAATCAACTGAAACCGAAAAGAAGCTTCTGTATGAACGCAATGCGACAAATAATAAAATGCGTTTTCATGCTTGCACATGTATGAAGATGAAGGCGATCCAGAAATAATTCAATTGATAGTCGTTCTTCTTCAATACATTCCATATTGGATGTGGTACTTGAATTTAGTTCACGTATTCTTATGTCTAACTTAAAGCATTTACTTTACACAATATCAGCTTATTTTAACTTAAAACAATCCATCAATGGACATTGTAAGTGAATGTATTCTTTCTCTATGTGATTTTTTTCCTCTATGTGTTATTTTCATGGAAAATATTTAGCTGTTATGGGAGGAAGGGGCTATTTTTTTGTCTACAAAGACTCTTTGCATCAATCGAAAATTGAATTTACAATTATGCAAACGATAAAAATGTGTAGTGATTTTATTTGTGGTGGATAATACCTAAAAACTACCGTCGACTCGATTAAAATGTGGGATAACAAACTCTGATTTCTATGTTAATTAAGTTTTTTTGTAACGAACAACCGAACCGATATAAAAATGTATGATTTTTTTCCATCTCAGATAGAGTCGCTCGCGGTTATATTCTCAAACTAAATGGAAAATGAATTCAATGTAGGGTTGAATGAAAAAAATGCTACCGACTGAGTTCTGGCGAATGCTATAATTTGAAATTTTAACGGTGTAAAGGAGAAATGGATGGAGAAACGAATTTTTTTTATTTGACTAGCCAGCCCTATATTGAGCCCTATTTCCATTTAGCTTGAAATATGGGTGTGGGCGTCATTTGTTAACAACGTTACACACTTTGATCAGTGATCTGGAATGTAATTCTTAAGTATTTTTCTCTATACATTTCAGAGCTAGAGATTGACGTCTCTACTATAAAAAAATCAGATAATTTTATTCGATTTTGTAATACTAATTGTGCTATGGCACACGGTTTCTTTTATCACATTAAATTTCTCTGTGTAGAACACTTACCGATACAAATTCAATTCGTTTACGTTTGATTCACATTGCTATTTTATTGAATTTACGTTTGCTGCAAATCGGTGATTAATTTAAACACGCCAATAATTTTGAAACATACAAATTCACTCACCATTTGTTACATCATTATGATATGAAAGCTGTTTTATTCTATTTTTTTTTTAATCTAAGAAATGCAATAAATGAATTCAAAGAAAAAATACGATTCAGACGCTTTTCATCAAATATCAAACGCAATATTCGTACATCCTTTTTCTCTATCGTTTCATTTTTCTGTTCACGATATTCATGTAATCCAATTTGCTTACAGAAGAGACGCCATTTCTTACAATTCAGACAATCAATAAAGCGACATCACGATCTGTGCACAGAACAGAAAAAGAAATGATAAAACTACAACTAAACAGATTTCGAATCGACTGTCAACACCAAAACAGATTTTATTCGCAAAATGGAAATTAAATAAAATGTACACCAAACAAATGAATACACAGAGCCTTTCATTCCAAGATCAAACATGGCAACATTGAGATTCGTTACGTTGAGTCGATGACTTCCTTGCTTTTAGAAAAATTCAGTGAATTAAGAAAATTATTTTCTTTTCATATTCGATCTTGGAAGCATCTAGTTTTGAATAAAAATAAATACCTACTGTAAATTGATCAACATGAAATTTATTTTTCCAAATCTAAAAACAGACACATCTCAGACTGTTCATTCAACGATTTCAGAATCAAAATAAGCTGATATTGTTTCGACTCTTTTTTTATCTTTCTCTCAATAGACATACACGTGACGACATGATGATATTTTTTTATTCTATGACTTGACATAAAAACAGACATTAGGCTCGAGCTATGCATATAGCGGCTGCTATTTTATAGGTGCTATTCATAGGCGCTATTTAATTCGTGTGCTGTGTGTAACACCGAGTAGGAATATCATAGCCTACTATTCTTTTGTACATTTGAATGTGAGTACGAGAGAGATGTAGAAAATAACGCACAATATGCATAAATGCATTAAAACGAGATAAATAGCGTCTATGAATAGCAGCTATGAAATAGCAGCCGCTATATCCATAGCTCAAACCTAATGTCTGCATAAAAAGAACGCAAAATAAAATATAAATATAAACCAATTGAGAATGGAAAAAAATGAGGAAAACTCAATTGTTAAGTGAAAGGGAATGCTTTTTTTCTACTTGAAATCACAAACAATAGATATTGCAGTAAATAGATATTGCGAAAGGATACGACAAAGCGAATTCGGAAATGGCTATTATCATGCTATCTGATAAAGCATTTATCTGAACACATTACAAAATAGTATATTATTGGCATGGTTAGATATAAGAGCGAACAAAAAATGTGGAAAACATTTCTTTTTTTTTCTATTAAATTGAATGGGAATAAAAATTGTATAAATTCTGTGATCAGAAAAGACTATTGTCTCCTTTATCTTTGAAACAAAATCAAAATAAAAAAAATATCTTCGATTCCATTTAAATAATTGCAATTATTGTCTAAGCTGTCAATTTTTACAAGCTACAACTAAACTCATTGTACAAATAGAAAATAAAAAAACTGAAATGAACAATTGGACAAATAAAAGAGCATAGGAAATGGATTGTTATGGACAACATACTCGAGAAGTAATTGTCGAAGTGTGGCCTCATCATATGAGAAGGTATGCGACTCGCCATGACCTCTACTGGATGCGTTCGATGCGCTGTCCGCTAGGGGTCTTTGACGTTTCGGTACATATCCAATCGAACGACGATAGTGTCGTCCATCATCTAAACTATCTTGTTGATGGACATCTGTGGTGGTTGTTGTTGTTTGTGTTATTGTGTGCGTGTTATGGTCGGTTATTTATTTATTGTTTGTTTGATTTTTTTTTTATCGGTCCGCAAAAATAACAAAAACGATGATGGAAAAAAATTAAATCAATAAATCGAAAAATCAGTTTTGGATTGCAATTGTGGCAAAAATAAAACCAAAACAAAACAAATTTAAGGTCGACTGCAACAAATAGAAACACTTGCCATCAGATCTAAGTCTAATAGGAGGTGAGGTCAGCTTAATCGTAGAAGACAATGCTGGCGAATCGAGTGGTGGTCCAAAAACATAATCATACGAAACGTCCGAATTTAAATTGGCTAAGTAAAGAAACACAAACCAGAAAAACAAAACCATTTGAATAAATTCGATCTCAACAAATATTGAACTGGGAGCAGAAAAATAAATAGCATACTTAATTTTCAAATGTAATATTTTATTTCGAAATGAAAAAGAAAAAAAAATAATGATTTTTTTTTAAATTCAGCCGAAATCAAAAAGAAATGAAAATTAAAAATAAAATATCATACTTACTAGCAAGAAAATAAAAATGAAAACTGATAAAAGCACAAAAATAATGGATAAAAAATGTTGATCACACGTGAAACACAAAAAAAAAAAACAAAGATCGAAAAACCAAAAAAGGCAAAAACCAAAAATCACTAAGCATACGGCAAACTGAATGCAATATTCAGGTCGGCCGTATTTTACAGTAAACATGAACATTTAAGGGGAGCTCTATGGTGTGATTTGTTTTGGCATTGCATACCTGTGAACACTGATAATGGTTGTAAAACTTGACCTGAACGTAAAGGTGGTGGATACGGCGGAAGTTGTGATGGCTCAGGGCCGTTTGATGCCGAAGAGGGAGGTGAGATCATCGATGTTTTACCGTTAACCGCCATTGCATGCGAACGGCCGGCTTCTTATTATAGATTAGCATAGTTTGATATATTGGGTTTAACGTTGATAAAAATCAATTTTTGTTATGGTTTGTTGTTTGGTTTTTCGTTAAATTTCTTGGTTTTTTTGTGTTATTTTTTATATATTTTGTTTTTTTTTTAAATATCGAATTTGTAACAGAGTAAAATACGTGCACTTAAAAATTACAACTCGATTTAAACGAAGTGGTCATCGATATCTCGTATTTAGTACGATGCACAATTGAATTATAATATAAATTCTTTATCGAAATACGCTTTTTTTATATATATACATATAGATGTATGTGTATAAATATGTTTTAATTTTATTTAACTGTAAAGTTCGTGTTTGATCACTGAACCGAAACGTTAACGTGCGTTATTTTTTTCATTTTTTAAATATTTGATCAAACATAAATGGAAAACAAAATAAATGACAATAAAATCGGTTTCGGAACAGAGAGATAGAACACAACCAAATATATATTTATGAACCAATCAAAGTCTCACCTCAATTTTCATTCCAGCCATTTCGTTTTAAAATACCATCAAATGAAGAGAATTTATTTCTTCTTCTCGTAGTTTCTTAATTCGAGTTTTGTTTTTTTCAATATTTTTATTTGAAAAATAAAATATGCGTTAACACGATTTATGTACCAAATTTTCGTTGAGTTCAAAATGTTTTGCAATCAAATTGTATGTGAATGCGGCGCGATTTTTTCGTTTTATTAACTAATTAATGGATAGGTTAATTAATGGAATGTTGTAATTTTGAGTGTTTAACAAAAAGATTTTTTTGTGGTTTTTTATCACGATTTACGATCTAATTCAAATCACTTGTGTTTTGTTTGCCTTTTGTATTCGCACTGTGTTCGGTGTTGATGTATAAATGGCATCGAAATTGAAAGTAGAAGTTCACATTCGATTTTATATTGATTTCACTGCTAATTATATTTTTTTTATTTTTCAATGTTTCTTACTCTCTTTGTTGGTAATCGTTTTTCGCTCGTTATTTTACTTTTTTTTTTGTTTCCTTCATTTATGCACCGTAAATTATTATATTGTTCAGTGTAAAAAATATAGTCTCATTCGATTAAAATTTCGAATTATGTTCGATCCACTAAATGATTTATAATTTGTGTAAATTGTTCTGTATATCTTTCATTTTTTTCTCTCTCTCTCTCTCTCTCTCTCTTTTGTTTCTTTAGTATCCAGATTGAGTTAATATCAGTCACTGTGAAACAATCACGTTTTCGATTATATATAAATGAGAGTTATGACAGCCGCAATGAGTGTTGAGATTTATCGTAAAAAAATCTGTAGAAAAAATAATAAATCGTTTAATGTTTTTTTATATTGGAGGGAAAGGATTGTTGCATATAATCTATCCAATATAATTTAGTCAAAACTGTGATAAAAATATCAGAAAAGAATTCATGTCCGGCATTTTTTGGGGATATTGTATGCAATAAATAAATCAGATACACATAATAGGCAAGTTCAAGTGTTTTGTTTGCAAAGGCACAGATTATCGCACGGTGTGTTCGATTGAGGATGTGTTATTTGCTCAAGTAAAAACATTCACACGATTCCACGCTTTCTTAATTTTATTAGAGCGTATTTTGTTTACATTTTAAAGATTTTAAAGTGTTCCGCGATTAATTGCTCATCATTTGCTATTTTATAACGATTGTAAGAAAAAATTACCAGAAATCAATGCAATCTAATCGGTTAATTATTTTATGTTTATTGTACGCATGTTTTTCTCTCTCACAATTTACGATACTCAAATGAATATATATAATAAAAATCTCTAATAAATATAATAATAATTTCGTTTTGTTTTACCTCCAAATTGTTATTAGCCCATTTAAATACATATTTGTTTAAGACTAACTCGTTTTTTTGTTGTTGTTTTTGTGTTCTGTTCGATTATCAAATATACACGCTTAACCTTCCAATATTCTATCGAACATATATACACGCGTACATGAACACAGACACACGCATCTATATAATACTGAAAAACACAAATCTTATTATGTGATAATTATCACAAATACACAACGTAACGTGTTTAATGAAATTCACAGGTATATCGGACTATTCAGTCAAAAATGATATTCAAGACGTAACGTGTTTAACGCCGCGGTGTTAATGATAAACGATGTACAAAATAAAACAGCAATAATCTATGTAAAACACGACCAACGTTCTAAACTCATCTGCTGATGTTGTTTGTTTGAATAAAATTGTATTCAGATGCAATGTTATTATTCTGCACACACTAACACCGTTCTATTTCATCCGTCATACGAATCAAACTGAAAGGCACTCAGCAGTGATTATAATGTTGAGTCGGTTGTCATCACCATAATGACTTCGAATATACATTCAAAAAATGCTTTTGTGCACGATGCAAAACATCACCATGCATCGAATGTAATCGGTGTGGTGTGGCCGCTCGCTCAACGTGCATGTATGGATGAGAGAGAGAGAGAAAAAAAAAGTGTGAACGAAATGAGAGTTGTTTCCATCGTGCTGACAAAATGCCGCAGCCATTGGAAGAGAGTTCGAGGTGTTTGGAGCTCCGGTTTGTTAAAATCAGTTCGGTGCGCTTCGGTTGCTGCTATTTTGTTTGTTTTTTTTTTATTCAATGATTAGTTTATGTCGCTTCAATTTCGAATTACTAGCAAGCAAATGTGACAGGTTTTATTTGATTAGTAGCACGAGTATTGTGTGTCATTTGGGATTTTTTTTTTTAATTTCAGTTGTCATGTAAATATAAGTGATATACACTGTGTGTACAACAAAATTATTATTTGCTTTTTTTTTTGACGAGCCAACATTCATTTAATTTTTCAAATATCTATTATCAACATTCAACTATAACTTGTAATCATTTTAAAATTATAAACGATTGTTATTTGTTGTTGTTGTCGCTTTTGTTTTATTTATCTGGTATTCATAAAGGCTTCACTTTTATGATCATGACTTGCCATTTAGACAGAATTTTATACATGGATTTTTTTTTCGTGAAAACTGGTTTTGTCATTTCAAACACCAATTGATCTTCAAATGCACACTTTTTTTTCAAATAGCATTTTTTCACATCTTTAAAACATATTTGGATGATAAATGATATGCTTGTTTTAATATGTGAGCTCTATATCTCTATCTCGCTTCCACCTAGCGATTTCACGTGATTTCAACTGTGTATACTCTTTCTATCTTTTTTGACATTTATATTTCATATATAAAATGATACTGCATGTCAATAGGTTTCAATATTTGATGGAATGGAATTTCAAAAATGAAAAAAAAAAAAAAACAATCGACAAATGAACGAAAATACTGTCTACAGTGGGGATCGAGTGTAAAATTTGTGCACCAGTTAATATTTGATGGTCCGTATCATGCAAGTGGGTGCTTATCGGTGCTTATTCTGTTGCCATTTTCATTCATGCAATCTATATGCCTAGCACTGTATGCATGATTGTTGCCATGTTTGATTGTATCATCTACCAAAAAGGGAAGACAACAGAGGTAAACACGCTCTCTCTCTCTCTCACACACACACACACAATCTGAGCAAAGGATAAAATCAATAAAAGTCATAAATCAAATGAATTGAAATTGAAAAGAACAAATAGATAATGCACAATATTGTATCTTCGTCTGCGTTCATCGATTTCGGTGCATTGGTTTTAATATATTGTCATTTTTTTTGCAACCATAAATAATAAAAAAAAATTGCATAAGCTTTGTTGCAATAGAAGCTTTAAAAGGATCGAACCATGAAAAAAAGGAAAGGCACTGAGTATTGCCAGAAGTAAGGTGAATAACGCTCTCAGTTGATAGTAGTCGTTGAACCAAATACATAAAAAAATGAGGTTATTAAAATCGTGAATAAATGTTGCAGGTAAATAATGAAACATCAACCGAGCCATGAATAACAAAACGGCTGTTTTTACTCCATTACATAATACAAAGTAGTATTCTCTCTCTCTCTATGTGCAGAAATGTGTGTGTCCTGTTCGCTCTCTTCTTTATTATTATTCAATGAAATAAAATCGCTCCTGATACCAAACACAGAAAAATTAAAAATTCATTTTAAGCGAACGAGAGGCGCTTTTATGACGGCTGGTGCTACACCAAAGTGATTTAATTTCGAATTTTGGTTACAAAATTCAAATGAATTTTTTTGTTGCATTTTGCTGGTTATAAGAGAAGTAATTGTCTATTGCACTTGTCAACGATGAAATTAATTCCGAACGATTTTATCGGTATACAATTAAAACGTGCAGTTGTTTGCATGAATATGACTTTTTCTCTTTGTTCTTTCATTGTTAAACTTGAGGATAAGTACGTTTGCGTGTCTACGACGGAATGTGCATCAGATTTTTTTTTGTTTGAAATAGTTAAATAACGATTTTGCTATCAAACATAGTAAATTGACCAATCGTTAAGTGTTCAATTAGAGAAAAGTGCGCCGCACAATCTATTATTTTTTTTTCATCGATAATGAAAAAAAATTTAAAAAAAATTTAAAAAAATTCTCTGAATTACTGCACAAAAAAAAAAATGGAATTGCTGCGCTTTAATGACAGAAAACCTGGACTATATCAGAATTTACGTCATTGGCGTGATTGTATAAATACATTTATAATATATAGATACAGGTTACAGTTTATATTGGTGGAATGCACATTGCACAGACATATTTCTATTGGAATATTGTATAGCATACATAGCCGCCGCAGCTAGTTCCAATGCATACAATTGCGCATATAAATAAATATTCATGTATAAGGTCAAAATGAATTTATGACGTAAGAAGTGACATGAAATGCGCTGTGAGCTTTTTAAACATAACTGAGAATCAGAACGAGCACACACACATAGACACTGGACATCATCGTCTGTATAGACTCTGTAATAATAATAATAAGCAAAAGGAGCAATCTATTTTTAATAATAATAATCCGGAAAAGAATTACATTTTAAATTGGCAAATCCAACATTTATGGCATGAACTGCAGATTATTTTGTTTGCATATGTGCTCAAAAAATGACAATGACGATCCTTAGAGAAAATTGTCAAAATATCAATATGTTCTACTTTAATGGAATAAAAAAAAATATTCAGACCATATTATGGTTGAAATAGTCTGCGTGTTTTGTTTTCGCCGCTTCTCTTAATCAAAGCAAAGAAATTGCGACAATGGAATGCCTTTGACGATAATATCTTAACGATGAGTGTGCGCCTGTGATACGCGTGTATATACCAAATATCGGTTCGATCTATTCGCTTCTCCTCTTCTCCCCGGTTTTGTGTCTTACTAAGAGATGCTGAAAGCTGCTTTTACTGCTGTGAAAAACGTATGATGCGCTGCATAAAACAGGTCAAATGCGGTTCATCTTTTTCTTTGTTTGTTTTTTTCGTTTCGTTTATGTACTTCAACCCTGTCGTGTTCGTGCTAAGGCATTCATTAAACTTTTAAAATATCCGCACTCGAACCAGCCAAAACGAAAATGCCTATGTTTAAATGGGCTGTGTGTACCAGCGAGAGTGTGCAAGAGGAAAATTGTATTGTCAATGTGTATCTTTTAAGGCTCGACTATATGCCCTTTTTTGTCCCTATAGTTACGATTATGTGTATCACACGATACACTCGTTCTTTTTCGACTATTTGTTATGGTGCCATGTACCAATATATGCTGCTGCATTGGCTCATTGCTTAAATATACATGAACGAAAAGAAACAGAGACAACGAGATACAGAAAGAAGAAGGATGGAGAGAGCAAAGCAGCATGAATATGACGTGCTTTAAGCTGCAACATTCGCGACATACACATTTGTACGCGATTATCTTGAAGCATAAGAGATGTCATTCAACACATACACATATATACACATCGCACATGAACATGGAATCATCTACCCCACGCACGCACTACGCAAAACATACTAAAAACAATAAGTTAAACAGAGCGAATGTATTGTATTGCGTTTGAGTGATAATCCATCTCGATGGTTATCTATTGATATTTTGGATAAAATTATGTGGCTCAAATACAATGACTTCATTAATTATGTGCCATCTGAAGCGAAAGGTAAATAAGGCAAAAAGGGAGACGATGAATTTTTTATTGATCTATACACATTTCTTTTTTCGTTGTTTGTTTTTGCATTTCATCCGTGGCCCATCATTGTTTTTCTTTGTATCTCGCTTGTGCTTTGGCATGAGTTCGTGATTTTGTGTGTATTCTTTGGATGAAGTTTGATTTGTAAAAGTCGAACATTGTGCTTCAAGAGCCACTCTCATTTCTCCCTCGCCACCTCTCCTAATTAGTTTCTTTTATGGTCTCCATAACAATTTGGTGCTTCTGATTCACAGTTTATGTTTAAAAGTTTTGTGATACAGGAATTCGTTTGGCTGTTCTATCAGAACTGCTCACATGTCCAAAATTCATACAATACGCAGATTGAATGAAGACTCTTATTACTTTCTTAACATTGAATATCTTCGTCGTTCAATTCTGGCAGAATTCAATTTCTTCTCTCTCTCTCTCGCACCAGTCTGCTATTGCCTTTTCTCCACGTACGTTCTTTCGTTTGCTCATTCCTCAGAATACATTATTATCTAAATCAAAGGAATTCTCTCTCTCTCTCCAGTTTTTTTTTATTTGATACTCATTAAATGCAGTCATATCTGTGGTCCACTTGGGATACTTGTCTATGGTTTTTGGCCAATTTCAAATGTACGAAATGGCAAAGAAAAACGAAATAATACAAACTATGCGTATCGAATGCATGTATATGTGTCAAAATGTGTTATCAAAGTTACACGCATGTGCAAAATTGTATATTAGAAAGTTTCACTCGTTTGTACACGTCGTGGATGATTTCGTTGCAGTGTGTCCATATATGTGAGAACGCTTCGAGGGCTCTTGTTGTCACTTTTCAAAATTACTTTTATCAAGCAGCAAAATATGAACAAAAGAAACAATCAAAGAAACACAAACGCCGTAAAATGATTGCTAGACACACACACTCAAAACACGGACGAATTATGCACTGAAAATGCAAAAAAAAGCTTTTCAAATGAGAAAGAAAAAGCTTTCATCTTTCACTCATTTAATGTGAAAATTCTCCTTTTCAATTTAGATGATTTCGTACAAGAGCCTTCGGTGAAGTGATTAAAGCGATAAGACATTCTTTCGCCATAATAAACCAAATAAAAGATTCGAGACGATGGTAAAAATACGCACGCAAAGCGGACAATGTACCCAACGATATGC